TCACGAGGCCCACTTTCCTGATCCTGATATCTTCCCTTTTAGTGACTGGTCGCACGTGTATTACAAGCGCTACATACGTGAGGCATATTTGCTGCTGCAATAGATTTGATGTGCTTACTCGAGATCGTCCCTCTAGCCCCCTATATCCCACCCATTGACCCATCTAATGCCAGTGATACCCAGAACTTCGATGACACATTCCTGGATATGGAACCAGTGATTGATGACCCGAATGATCAGGAACAGACTGATACAGACCGTGACCAAACGGACGCTGAGCCTACAGATGGAGAAGGCGAGGATTCAAGCACGACGCCCTCGCATTCCCGTAGCCCATCAGTACATCCAATTGACGAAAGCGTCGATGTCTTTGACGGGTACTCGTTCAAGGGCCGGCATTCTGTTATCCTGGGCGATGACGACGATGACCTATCTGAAGAATCTGAACGGGAAGAGAGTGATGAGGAGGAGGTACCGGAGATTCTTTCGAATATTGCGGATACGCCTGTGCAACCGGAGGTCGAGGAAGCATCACCTGTTGTTGATGAAGTGACTCCAGAACCGAAGACTCCTGAAGCGAGACCACAGACTCTACCAGAGGAGCAGCCAACCGAGATCATCGTTCAGCCGCAAGAGGAAACTACAACACCGGTTGAGGAACCTTCAACGCCAGTTGAACCTATCACACCCTCAGAGCCGACATCTGCTCCAATCAAGGAATCACCGTTGCCGACTACTCCTACGTCGCCGCCTCAGGAGATTGTGCCTATTCCACCAGCCAAGGATGTCAAGCCGAAGGCTACGAAGCCAGCCGCTCCTCGGCCGAGCGCCCAACGCTCAACGCGTAATCGCCGAGAGAAGTCTGGTGTCCCTGCGCTTGACCGCTTCCTTTCCGATGGCCCTGATGAGGAAGAATGCACGGAAAAGGAAGAGGATGAGGACTGGGACTTCATTGAAGCTGGAGATGGCGAGGACCGTAATGGTACCAAGGGCACAAGCTTGTTTGCTCGGGGTGTTGTCGACCGATACCGGTTGGCCGTATTCCGCAAAGCATCAACCCCTTCGCAACGGATGGGTGGACGCTCATTTTCTGGCATGTCAAAAGAGTCTGATGTTCATGGTACCGATCCGACTGAGTCACCTAGTCCATCAGAGAAGCACCGTCGTGGACGTGCACCTGCGTTGAAGTTCCGAAAAACGCCTAGACAGTTCCTTCGTGCAAAGTCTCCGCCATCATCATTTCCCACCAAGTCAAGTTCTACTTCAAAAACCCTCACTCCTTCCACGTCCGCCACGCTATCGTCAGCATCAAGTGGTGGCCTCCTATCACCTTCCCTTTCAGGCACGAGCCCAATACCAATGTCCCCATCGCTCAAATCGAAAGAGTCGGCAACTTCAGTCGGCGAAAGTCTATCGTCGGACCCGTCAAATGGTGATACGATACCAGAAACCCTTTTTTCACCCGAATCGACGAGGGGAACCCCGACCGCTCACACCGAGGAGCCCGAAAAGCTTAAGACTAAAAAGCTTAAGAAGTACAAGGAAGGGGCAGAGAAAATGCTGTCCCTCTTTGCTTCTCCTCGTCAGTGATCACGATCCAGTCGACCGCGGGACCGGTCCCTTTTCTCTTCTGTTGCTTCCGCATTCTTCTCACCCAATCAAAGTCAAACAATAATCTTGTATCCTTCATCTCAAGACTCATTATCACTATGCATCGCCTCACAATTACTTACTAGCACTTTCCTTTTTTTCATCGTCCTTTTTATATCAGTTCATTGAGGATGGGTCGCGAACTAGAATCGCGATCAGTTTTTTGCTCCATTACATATGGATATGGACTGGGTGCTCGTTATACGTTTCTTAATTGATCACGTCCCTCTGTCGTTACTTCTGGCCATTACTGTTTTGCTGAAGCCAAAATCGAAAACAGGAGGCATTATTGTACAGACTTATTTAAATCCTTATAATTGCTTCAAGTTGCAACGCTCTATGAACCGCTCATAAAATTCTGACTTGAATTCGCAGAGGACTGCACACATTGCTCTTACATGCCGTCTGAAAAATCCCTTGCAATTGCCAAGTTACTGCGCCTGCGTTGCCAGCACTCTCTTCCTTATGAAGAGGCCTTTCTCCTCCAATCGAAATCATCGACGTTGCACCATTGACATGATCCGACATGACTTTTCTGGAACTATGAATTTCAATTATGATATGCCATAGCATTCGACAGTCTCAGCATAACGCAGATTGAATTTCGTTTCACATAAGGACTATAATGGGCGTATGACTAGTGAAACTGCTAATGTGCGGACAAGCGCTGCTTCGAAGGAAGAGCGATCCTAGTAGCCATCAGCACCTAACCTCCAGTTTTACAAGTGAGAACATCGATAATCCACAAAATGTAACGGTAGGCGGACGAAACTGATTCAAATATATTGAAGAGTCTGGCTTGCTTTGCAAAGCTCCTCGGTGTCTTCTTCCCAGTAGATCACCAATTGTCAAGAACACCTGAAACGAGAGGAATCAAAAGTATTGCATGACCAAAGCAACGTCCCTTGCATAAGTGAATCAAGGCTCCTAGGCGTTGACAAAAGGCGCAAAAATCGAAATTATACCGAAAGGAATCTTCGACTTTTTCAGCTTCCCGTTGATATGCACTTGGAGAAGGCTAGTGATGTGAAAAATGGTCCATTCCATTACATGATACTCTGAGCTAAGTTGGTTTCAGGACGATCAAGACTTGCTACTTTTGTGCCGTCGTCTTCTCGCACTTCGCATCCTTATCTCTGGGACACTGGACCGTAGACGCCTGTTCATGGCATCGTTTTGATAGGATCGATGGACCTCAAGAAGCGCATTGCTTCCATGCCAGAATTCAAGCAGAAGCCTAAGGTTCTTATTGTCAGTTTGAAAAAAAAAAACAGGTCGCGTTGGTCTGAACTTGAGTGCAAGCTACCTGCCCATTGAATTCCTGAACGTCACTTCCTGACGAGCGCCAACCAGAGTCCCCCGGAACTTGTTGCCCTGTCCCATGCCAATGAACATCACTCCGATGCACTTATGGTGGAACGCGGCGACCGAAAATCAAGGTTGAGCATCTAGGGTATATCTGTCTATGGTTGACCCTACTGACAGCCATCGATGGCGTGCACCGAATAAGCCCAGGTCTATGTCAAACACTTTATGGTTTTGACTTACACTTTCTTCGTCACATCACACCATCGAAGGCCGCATACTCCAGATCCAAAAACGCAAGATCGCCATCGTCAAAGAGGCGTTCCGGTGGAGCAATAAATTGGGTAAAGCAGACCCGGAGAATTTCGAGAACTCGAGAGTTATATTGGGCGATGATTAATAAATGGTTTCTTGGAATGATGGTCTATGGAACGATAAATCAATCACTGAATCAAAATGGACTTGGATAGGAACTTCAAAACCCACGATCCAGACACAGCTACATTGCTGAACTCTCACTTCCATAGAATTGCGACTCGTGAGCAATTTGTTGTTTCACCGTACGGTGATCATATTATCTAACAGGCACATGAGAGAAAAACTTGTTGAAGTCCGAAGTCACCGATGAGACAGAGGACGCGGAAGGAAGGAACCCCGAAGTCTCGGAGGTCGAGAAGCCGAAAGTATAAGCTGGTCCGAGCGCAGTCCAGGCGCAGCCAATAGGCTGCGCCCTCTTGACATGACCTTGCGCCATCCAATATATGTCGAGATTTTCCACTCTATTCCGTTCCGTACTTACGATCTATAAAGGCAGTGAGCCTTCGAGCGAACATCTCAGTCGTTTGACCAAACACTGAGATGTAAGTACTTACCGTTTCGTATACGTTAGCGAGATGCTAACCAAAACAATAGCGTACCTTTTGTTCTAGGTACTAATTAATATTATGAGTTGTTTGACCAAACACTGAGATCGTACCTTTTGTTCTAGCCCTCTGCTCATAATCTCCACAAAACTGTCAGAAGTGAAGCTAGTGAAGGCCCTGCATCTTAACGATACATGCCCTGGAATGTCCTGATATATAGAATTATTCCACTCGGAGTCCGTCTTGATCGCGCTGCAAAATCAACATGACCAAAACTGTGGGGTATGTCAGCACATCTTGACGTTATTACCAGCGTAGCCAGAGTGCACTAGTGCACCATACTCGTCCTCAAGTGCAGTTAGAAAGTTGAATAAAAAAATTTCGTGAGGGCCATGGAATTGTAGGTAAGCTATCGCATTGGTGGCTTGAACACGTTAAAAGACTTTTTTGCTTCGTGGAGCATGACCCTGAGCTTCCTCACGAAGAGCGTGGCGCTATTTCACAATATGCTCTCCTCTGTTTATCGACTGGTAACGGAGCGAAGCGGAAGCCAGAGCGTCCAGTTGAGCGTCACGAGGTAGACCACGTCCCAGGCACCTTCCGCAGGGACCCGTTCCTAAGATAAGGGTCTGATGACTAGTAGGCCTCGAGGGATACTAAAGAGGCATGCGGCAGCGGTTTCGAGCCTTTGAGAGTTCTCGTTGGGGGGCTTGCCGCTACCCCTATCGCGCAGTTATGCTCGTTCTGTTTAGGAGGATAGCACTGAGCCTATATACAACATAGTGGGAGTAAATGGTCCGGTAGGGTTTCATCTGGTTCGGGCAGTAAGCCGAACATGGTACCCGTTTACGGCCGTTTCCGAGCCGCATTGGTGTTCGTGCAGGAACGGAACCGATTTATGTGCAATGAATAGCTAACTGTTCGGCACTCACTCAACCCTGCATAATGGATGACCCCATGAAGAAGCTCAGTGATGAACCTGAAAGGAATTTACTGACCAGATTAGAGGGTTTGCAGGAAAAATAACGGCAAGACCCAGCCATGATTGTTAGGGTCGCTACTCATGGGCAAGGCTTGTGGTCTTTCAAGCGAGTGAATGATCTCACATAACTGTGGAGAGCGGCCAACACCGAGACCGGATCAAACTCATTGCTTAGTCAGCTTTAAGTTGTCTGGTAAGTACTACACGCCTGAAGTTTACCAACACCACTGCACTGGCCTAAGTGTGTTGCGGTAACTGTCGATTAGCGGTATTTTGCCCTCGTCCACGAACGTCCTCGATATACTTTAAGTTAGCTCCTTCGGCGTTTTTTTCCAGGCCTGACACATGCCAATTGAATCTCCAGTATTGGCAGTTCTGCGGTTATGGGCCCGATGTTAATTCAACGTAAGTTCTTGGCAAACCTCTGTCACTAATCAAGGCTTTGATGCTAAATGTCACCCCTTTTGTTATCAACGCATTTGCCCAAATAGTGAAGCCCTAAACGCGTGTGCTTCTGGAATGCTCACCAACGCCTCATTATAAGCGTCGTACGACTGCGGAGCCGCCGTTTCCGTTGCACAACAACTCTGATGACCTTTTCCCTAGAGCTCTTCTTCCCCTGAACGCATCGCAATATATGACTTCAACTGCAACAACAGCACATGACCTTAGTTCATTTTATTACGTGCAAAGTTAGTCTCCCGACTTCCAATCTGATTCAATCCAAACACTGTTTTCAGTTGCTGTCGCTGCCGTCGTCTTGTATGATCACTGTATGTAATTCGTCAATTCTTGTGACCACTCGCTCAGTTATTGTCTGCTCAGCGTTGACCTTCGGTCGTGAGGTGAGTCGATGTTGACTAATCGTCGGCTAGCAAAACCTAATGACATTGCTGGACTCCTAGATAGATTATATATGGGTGGGTCAAACTTGAAAATAGTGTCCACCCGTCACATACTAATTTCATCAATGTACAGCGGAGGCCGCCTTCATTTGTGGCCGCCTTATATCTATTGGTATGTGCAACTAGTATGGATTTTTCTAGTCTTTATGTTGGTTAGGACCGTTACTTGGGCGATTCCGTTGTAATGTAAGCTCTTGCATTTAGCTCTTATCAATAGTCTGATACGTTCTCAGCATTGGGGTATATTGTGTGTTGATATTTATATCATAAGTTATCTCGCTGACACGCTCTAGTGTGCCTCACAGAGGATGCATCAACACAAGTGAGCATGTCTGTCTGAACGTATGATATGCGGTTTTTTTACGAAGTTTTTTTCACAGGAGTATGGTCTAAAGCGCGCTTGATCCGTACTTCTTGCTGATTGTATTGGTTTTACGCATTTTCAGATGCAAGTACATTTGCTTCGTATTTCAAATGTTCAGCTTCTGATTATAACCAAGGCTTTCGGCTTTTCCAGGTCCGAGCGTGGGGTACTCTTCTGTGTTCATGGCTTACTCAATGTAAATCATATTTTGTGCGTATGCAATTCGACATTAACCTTGCCCGCACAGGCATCATGCAACTCCGAATATATGCTATGTACCGTCAAACTAGGTGGATACTCATGATATTGGTCTTTTCTTTTTTCAGCGAGGTCCTTGCTGTCGTTGTAATCATCTGGAGAACCATCGGTCCAACAAGCCAATTGGTTGGTACGTACTGCAAAGAGATGTTGGCGTCACGCTCGTTCACTAAACATCACCAGTCACCGACAAGTCTTCAATTTTTCCTGGGAAGCACCTGTGCACCTTCTCCGGGATCAACACAAATTTCACCTATTTGTTTATACCCGTCCTTTGCTTCGAGGTCTTACTCTTCTTCTTGGCCATCAGAGTTTCTCTCAATAATATGAGAGAGAGAAAGGCCACCCCTGGTCCCTCCAGCTTGCGCGTAAACTCATTTATGAGTATCCTTGTGCGAGACAGCATTTTGTATTTCTTCATGTTAGCATCATCTTTGTTCATACGTTCCTAATCATTGGCTGATAGACGGTCCATCTAGAAACCTGGCGATGTGCGCTATCGTCATGGGCCTGTGGCGGAATGCCGCTGTGAGATTCTTTTGGGAGTTATTTTTTTGGAGTATTACTGACTATTACTCGTTTATTTCTGCATGCAAACAGGCCCTACACGCAACCATATCTATCCCGTTCATCATGCTAGTCCAGACCATAATCGGCACTCGCATGGTAATCAACTTCAAGGAACACTGTTCTCGCCGGTTGAGCTCGGAACCAATCATGATCACTGGGTCAATATACTTTGCAGGAGTCGTTGAAGAGACTGGGCGACAGGGTACGATCCATGACCAGTCGAACGAAAGTGACGAGGAGATGCAGCCGGTCAAGAGTAATGAAGAAAGTGCTGAGGTCATCACTTATGAGGATATTGAGGAGTTGTAACTTTTGATTGCTGCGATCCACATACACGGATCGATTTCTATAATACATGTTCAAAGTACCTAGCTCATGCAGCGCGATTTTGCACACGAGCCTGCATAACATGGTGTACCGTGTACACCCGCGCAGTTAGCATGAGCAATTAAGTAAGCATTGGAACCAGGGATCGCATAGTTCCTAATAATTCTGGAATTTCCTTTGTAATCTAGTGCTTTCTGCTTTCTTGGTCTACGTCCTGCAAGGTCCGCATGGACTTCGATATGGAAAGGACCATCGCTTACCACTCGCCCTCCGCCTGGATTCCAGCGCAGAAAGTACTCGCCCTGTCAACATGACTCAGGAAAGGAGAGGTTTGGCCTCCTAAAATTTTCAAATCCGAAGTCCCCTCTTCTTCACAACCATGACCATGGCGGTTGGATTCTTGTCGCTTCCTACAGAGCTCATATGCCACATTCTAATCCTTCTTAGCCCCAGGGACATCAGTTGCTGTGCAATGGTCCGCTGTTTCCCATGGTTCCATATTTCCTCCAGGGCTAACGTTCAATCATGCTAGACCTGCAATACCTTTTCGGTTGTGGTCCAGAATTCTGTCCACATTCAATACAAGCTTGAAATCTATGCTCAGGGTTTGATTAGTACTGAGACCACTACCATGAACTCGATCGGCGTTTCCAGAAAGACTTTGTGTTCGCTCAAGCAATTAGCATCTTTGTGGCCATCTGACTTCCGTGCGACCACCACCTTTGAAGCAGTGGTTCCCATAAATATTCCATCGCCATGGCCACTCCAATCTGTGAAATGTGGGCTTTGGTGATTACCTCATATAGCGGACAATTTCTACATTCAGGATTGCAACACGAATCCCACACACTCCCGGACGTGGTCTATCGATGATATATATCCACGACACTGGACTCCGTGCCATGATGCCTTCGACCCTCTGCAGGATCTTATGGTTGTAGTTTCTAAGCCTTATGACTGTATCACTGTGACTAGTGCAGAACAAGATCACCGTGTCTTTTGCATAGAGTTTCGACTGGCTTCATCCCAGCGTCCACATCCGGATGCTGCGTGCGCTTCCTTGGAGTGCAGACATACCTTTGATGCACCTGGCTATTACCATGCTGCTTTGCATCCGCCTATAATCTGTGGTGATCGTGTATTTGTCGTTTATTGGCTAGAGGACACGGATGACTGGCTTGTATCTGGCATGTTCATACAAGTCATTGATTGGAGGAAGGGATTTGCATATAGCGTAAGTTCCCTCTGTTTGGAAAAATCTTGCTGCTCAACATAAGCAGCATTTTTTATGTCAACCGGAGGACTCATTTTGTCACCGTTACCATTTCCATCCAATCGACGAACAGAAGTTTCTCATCATTAGTTCCAAAGACTCGATATACTTGTACACGTTACAAGGGCTCGATGGGCCGCCTCAGCGCCGAATTACATATCACCTTCCTAAGAGACGCCGTCTACCCATGGACCAAGTCATTATCCACGCCCAACCATCATTCCGTGGCAAAGCAGCACGCCCAGGACTGATGCCCAGCTATGTGCCCTCCCTGGAGTCGCAGATTATGGTTCTACAGTATCTTTCCAAAGCGCGGAATGCTATCCTAGTCATCGATATGGCCATTTTCTCTGACATGGCCTTGCACTCAGATATGCCCGTCGAGATTCCTTGGTCAGACTGGGGACCTCAACATACGCATTACTTTCGGCACCACAAAAGCTACCGTTACGGTATCAGAGTGTTTGGCAGCAAAATGGCCTATGCCCTTCCCCAAGATTATATTCCTGATCCAGGTCAAAGACTGAAAAGGCTCGCCACTGAGGGTTACTTCTATGTGCACATCTGGGACTTCAATAAGCGAGTCCTTGCTCGTTCGGATATCAACGATCCTGACTCGCCAGATCTCCGCATTTGTAAGTCGCAGACGACTGACTCCTTCGGTAAAGATATCTTCTCGAGTCGTGCATTCATTGCAACGGTCTGTCGCACGCCTTTTCCGACAGGTGATTCCTGTATATTCTTGGAACAGGATCGGCTTACTGTGACATGGGTACGTGTTCTCTGTTTGAATACAGCAACGGTCTGATGTGACCGCATTGTAGGCTCGGGATCATGAAATTAGTATACAGGTCACTTCCCCCGTACCAATTCATTAGTGCCAAAACAGCAGGCCGCCTAGGTATTCCTTCTTCTTCCGCTACTTAGTTTGCGTTGTAGCATCCAGTACCTTGTATTGCATTTACACCAACCGCATGGGCTTACAATATAGCAGACACGCCACTTTGTAAACGGTCCAAGCCATAGCTCCTGGGCCTGAGCCTCCAATATGTGCTAGCCATGCTTCAAGTTGTCCACCTAGTATGCCATTACGGCGGGAAACCGTCTGTCGGATTCGACTCCAACTGCGCTAACTCACCAACACCGTCTTGCCATATACTTTCATATTCGACTAGGTCTTCCTTCCCAATGTTGCTGAAATAAATACCACAGGTCGAAGCTATGTACAAGGCCTCCTGGGGAGTCAACGGGGAGATTCATATAGCGGTGGCTTTTTCAGGTAAATGGCATCTCGTGTTTCATTGCAAAGGGTTGAACTATTACTGTGGAGGATAAGTACCACACAGTCTTCCTAGTCATATTATCCTTCGACGGTGTCTGGGCTTTCCTGTCTCTCGAGGTGCTCACACCTGTCCTCAGTTAGCTACTTCTGGAACTGCCACACATCACCCAGCAGCAACTGAGACCATTTCGCTTCAACAACGCCCCAGGTGCAGTTTCTTCGTGTGGCACACAGGCCTGCAGCAATCTCTGTTGGAAGCAAATAAATAACAGTATGAGGTGCTTCTCGTTCATAACCAGATCTCTAGAACGTCCCTTACGAACACCAACGCTCAGAGCCTCAGAGCGGTCTGTCGTCCTCAGCGGCAACTCAGCCTGGCCCACAGCCAAACTCAACGCTAAAGCCTCCGCCTCGGATGTAGATAACGACACAGAAACCTGTTCAAGAAAGTTGTTATAACGTTTGCATCGCACTCAGATGCATCACACGCCACCATTCTCTCCCTGCCTTTGTTGCCCAGCCTGTTTTCTCGTTCCTATAGCGTACGCTTGTCGTCATTTCTTCATCAGCACGTTTATGTTGATCGAATACACGTGCATTCGCGGTGTACACATTAATTCATAGCGATTCATCATTGTCGAGCAAAACTATTGCTATTATTCAGACAATGTTGATTTCTGGTCTCAGATCTGTCATCCAATTCTTCTCGATTCGGTTCCCGTCGCTTCCTACGGAGCTCATCTGTTGCATCTTACCCCCAGGGATAATTGCCGTTGTGCAAGGGTTCTTGCAGGGACACGCTGCTGGCATTTCTTCTGACACCCTGAAGATACTTACACTCCGTCCAAGTCCATCCGAAGAGTCAATCCAAAGCTCCCTTGAAAAACCGCAGAACAACTCCTTCGCATGCTCGCAGCAAACTGGCCTACGGAATCTCTCCTTACCTGATCAAACTAACCCACTGTCAGCTGAGAACCAACGGCTGAGACGAATTTCAGTATCAGCCCCTCACGATGTCTTCATTTCTATTAGACACTCAGGTTGGCGGGTGGTCCATGTCTTGAGAGGATTATCAGTACATTTCGATGTACTTACAGCGCAAACAATAATGGAGCTTTGCACTGGGTCAAGGCCGTGACACATCAGATGTGAGATTCGAATTCAGCCCCAAACATTAATGATGACAATGCAAGCAGATGAGATTGACTATGCGTAAGTGTCCCCGCAGAAGTTATAATCGTGGTATATGCTAGTTCAATGTCAATGCAAATGATGATGATAAAAAGAAGGTCGAAAATTGAATCGAAAAGACTAATGCAAAATCCAACAATTCTACTGTATGCAAGCATATGCGTCAGCGTCTTCAACCAACAAAGAAAAAAAATGAGCGCTATCGTGGAATTAAAAAAAAAAAGTCAGAGTACCAAAGAGCGACTCAGTAGAACGTCTCAATAAATATGCAAGTAAAAATCAAAAAATGGATGAAAGTCATAAAATCATCGTACGGCATGTTATCGGGCGTTCTTCCAGCTCGATGGGGGAGCAACCTTTCGTCCGGGATTCCTACCGGGCATCTGTGGCTGCAAATTCGACGGTTGAGAAGCACCGGTCTTGGCGCGTTGTCTGGGGCCTCCTCCATAGGCACTCGCAGCGCTGTTCGGGGCACCGTGCCCAGCCGACACGTAGCTCGAACGGGAGTTCATTGATGGGCCAAACGATTCCCCGTACACACTCCTCGACCCTCCTCCGAACTCACTCTGTGTACTGTTGATCTGGCCAGGGAACATGACGGAGCCCGTGGACCACTGGTTCGGCATCATACCAGGCATGCTCATCCCAGGGACGCTCATCATGCTCATACCGCCCCCGCCTCCTCCCATCCCACTGTACACGCTACCTCCACCGCCTCCATACACAGACCCACCGCCGATATTGGACCCTCGTTCCCACTCGTCTCCGGCTAACACCATTGCATGTTGAGCCACTGCCATTTGGTATGCTTGCTTCGCGATCATCATTGCGCGCTGGTGAGCAACGAAGAAGCTCTGGTCGGGGCTGAACTGAGGAGCAATAGGTCCCATACCATTCGGCATGGGCTGCTGCCACGCCCCCCATGCAGGAGCATTCATCCCAGCCATCGTGCCATCCATACCCATCATAGGATTAATGCTCATCCGCTGTCCATGCTGAGGCAGGAGATCTTCGTCAGAACCATTATGCACAATGGGTCCACGACCATTGACGATTTTCCCAAACTATAACCAAAAAGTCAGGACGAACTACAGCCACAAAAAAGACACAAACCTCAATAGCAGACCTCGCTTCACTCCGTCTCCTTTCATTCCGCTTCTCCGCATCATCAGCATCATTCTTTACTCTCTCACGGCCACGCGGTGGACCATCCTCAAAGCTTACAGTTGAACGCTTGGCATTCGCCCCGCGCGCCTTAAGCGTTAAGTCTGCATCGCTTTCGTCCCTCCGCCCAGTGTTCACCCCGATGTCACTACCATCATGAGGAGTGAACGGCGCACCAAGACCACTGCTAGAGTCACCTGTTGAGCTGCCAGCGGGGCTCTTGCCTCGTGAAGAACTATTACTGGCGAAGGGGCGGGAGGGCATGAGTGACTGCAATTGCGACCTGGACAACTGTGGCGCTGCGGGCACGCTAGGCCTTGAGGAAGGGGAGACAAGCATGCCTGACGGCGGTCGAGACATTCTGCTATCCATCCCACTTGCCGTCGAAGGGGGTCGTGTCTTGTATAAGTCCTTTGAAGACTCCCAACTTGCTTTCACGGAAGGTGAATCGGGCACAGCGGTGATGAGAGGGACAGGTGGGACACGAGACGAGTGTGAGGACCGAGAGGTTGAGACGACGGATGAAACATCTGACTTGTCAGTTGATAGTACATTGTGCTGCTGAGCTAGGATGCCTGCACGAGAACGAGGAGCGGGTGAAGGTCTGATAGGAGAAGAAGATCGTTGTGGCGAAGGAGACCTTTTGGAGACGGCGGAGATCGTTGTCGGCGAAACTGGTGATACTGCCTGAGAGAGATCAGTGGTATATCGACGCGGAGGGCGTGATGTGACGCTGAAAGAAGCTGGTGGTTTATACTCTCGAACAGGCGTTGGCACGATGCGGTCGTCACGGGGAGATTCTGGCTTGTCATCAACACCTGACATACGTTCGACAGGTGGTGAAGTATTCAGGGAAGGCACTTGTTGGGACGGTTGTGTAGGCGACTGTGAGGAATCCCGTGATTGATCAAAGGAAGTAACGAGCCTGATGGCGTCCATCAAATCATCGTCAACCTCGGTTGGCGAAGAGGGTGCCTGAGGGATAGTCCCAACATCACTGCTTGACTTCTTATGGCGAGTAGGGGAAGAAATCTTAGGAGCTGGGCCTGAAGGTGAACGGGGAGTTACCGGAGAAGGAGTCTCAGCCATGCGACTCGGCGTTAAGTTGATAACAGGGGGAGGAGCAAAGGGCTCATCCTTATCCATCTCACGTTCCTTACCCTTTGTAGACGCTTTTTTCACCGAATGCTCGTGCCTCAATACAGGCGTGAGCATCGGAGGACTTCCTACGAGTGATTTGATATCAATCAGGGGCTTCAGCGGGCATTCGAGGCCGCGATGCAGCGGATCTGTTGGTAGACATGGATGCAGAACTTCCCGGTCTGCGTGGTGCAACAAGCGCGGACAAAGGCATGTCTTCAGAATCATTATCCGAATCTGACGAAGTATCGGAGTCATCATCCTTCGCCGCCCTTGATGACAAAGGCAATGGCAAAGATTTATCTGAAGCTAAAAGGCACGTTAGAAGAATAAATATTAATAATTTTGTGCTTGCCTGATGATGCAGCAGAAGCGTTTGCAGAAGCTAAAGTCGACGCACGAAGGGCAGCAGCATTGGGTGTGAGAGCGCTAGTGGAAGCAGATGCTCTCGCTCGCACGGCAGCTATGTTGTCCGACTGCCGTAACTGCACATTGTCCGATTTTGACCATCTTGCAGGTTCTGGCCGTCGAGCCTGAGCGTTTGATGTAATGTGTGCATGCCCCGCATCGGACCACGAGCGCGAACCAGGGCGAGGAGTCACGGTGCCCTTGCGACTAGGCTTAATAGGCACGCCATCGCTATCCACTTCTTCATCATAATCATCCGACTCTGAACTACTAGTGTCCAAAACAGACGAAGTCCGGTTAGTTGGGATGGGTAATGGGAGCGCAGTCGAATTGCGATTTAATGGAAGATGATGCTCGCTTCCGGTAGGCGTTGAAACCGTAGAAGCCCGCTGTCTGGGCATATTTTCAACACGAAGGGTATCGAGGGAAGAAGGGAGTCGGAATGAAGGTACAGGGGAATTTGCACGGCTACGACGAGCTTGTGCTTCACGAAATGCTGCAACAGATATCTTTTGAGAGGAATCTGAAGCAACACTGTCTCCGCGCGGCCGTGGCCGAGGAGGAGGAAGCGGAAGCTCGACATCTGGAACATCAATTAGAGAAGTGGGCGACTCAGAACGAATGTGGCGGAAAGCTTTCAAATTAAAATTCTCCCTCGGTGAGGGACTTGAGGTGGAAGGTGCTGCAATAGTTGCTGGTGGCGGGGCAGGTTTTGATTTAGTACGCTCTCTAGCCCACGAGAACAACCCGCCAGATTTTTTTACATGCGGTGGCGTCGTCGAAGAAGAAGACGGGGGTGCGCTGTGTATCTGATTCCGTGCGATGACGGAAGGGGTATCAAGGGGATATTGACGACGCGTGGGTTCATGAGGAAGCGAATGTGTGGAATTAATGCTGGGATCATGGTATATGCCAAAGGACGGTTTGGGTGGGGAGATGTCGTGCCCTGAATCAGAGACCACACTAGATATGTGTGCACGTGGTGGGCTATCGTTGAGAGAAAAGATGTTTGTGGAGGTGCTTGCGACATGTGGCTGATGTACATGTCTCCGACGGAATGGCAATTTTAACTTGCTCGACGATGCTGCTGCTGAACCGGCATAGGCTGCGGCCGGAAGAAACTTTAGAGACTTGTCTGGAAAGACATAATCTGGTTCTGAAGAGGTTACGGTGCCGCTAGAGAGTGACACCCTAGAAGTCGGTGTCGTTGGGACGTTTAAATTGGATTGTGCACTGCGAGGACCAGATTGTTTTTCTCGTTTAGCAAATATTCCTGCGAGCAATGGCATAGAGAGGGTCAGCGGCAGAAAAGCAGTCCGGGTGATGAATGAAAGAGAGAACAAGAAATGATGTTCGTGATGCCGGGTATGACAGTGAACAGGGATTGTTTGTCTTTATTTGCTGAAGCCTCATTTAGAATGCAAAGTAAACCTGGAACCGACCTGCGACAGCCTGCGATGCGACTTATGACGAGGCACAAGGGGAAACAAAGCGGCAACAGGCAACCATCTTAACCGAAAGCGCCTAGAGACTTATCGCCTTGCATACTTACGCATGATCTCATCCGAGTACGACGTACTAATCAAAAAATAGAATCAGCTCCGGTACTCTCACAGTCAACGAAGCACTGCAGCAGATCCTCCGACCCGGCTACTCGTCCCCGCATTCATATCCACTCATCCCAATAATGCTCTCGATTCACTTTGTATAAACTTACGAAGCCAGGTGCGTTACCGCGGCAGAAGAGAATACCCGAAGTGCTACTCATTACATACACCTTGCTAGCTAATTGCATCGACACACGTTCCTTCCCATGACGGCGAACTTCTGTTCGCACCAATGGGATTGCTCTTCGCACCTCTTCCACGTTTGCGCGAGCCTCGCGTTAAGCGTATGGTAAGCCAAGTCAAAGTAAGTTTAATTCTAATTGCTGTTATACATGATGCATTTGATTTCCCCATAACCAGACGATCCCTTCCATAATCTCCTCATATAATTACAATGCGATTGATTGTCTCTTGTCTAGTAAGTTGCCTTTAAGCAGCCACTGCGCATCTCGTCATGTACGAACCCATCAATTTCTACCCGCAACAAACGGAACAATCAGTGATGTACACGACATGAAACATGAGGTATACTCACGTGCAGACTTAACCCATCTAGCCCCGTGGCATGCCCAACCTTCTTCCCATCTTTGAACACCATATAAGTAGGGACCTATAATATTCCTCGGTTTCAATTGACTGCACAAATGCGTCATCGTATTAAAAATACATACGACGCGCACATCAGCTTCCATCACCACGTCTTCTAGTTCATCCACATTTACGCGATAGAAATCCACACCGATGCGAACGAATGTGTCAGAAAGTTCAGAAAACTGCTGAGAGGTCGACCGGCACAATCCGCTCCAGTCTGCATGGAAATCTATCAATACGGTTTTACCGCTGTTGATCTGGGGTTGACAGTGAGCAGGGAGTTGAAGAATGCATCGAATAGGTACTCACGATCCTGGTAAAGTCTTGAGCATCGTCGATGGGGTTGAAAGGCATTGCGACTCTGGTCCAAGTGTAATGGGAATGTGTGTATTATATACAATACGGAGAAGAGTGAGACAAGGGTCTGACAGAACTTGACGTGAAAACAAACAAAAGAATAAAGACAAGTACAAAGAAGATTGTCAGTACTAGTAGCGATGGGAATGCATGCAGTGGATAACTTCATTTGCACATATGACGTGTCGTGACGTCGAGGCCCCTTTCAAGTTGTAACTGACGGTCACTTGCCTGCAAGGCCATATCGGCCTAGACCCACGAAATTTCTCAGTAATCACAAAGGCTATAGGTTATAATAACACGCACAGCAAGATCAACTAGAAACTTTTTCTGAGACACGATCTTCCTGCCATCATTCAGGGCATCTGATCAGTACAAGGCAACAATGAGGGTCCATTGTCTATAGCCTGTCAGCTCAGAAATCTATTAATCAATGATAGTTTTCTTTTGATCTGTCGATGAAATAAATTTACCCATGTACCTGTGTCAGTGTGCCTACGAGTCCTTGAACTGTTCAGCAGTTTCATTAATGATGACCGAATCGTTTGCCGTGAGCGAGAAGTCCAGACAAGATATTTTATACGAATGGAATGAACGACTTGATTGATCACGCTAAAGATTCGACACAAAACAGTAGATATATGCACCTGTTTGCAAGTCTCGATCTAATGTGTCGTTGGAGGAAGAAAGAGTCATTCACTTTGCTAATTGCCTTTTTAGGTCGAGTGGTAGGTTGCTGTGTCGTTGACAGCGGTCAGTTAGTTAGTCAGTCGGGGTTGTCGTTGAGCTCAACCATCAATATTTCAATTGCAACGTCACCAGCTCCTATTAGGCTATGGCACCCAACTTTTTTCAAAAGCTTGTGAAGCCTGGACCTAGTACGCCAAGTTCATCTCCGAGCGGAAGGGAGAGCACGACTGCTTCACCGCGTCAAACTAATGTTCCAGCGCGCCCACATTCTCAATTAATATCACACCCTCCTTCGTCTCTTCCTGATCCAGCCAGTGACAATTCTAGTACAAAAGGGAGTGTCAAAATTGGTATAATTCCACCTTCCCCTCGTTCAGCCCTTCTTACTTTTCCTGATCCTCCTTCGCAAGACCACCCTCCCGATACATCTCAGCACCGACGTGCACGCTCGCAGGATAGGATGGTCCCAGATAGACATGCTGTATCCTTCGCGGCTCGTCCCATGGCAAGCGAGTCTTCTTTGTCTACGGACGACATGCTTCCAACTCCAACCCCTTCTCGTTCTCGTCCTGAAGAATGGAAGACCAGCGCTGAAAGCTCACCCAAATCCTCTCACAAGCTCTCACCTGCGTCATCCACTGGGAACCTGAAAGCCTTTGTAGACAAGCGTAGCACCACACATCCTCCAAACACTCACAAGGTGGTCGATAGAACTCCCTCAAAGAAGTCACTACGCAGTAGAACACAGCCCCCAGTTCCGCTCGATTTCGATCAAACCAACACTCGTGCCGATACGAACCGGGGACCTAGTCGCCACGAACACAATGCCGTCATAATTGAAAATGGCCTCGTGGACTCACCCACCACAATAAGCCATGCTCCCAAAAGCAACCATCAACAGGAGCTTTTACCTATCCTCAACGACGCAGACGCAAGGTCTATCCGCTCGGTAAACAGCTCAGCCTCAAAGACAAAAGGTTGGCGTCGTCCTTCAATCACTACCCCCACTCGCAAACAATCTGGTGTTGCTTCTTCCATGGCCGCTTCCATGACCAATACTGGTCCTCAAATGTCCCCTGTTCCTCTTGGTCCTAATTCAACATCAAAAAAGGTTACCAATGGAACGGTCAGATCAAATGCCTCTGCAATGCGAGAAGCCGCTTCCGCTTCCGTGACGTCTATGCCCAGTTCTGTCGATACCAACGCCCGCACGAGACGTGCCTTGTCGGGTCGAGATGACTTTTCAGACGGTCAGACAGACACGTTTGCCTCTAGCGGAGAGAGTGAAATGTCGGATGACGAACTTGATATTAATGAAGATATTCCCGTCACGGGTTTTGCCGTTGCAAGCAGCAAGCGTAATGCAGACTTTCACGAGTTGTTCCCTAGTATTCCTGAAGGCGATTATCTCATTGAAGGTTTGTCTCATTTCGAACATGTCAAACATCTACTGCATACCTTGTAGATTACGGGTGCGCATTACAGCGCGAGATCCTGATTCAAGGCCGGATATATATCTCAGAGAACCATATATGTTTCCACGCGAACATTTTCGGGTGGATCACCGATGTACGTTGCACATACTTGTGCATACTTGCAAACTAAATGATACCCCCACAGCTGTCAATCCCAATATACGAGATAACCGCTCTTGAGAAGAAGATGACGGCGTTTGTCATCCCCAACGCCATCCAAATAACCACTCGACAGGCAAAATACACCTTTGCTTCGTTCCTCTCCCGTGATACGACGTATGATGTCATTGCTAATATCTGGCGACTCGCCCGTCCTGATGATGCTCTAAGCCAAACTGGCTCGTCCGCCAACATCATCACGCCCGCTAGTACTTCTGATGTTTCAGGTCCCCTAATCACGATCGGAGGCAAAGAAGCAGCTCCTGTGACTAGCATTAACAAAGTCACGCATTGCGCATGCTCGAAAAATGGAGAACATCTTAATGAGATCGCGCTGGAAACTGTGTTGCCTGGAACACCCGACAAGATTTATAACCTGATGTTTGCGAGTGGGTTTATCAAGGATTTTATGCGGGTGGATCAGAAGCTCATGGGTGGGTGGCGTCGTGCTCGACTGGATCAGTGCTGATGCTCCCCATTCAGATGTGCAGATATCAGATTGGTCTCCCATAGGTGACAACTCCAAGCTTTTGGCGCGGAATATGTCATATATCAAGCCCCTGAATAATAGCGTAGGCCCGAAACAAACGAAGTGTGAGATCCACGATGAAACCTTGACCTACAACTTTGAGGATCACGTTGTGATGTTGACGACGACGAAGACGCCCGATGTTCCTAGCGGAGGCGTGTTCTCCGTCAAGACGAAGACGTGCTTAATGTGGGCAAGTGCTATTTCCACACGGGTGATTGTCACCACGCAGGTAGATTGGACTGGGAGAAGTTTCATCAAAGGTATGCTATTCTCTCTCGCAAAATCTCATGCTCATGCTCGCGATATGCACAGGTCTGATCGAAAAATCAGCAATAGACGGTCAAAAAGTGTATCACTCCGACCTTGACAAAGCTATGCGGATGTACATACAGGAACACCAATCCGAATTCATCCCAGCAGGCGTTGATCCAACAGCCGTAGCACCTGTTGAGCCTATCAGCCCCCTCATCGAACTCACGGACCCCACTTTCCTCAGTCGCTCGATGGGAATATCAGACGCGGAAGCTCGTAAAGCGCGCGAACACGAACGTAACAGACGTGGGCTCCAATGGGCATATGAGACGTTTGACGGTGCCTACGGCGTTGCGAAGCGCTCCACGGTTGGAGCGCTGGAACTTGTAAAGGAAGCTTGGGAACAGAGCTCGTCGATGACGATTTTATATTTCGTCATCGTTATTCTTGTGTTTAGTAATCTGTGGACGCTGATGCTTGTGGGGCAGAGGGAGGAGGTAGGGAGGCGGAAGGAGGCGAAGAGGATTGAGGAGAGGGAGAAGTGGGTGCAAGACGTTGTTACTGGTCTTTGGGAAGAGATGGCTGTTGGGAGGGCAAGAGGTGGTTCTGGTGTTTTTGGAGTTGGTGGTGGGTCGGTGAGTTCTGGTGGCAACGGTGGGGCTGTTGGCGGTGGGTCGGTGCATTCGAGTCATGTGAATGGTGATTGGAGGTCGGAGGTGGATGCTATCACTACGACGTTGAATGCTGTTGAGGAGCGGGTAAGACTCTTGAGGGAGAGTTTGGATGCCCTGAGTTAACTTATTGGAGGACTAGGGTCCCATGCACATACACACTACACTTATTATTATCCTAGGCACTGGCTAAATTGTGAATCGCTAACCTGATCGACACAGAATTCAAGTTTATTGATCGGTCTCTTCAGGATGCACGTGCGCATGGGCCAGGTGAAACTGACTATTAGTATCACGATCATGCCAAACCAGGTGTAACTAAGTAACCAGTGGATGATCTCCTGCAGTTGTCCTGCAGCGTTTGGAACGTTGTTCTAAATCTCAATCCATAGCGTTTTGCAAATCTACCCCTTTATATTCTTTGAAATAGTAATATCGCACCTGCCAGCTTTCTCACGCATATGTCTTTTGGACGCCCACCATCAATTAACGTCGGATTCAAGACTTCCCCTCCAGATCGCGGTTCTTTTCCTTTGGACCATGATGGTTCGCCTCACTGTCTTTATCACGACATGATTAATTAAATATGGTATATAGGCGAGTGCAAGGACCAGATGATGCAATACATGGCTTGCTTGCGCAAGAATTCTAGTGAATCCACTCCTTGCAGAGTCATAAGCAAACAATACCTCGACTGCCGAATGAACAAGTGCGCCAACGTCTGTTTTTTGTGCTCTCAATAGTTCACATCTGTTTCAGGGGACTTATGGAGCGCGACGAATGGAGGAATCTTGGACTAGCCAATCTAGAGGGAGACTCCACCGAACCAACGCGTACTAGGGCCTGACATGGGTGGATGGTATTTACATCTTGCAGTTATTAATTCAATCACTGGTTGCTTCAGGTCAATCGCGCGCATGATGAAAGTCAAATGTCTACGACCATTAGTGTCTCATTGGAGCGCCACTTCGTGGACTGCATGCATTACGAGGGATTTCTTGCAACATTCAATGAGCACGTACTGCTCAAATCGTACACCTGTTGTTGAACGTTTGTGCTTAAGTGCCAATCGATCTAGGTCTACAGTTACAAATTCATCAATCTCCATGTGTCGAAGGCGTTAACTTCCAGGTATGAACGTCCCAAGTGTTCAAAAGCCTTTCCGAATTAAATTCACTGAGTCAGTGACTATGTCCTCTCAACGTTTCAACGTCCAAAACTGTATATTAAAATCTAGATACAACTGGTCTGCGTTTTGAAACGCATTTATAGATTGCGACGAGGTGCGAGACGATAAATTCTCCCGCTTTTAAGGTTTGAATCAAAAATCTAGATTTTGCAGAAAGTCATCCAGCTGAGTCGGCAAGCCTGATTCAACAGTGCCATCCAGGTCACGTAGGCGACTCGAGTTTTGACTTACTACAGCTTGGAGCTTTTCAACTGCTCGCATATATACTACTCATCGCATTCAAGGATGATCACAAGATTCGGAGGATTCTAGTTCTATTCTTTTTGTGAGAAACTTCAGGCGCGTTTATAGTTGTTTCTCTCAGCATTCTGTGACGAATGGAAACTAAAGCCCATTTTCGCCTACCGTGATAGTTATCATGGAATTGATGGAGAATATTTGCTACTCCACTTAGCCGTGCCACTGCAGACATGGGAAACAACTGCGTATTTGGGACCCCTACTATTCGAATATAGGCCACTTACCGGGCTTTTTCTTCCAGTTTTTCTGTTGGTGTGGAATGATATGTATTTGGAAGAATTCTTCCTTGCAAACTGGCAGAGATTTATTGAGAAGAATATTTGCCAACTTCTACTGGACCTTGACATCGCTCCCATCACTGTGACTAGGCTATTCACCCAATACCAAAATTACCGCAAAGGAAGGTCCTTCGAGTCTTCCAAATTCGAGTAGCGTCATCTCTGAATACTTCTATTTTCTAGCACGGTTCCGAGATGGACGTATCTTTGAAACAAGGACCTACTAGGTAACGCACATACCACTACTAATGACTACAAGGTTTTTGTAGCTTACGCAGACAACGCTTCGTAAAAAGAATCGCCGGCCCTTACTAGATTCGCCAATTTCTGGGCGATATAACGGACACTCACGGAGTGACCGTAGGGGCATAAAAAGTAATCATTGAAAGATCAATTGTTCGTCACGAATATGGCGTCACTTCTCAAAGTTCTACTCATTCTCTCGTCTGCTATCATGCAGCAAGTATCGTTCACACCCCCAAACGTCCCCTCGAGTAATGAGATTATTCGCCCAACGTTTAATGAGCGGGTCTTCACTCGACTTATTATATACGGGTTCCCGACTATCCAGGTGAGTGTTATTACTACTCCTAGGCAATATACTGGATTTTTTCTTTCACAGAGATCGCCATCATAGTCTCTCACACAACAGACTATCTGTCTGTTATACAGTCCATCACACAGCACGCAGTCGGCCACAGGATTTATGACACGCCCATTACTTTCCCCTTCATTTTGGGCACCACACTTGCTGTCGCAGGGGGTCTCATCCGCTGGTGGTGTTTTCGCACCCTCGATCGCTTTTTTACATTCCAACTCAGTGTCCGCAAAGGACATCGTCTCTTCACGACCGGACCATACGCTGTCGTACGCCATCCATCATACACAGGAGGTTTTATGCAGCTGTTTGGCATGATAATCCTGCACGGATCGCCCACTTCATGGCTTAGACACTCCGGAGTTTTAGATATTCTTGGACTCAAATTGGCAGCGGTGGTATGGCTTACAGGGATGACACTTGTTTCCATAAACATCCTGTCCAGAATTAGCGAAGAAGATGAAGCACTAAAATCGGCTTTCGGGGATGAGTGGGCGAGGTGGGCGAAGGCAGTCAAATACCGACTGATACCTGGCATCTACTGAACCCATTACACTTGACATATTGATGTTTTTGCGATAGTGATAACTATTCACTGTTTAATCTTAGATCTGGATGACTCGCTCATATGTACGAGAAGACCGTCGTTCACTCTGAAATTAGAAGGGATTCATTTCAGATTCATTTTATTCGTTCGGTTTCTTTTTTGGTTACATAACGGTGACGCCGGTAACTAGACTTGGAGAAACATAGCCCTATAGCTCAATTACAATTTTATTTGGCCTTTTTATTTCGTGAACAGTTCGTGCAAAAGCTTCCGAAATAAAGTGCAAATAAGCAACACGTTCGGTGCTTGAAATCAGCTCATCGACGGTGCAGGCGTCGTTGAAACACGTTCACGCCACCATAGCAGATAGTTCCCCGCAGGCTATAATATCTCTCGAAGCCTTGCCATCATCTTACTGGCTGATGCAGAGACACCGGATGACCAACTATTTGCAGCAACAATTGCACTGCAAACACTCGACGCGAAACAACGAGGCACTAAGTATGGACCACGCAGGCCATATGACCAACATCGTACGTGGGCAGCATGTTTTCTGGGATGTTGTGGTCACTGGTGACCATATTTCGTTTTCGACTTTTTCTAGTTAACTGGCGAACGCGTGAGTCAAATAGCTCAAACTATAGTGCTTACTAAACGAGGAAGCGCGTCTCTTTCTTTTATCTTCCGACTACACCTCACGCTTATCCGATTATTGTTCTCAAGTTGAGAATTCGAGAACCTATGTACACTGACTCTAAACTCTTATACTACTTCAACGCGTAAAATGACAGATACCTCGAATTTTGGCGCGCCTGTTGGGGCAGGCGGGAAAACACTGACGCGTTTAACCCCACTAGGGAACCGGGTCGAGCGAGGCAGGCTGGCTGCTGGCAGGAGCCCCGCCTCGCTCGTCTCTTACTAAGCCAAAAGAGTACGTCACAGGAGTCCAGGACCTCGACTTAGAATCTTAGATGAGTTGATGGAGACTGCTGCTAATCAAACATGGGAAACAATGGCCTACCGGGGACCCTGACTACTGGAAGAATTCTTTCCTTGCAAAGTGGCAGAGATTTATTAGGCAGAATATTTACCGACTTCGACTGGACCTGGACATCGCTCCCATCACTGTTACTAGGCTATTGGCCAATACCAAAATTACCGCAAAGTAAAGTTTTCCGAGTCATCATGGATTGGGTAGCGTCATCTCTGAATATTCTAGCACAGTTCCGAGATGGACGTATCCTTGAAACAAGGACCTACTAGGTCAGGCACATACTACTACTCATGATTTTTGTAGCTTCCGCAGACAACGCTTCGTAAAGATTCGCCAATTCCCTGGGCGATGTAACGGACACTCACGGAGTGACCGTAGGGGCATAAAAAGTAGCCATTGAAAGATCAATTGTTCCTCATGAATATGGCGTCACCTCTCAAAGTTCTACTCATTCTCTCGTCTGCTATCACGCAGCAAGTATCCTTAACACCCCCAAACGTCCCTTCGAGTAATGAGATTATTCGCCAAACGTTTAATGAGCTGGTTTTCACTCGACTTATTATATACGGGTCCCCGATCATGCAGGTGAGCGTTGTTACTGCTTGTCCACAACCATTTTAACAGAGAAATGCCCTAGGCAATCTACTGGATTTTTTCTTTCACAGAGATCGCCATCATAGCCTCTCACACAGCAGACTATCTGTCTGTTATACAGTCCATCGCACAGTACGCGGTCGGCCACAGGATTTACGACACTCCCATTACTTTCCCTTTCGTGTTGGGCACCACACTTGCTGTCGCAGGGGGTCTCATCCGCTGGTGGTGTTTTAGTACCCTCGGTCGTCTTTTCACATTCCAACTCAGTGTCCGCAAAGGGCATCATCTCGTCACGACCGGACCATACGCTGTCGTACGCCATCCATCATACACAGGAGGTTGTATGCAGATGTTTGGCATGATAATCCTGCACGGATCGCCCACTTCATGGCTTAGACACTCCGGAGTTTTAGATATTTTTGGACTCAAATTGGCGGTAATGGCATGGCTTGCAGGGATGGCGGTTGTTTTCATAAGCTACCTGTTCAGGGTTCACGAAGAAGACGAAGCACTCAAATCGGCTTTCGGGGATGAGTGGGCGAGGTGGGCGAAGGTAGTCAAATACCGACTGATACCTGGCATCTACTGAATTCATTACACTTGACGTTTTTGCGATAGCGACAACTACTCACTGTTTAATCTTATAACTAGACTTGGATTGGAGAGACGATTCGATATATTTTATACAAATTTTATAGTATTTCGACCTTGACCTTTTCTTTCTGTTATCGTTGATCTATAGGCGAACCTAATGTTAACATATTAGTTCCTAGGTAATATAGAACGCGGTGAATAATGAATATAATATTCCGACTTTCTTTCTCAGCTTTCCCCTACAAGTACCCGATATCGTCATGCGAGAAAGTCGGGATCAGCCATAGATATCATTTGGCCATCAATAATATTCAAATGTCAAGATGACGAATTATCGCTGTGTGCAACGCTGTCACATGCATTCCTTCATTGGCCTTGGGCTGAACACTCACATTGCCTTTCATTTCCTTGCGCGCAATCCCCGAATCGCCCCGTATTTCATCGTTCTTGGCTCTGAGTATCGATCAAAGTGGCGAGAAAAGTCGGAAGACATCAAATACCAATCAATCGTCACGCTACGTTTACCTCAACTCCAATATGGAGAAACACGTCAGCTTAATGGCCGACCAAAGCTGTTGCGAGGTGATTCACAGCTGATGCACGCAACAGACCAGAATCTGGCGCAGCCTGGAAGAGATCATCGCGCAAGGGATAGAGGAGGTGACAAACTTGAATGCTGTAATTGAGAGCACAGGATATGGCGACAGTGGACATGTTGCGAAATACATCCATAGCGCGCTACTAGTATCCGTATAGTTTATTTATGGGGCTGAGGACTCTGTTGCCAGAAGAGATGGATAGGTATCAAGCTGCCGTGACAAAGGAGGGCCTGTGCCAAATCATTGGAGTGAGAAGTGCAAGGAGGCTGGTATGTTGTGACCATCTGGAGGTATTTGTGGCGATTCCTCATAGGCGATAGAGAGAGGCTTTGGGTTACCCCTCACAATAGACACAGAGCGGCCGCGCTGTGGGAACAACTGGAACGCAATTCAGATAGCCATTGATGTGTTGGCGAGGATACCTGGAGGGAGAATCCCGTGTCCTTCAAATAATGACCTGCGGTGATCTGCGAAATGCGGTCAAGACTCAAGACCTTCCAGCTCGGGAAGGTTAGCATCGGGAATTGAGGTAGAACCCAAAAAAGTTCCACGGACTGATCATGTAGTCGACAACCGTGTCAAACTAGTAGTTATCTTTTTCAATTATCAGTCACAAGCAGTGTGCCGTTCAAGTGCCTTGTAATACACAGCTGCTCACCATCATGTCCGTCAAATCGATCACATCTCATAGCCAGTTCATTTCTATCGTAGGCACTTCATAGCCAATGACATAGCACAATCACATTTGAGCCCACAGATGATGGAAGAGGGGAAGACTGTCATCGTAGATTTCGTATCCGAAAGGTGCCCTCATTGCAAAGCCATCGCCCCCATGTTTGATGAGCTCGCAAGCAAGTTCTCGTCGGACAAGGTTGAGTTTTACGTCATTGACGCCGAAAAACTCGACGATGTCAGCTTCGAAGTTGGTGGCATAACGAGCGTAAATATCGGATATCTTTTGCACTTTCGCTGACCACTGATCTGTATGGCTTCTCAGTATCCTACATTCATCGCATTTAAGGACGGTAACAAGATGGAAGAATCCACGTTTGGTGCTGCTCGTGAGAGGCTGCAGGTGCGTGTATAGTCTTTGGAGCATTCGAACAGAAACCCATTTTTTGGCTACCATGCTAGACATTTGTGGAGAAATACTGTTCAACTTGATGTTACATTGTTTATCGTGGGCCAAGGATAGCTTTGGTCGATCGGAAAACGACTTTCATTGACAGGGATATCTTGGTCAGGCACCGGCTCGTTTATGAACTATGTCTTACCTTCAGTGTCTACGAGTTCTACGGGTTCTATGAAGTTCTTAGATGTTCTGTATGGATGACCATATGGTGCCAGATTTTACAGAATACCCATGACTCTCGATGCGACGTGGACATCGCACCAGGTAGTGGGTCTTTCTCAGACACATTTACCCGCGCCGTTCCTGGAATCTTCTAGTCCTTCTACTGTTCACCCAGTGTGATATGGATGCCGCGGAGATCTTACATGGTTTACCATGTTCAAATTTCGTACTCTTGCGGGCAACGACACGTATAAAACCTGGGGCTGCATTTGGTTAGAACTTACTCATTCTTTTAGAAACGACTGTCTTCTTCTATAGGAGACTTCTGATTATGTTTGAGCTCAGTGGGGAAGTGCAATTCATTCCTGTAAGCAATCACAGTGGACACACTTCCAGTAAGCACTCGAGTATAAGTTCATCTTTGACTCTTCTATCTGGCATGTTGATCCATCAATTTGACCAAGCTAGGGTTTTCAAATTTCAAAATCGGACTCAGTACTCGAGTTTCGAGAAGCTGGGGTCAGGAAGCCACTTATATGTGCCTCAGTGTGCGTGCATGCGGCCTATCGAGCGTCATCATCGCGTGAAACTAACATCTTTTTCCATTATACAATTTTAGCAAAGGAATCTGGGATTATCCGCTGCGTAGAATCGGGGATCCTGGTCTGGCTTGGGCCTGGTGCGTGTACCAATGGCGGGATGTAGGACTGACGACATGACAATATCCTTAGGCTCCACTCTCCACACACTGTTTTACCAACGCTTGCTTTCTCATTAGTATGCCACTGCCGTTAGAGGAAGTTGAACCCTTGATTATGGTCTCAGCGACGTACTCATGTATAAAAGCAATCGTTGACACCTTCAAGTGCTCTTCATGATCATGGAGTCCCTTCTCAAAGTTCCACTTATTCTCTCGTCTGCTATTGCGCTGCACATATCGTTCACGACCAAAAATCTTCCTTCGAGTAAAGAGATCGTTCATCAAACTCTCAACGAGTGGATCTTCACCCTGCTCGTTAAATATGGGTTTCCGACCATAAAGGTGATTTTTGTCGCCTGCCCACGAACATTTTATAGAACTCCATCAGGCGTTTTATTGGGCTGTTTCTTTCGCAGAAATCGCTACTATTGCCTGTCATACAACAGACCCCACTTCTGTTTCCGTGATACGTGACACACCTATCACTTTCTTTTTCATCTTCGGCACTGCACTCGCTATTACAGGGGGTCTCACCCGCTGGTGGTGTTATCGCACCCTCGGTCGTTTTTTCACTTTCCAACTCAGTGTCCGCGAAGGGCAACACATTATAACGACCGGACCATATGCGGTCGTACGTCATCCATCCTATACAGCAGGTATGGTGCAGATCATCGGCATATTGATCCTGCACGGATCGACCAATTCATGGCTCAGACACTCAGGGGTTTTGGATATCCCTGGACTGAAATTAATCACGTTCGCATGGCTGGCTGAGATCACTCTTCTCATGATAAGCGCCGTGCTCAGGGTCAGCCAAGAGGATGAAATTCTGAAATCAACTTTCAGCAGCGAGTGGGAGAGGTGGGCGGAGGAAGTCAAGTATCGGCTGATACCTGGCATTTATTGAACCCAGGGCACATGGATCATACTATCGTTGTGCGATGGGAACTCTCTCCTGACAAAAGGAACAACAATCTTCCCTCGTCTATAAAGGTCTGTCTAAGGGAGACTAGCTCTCTACAGTTCAATGGCAGAATACCCTTGCATTTATTGTCTCTATAAATGACCTTTTCTCGACTTATGATAAATATTGACCTTGGTTCTTCGTAGGCTACGATGTGTTCTCCTTACGTACTTCATTCTATATGTACAACCATTCCTCCTCAAGCCTGTATGATTTTCCTTCTGCTTCTTGACAGAGCACCTCCCTTTGGTTCGGCCGAACACTGTGTTTCTTCTTCTTTCATAATCCGAGCCTGACCAATCACATGCAAACTCTGGCTACGTGCCGCCGTGCTATTGATTGTATCGAGCTTGGCTGCCAAGTCACAGAAGTTCTATATTTAGGTGTTATCCAGTCATTCAGGGTGGTTCACGCTGGAGGACCAGACGTTCTTGTAAATTGCAGATGGCTTTGATGCCGTAATCTGCACTTTTATAGCTGCTGTTCGTCATCTGTGTTCGTGCACATCCAACAAGATGGTGGTATCATAGACTACTATGAATCAAGGTTACGTATTCACATCCGAGTTATGTGCGAATGCCATGACGTCGAGGTCTGTGATACCATCTGATACATAATCAAGCTGAGAGAAATATTCTCGAGTACTTATGACCAGTCGGGGAACAAGGACACATTGCTGGATGGTGACGAAGAATATTGCAGTACTTCTATACCACCGGCTCCCGTTGCTATCACCCTGTGGTTCATCATGTTGTGGTCACTGATGAGTATCGGCAAGGAAAACGCTTACATTCGTAGATATAGTAGCAACCTGCATAACACTCAATATGAGATAGCTGAAAGCAATGGTAAGAATGTTTGAAAGGAAATAAAACGCATCTACTCACCACGAAAAATGCAGTACATGGTCCCTAAGGATGGCAAGACTATCGCTGTGACCATCACCAAATCCATAGTCTGAATGTGTTCTCTGCATCTCACGGACATACTCCACGAGGGCCCGTACGACAAGCAGGAGAAATAGAAGCTCGATGCATAGACTTGGAATACCGTCAAGAAAGGGTACCTTGGGGGGCATGGATGTAGTGCAGACTCCCGTCCTGGAAAGCACGTATTCTTCAGCTGGATATCAACGATTCATGAACGAATGATTGTCACAAGAATCAGCTGACTTGCATATTAGGCCACCTGTTATTCCTCGGAAAGCGCTAGCAGCCAGAAAACAGATAATAAGGAATATTCGCATCCGCATGGATCGGTGATACATGGCGAAAACACGGATTGACATGATCGCTACGGATGATTTTGAAACATCAATAATAGTCCGCGTTCATGTGATCACATCATGGAACGGAACGGACCATACATCGTGCACGCGAGGGCAACCATTCCCCATGACCATGATCTGACAGCAATGCCACCTAGCAGGGATTAAAGGGATTACTGCACGTATGTAGCTAATAGACTCACACCTAGAACTGACATGAGCAAATGGACTGCAGCAAGTTAGTAGCTGGTGGAACGTACTCCTGTGTTTGACTAGTCAGTCAAAAATGTTTCTCTGCGAGTAACTTAAGAGGCTTCACCGCATCGCTCAAAAAGATACCTGCCGCCCCTACTACAAATCGAAACATGAGTGGTTGGTGTGAAAGCAAAATTCCACAAACAGGTACATACATGTCTGAACTCTGAAACCGTCCTCAGTCAACAGATCCGTGTCCTCCATTTTAAAACTTACATTGCAATCACAAGACCCAAGTAACGTGCCTATACAATATCGTCAGCCCACATAGTGCGATGTTTTCAGAGAGCAATGTACGACGATATATAGGACTGTCGTTAGCCTCCAGCGTTGGCACTACCGTGGCGGAATGTTGGTATAAGTCAAACAAGTACATTGGTTTGGAATTCCTCACCCATATCAGTTCCACCTATTCGGAATGAAGGCGTCAAAAGGTGGAAGTAACAGTTTTCAAAAGATCGCACAACATACTTCACGAATGAGAACGAGGCCTGGTAGACCACATTTGAGTATGCTTGCACTAACTTATGATATAAAAGGTTAGATACCATAGTCGTAGAAGATGATTGTTGTCGAAGCCACTGTGCGGGAATGAACTCTACTAAGAACCTGAACAATCTGAAAGGACCAGAGGCTTACCACTCAATCTAAAGTGAAGGTCATCATATCCGATAATCGACCAAAAGTTGGACGTAAAGTTCATATCCCGTGTGTGGATCAGAACAAAAGAACGACGCTGAAGAAGTCGACCTTTTGTACTTTTTCCGGAGACGCCATGACTGTGCCATCATTGCTTCCTTATACGTTATAGCTGGTCCAATGATATCAGTTTCCATATCGGCTGTACCACATTGACCTGTACATGGAGACTCAATTTTGAAATCTAATTCATCGACTCTATGTCACTTAGGCCGGAGCTTGGCCTCCAGTCATAACAATTCAGTCAAAGAATCTCCAATACGTTACAATAGCAAAATGTCGTCAAGGCGCGTGTGTGGCATTAATTAATGGTTGCAGCAGGAAAAATCGTGATGGGTATCAATGCAATATCAGGGGGACGATGATATGCGTAAGGGTCACAGGGGAGATAATTTCGTGTCCAAAATTCTAATCTCCCTCACAACTAAACCTGGAGAGATATTCAGAAAGAGTAAGCGTGCGAAAAGGACAGCACATACCAAGCTAAGCTCAAGGGTCCATACTCTCCTTGCCCATAGCTTCACAGGCATAGGTGGCTCTCCTGGTGCAGCTAGATCGACCTCAAGGCCGTCCCACCAGCACTTGCGCTAGCATGGATACATGAACGACTGTCCCGTGTATATCTAAAGCAAACTTACCGCTGGTTTTCTCCAGAACAATAACAACTTCTGTGCTGTAGCCATTTGATTATAATCGATGGTGACCGGGCGCTCGTTGTTTTGTCCCAGAGGATGATGTACAATGCCCGTCTTGAGTAATACAAGAGCGATGGAAGAGATACAACACCGCGAAGGCTCCATAGCACGGAAACCCCATTCGTCGTCTCGATTGAATCCACTGAGGACACTGTCAGTTACACTATAGATAGCTATCAGCGACCTTACCTCATGCACAACATATCAATAAGGTGTTGTTCAGCAATATTGTTCTCTTTGTGGACGTTTCTTTGGAGCGCGGTAAAGATATTACGCTTGTCCATCACATTTTGTCCACACTTGTGCTTGATATCAAGAAGAGCTTGGTTGGCAGCGCCATGTTCATCAGTCAAAGCCTTTCCTTGTTTTGGCGGTATAGCAAAGTATTCTAGTTCTTCGCGAAGCACGATGATCGCCTGCTTGGTAAGGAGTGGATTCTGTGATACAGAAGGACCAAAATCTGAAGGTGACCCGTCAAGAAGATGTTGCTGCGCCGCGAACAAGCCAGGCGAAGTATTGGTCCCATAGAACGTGTCTGATGCGTTTCTGAAGAAATCAAGCACGTATGCAAAGCACTCTGGGTCAAACTGCGGCGCGTCAGCAAACGTGAACCACGTGAATTGTTCAGTAGCCACTTACATCGACGCCGTACACCTCGTCATCCTCTTCGTTGTCACCGCCATCTGAGAATGCTTGGCTCTGACGGCTCAAAACAAGCCCATTTGGAAAGAGACATAAGAGAACAGATTCGGGGAGATTCATTATAGTTTCTCTGTCAACCGAGAAACGTCTGCCCCGGAGGTCGAGGAGCAGCCTAGTAAGTAACTGAGGCTGGAGGCTGGTGTTTACGGGTGCATGCTGGGACACCTGCGTGATTGGTGAGGAGGATATCGATACTGCTGCCATGATGGTCAACAGTGATGATGAGGGAAATGTTGTGAAGGCTGCTCAGGGATTCTAAACATCAACTTTCCCCAGCGCCTCGAGGCTACCACGACCTGCTTCCCTTGTTTGTGCAAACCAAATACTTCCACGACATTAACCCTGGGCTATACTGTATTCAAAACTTGGCATTTTTTGCTACAAAAAGTCCTCTAGTATGTATAAGGAGTGGACGATGCATGTAATTAATCTGAACGATATCTCAGGCATCAAAATTGAAATATTACAGAAATATCGCGTTTGTGATACTGTTCAGATCAACTGCGCACGCTAAGGTAAAGTAAAGGAAAGACAGGAATAAAAGTCGTGAGGTATCACCATAAATATGACATGTATAAGTATTCCAAAGAGAGCAAACGAAGAGCATCCATAAATTCACTGGCCAGCCAAAAGTTCGGAACCTGATATCAAAGAATGTCACATGAAATCAAAAATAGAACGTGTCTTTAATATCCGCTTCCATATCCTCCAGGATGCGGAGGCGCTGCACCAGGTGGCAGATTAAATGCTGTTGACGAACGAGAGTATCGGTTTTGAGGCGCCTGTGATGTGGACCGACGGACTGATGGTCTCGCTACTCTACGAACACCCTCAGGCCCAGGAACAGGTCCATTGTCAGACAAGCTGACCCCACGGCCCCCTTGTGGATATTTGCTGGGTACAGGTGGCGGTGACATATCTTCCGGTTCGGCACTATAGCCACCATACTGATCGTCATACGTAGCCACATGTGGTTCGGAACGGAATGGGTTCTGGGTCTCTCCAGGGTATTGGCTAGATATGGTCTGATTGCGAAGAACACCCCCTGCCCGGGCAACGTGAGCATCGAACTGAGGGTACCGCGGCGTCGGAGATTCAGCATACGAGTCGACGTATTGATCTGACTGGGCAGAAACCAGTCGTTGATTAGAGGTGGAGCCGCCGTCTGAATAAACAACATCCTCGCTAGAGCGTGACATAGCGGCTGACGAGGTTGATGTTACAGAGGTGGGGTTCTTACTGACGGAAAGCGGTGCAGGAAGCGTAAGAAGGCCGTTACTGTCGTGTCTTGACCGAGTACCAGACACGTAAGGTACACTGGGTGTAGACTCTGTCGTTGACGAGTCAACACCACCATTATGGTTGACATCAGAGTTTGATGCCATCGAGTACCGATTGTTGCTGTAATGGGAGTCAACGATAAGAAACAGAGCACATCACCGATCACAAGACTTACAAAGTCGAATCACGAGATTGCACTCCACTCTTCCATCGCCTATCACGCTCGAACTCAGCCCAGCGCTTCATAACGATATGCGAAGAGTCGAATTCTCCCTCCTTATCACCATGGTTGGCACCCTTATCACCTGCAACTTGCCGCGTCTGACCCCATGAGAAGTCATCAAAGTGCCAGAACGCATAGGCAGGAAGAAGACCGTTCCATATGGGCAACGAAATCAAATAGACGATCATCCACCCGACATAAGCGACCTTGCGTGACGTTACGACAATGAGAAGACCGGGTAAACCCAGGACGATAGCAAGCAGCACGAGAGGAATGGTAGTGTTAGTACCGCCAGGAATGATAGAGATGATGATGAGGTAGAGAGTGAAACTAATAGCGGCAGGCAAGACGAGCGTTCCCACAAGCTCCATACCCACGACGAACTGCATCGAGAAACAGAATGTTCCGCAAAGATCGCGGACAAGAACGAGCTCAAACAGATTATGAATCGTCGAATTAATCCATCGACGACGTTGGGAGAGCAGAACGCGGAAGGTGTCAGGGACGATGGTCTTGCAGACTGCCTGGGGGCAGAACATGTTCTTGCGCCGCGGGAATGTCTTGAGCAGCAGGGTTGTGAGGTATCGATCTTCTCCGAGGAGTAACAGGTTTTTCTTGTGCAAAGTGTCGACAACGTTCTCTGAGTACCGTTCCACAATATCGGGGTTTGCCAGGACAGGAACCCAGTACCCAGTGTCACCCTTGGGAGCCTTGATCCGGTACATACTGAAGCAACCGGGCAGACAAGTAACACCACCAAACATGGCTTCGAACGCCTTAGTCATGTGGTGTGAGATGTAGTACTCGAAGACTGCGAGGTAAAAATTAGGGTTAGGTTCTTACAGACACCAACAGACAAATCATACCCTGCATCATCGTCACGAAATTATCCGCTTTATTCGCAATCTTTGTCTCTCCGCACAGACCCATGATCTCAACGTCCACAACCATGCATGACACCATGCGAGTCAACGAATCCGGGAACACCTTGGTATCCGCATCAACGCAAAGCACAAGCTCGTATCGATCTGGGCTGACACCCGTCACCCGCCACATGGAATTGAAAAACTCATATTCAAACGTCGTCATCCGCTCGTCAAACATGACCTTCTGTAAGAATCCCATGAGCACAATCTGCGAGTCACGCTTGCCTCTGTTTCCGGGCTTTGCATCGTTTGCCTCTAGCGGGTTGCCAACTTTGGCAACGACAACCATCGGAACGCGCTGCTGCTTTGAGACCTCGACCGAGGCATCATTGTAGTCATAGAAACCGGCATAGACCTTTGCCATGTTATGACGCTTGTGCCCATCAGCAATGGCAACATAGGAGTGTGGCTCGACTTCATCCGGTGGGATGGCAAAGTCTTTCATCATCGAAAGACAAATCTCTGGCGTCGTCATTGAGTTACCAGCACCTTTGACCATACCATCTGCAATGACCAGAATAAGCTTGTGGCTGTTAGGGTAATCTGTCGTTGCGAGAGAGTCGAGCGTTGTACGAAGACCTTCGACAGACTCTGAGTATGCCGTGACCAGGCAGATAGTGTGCGCGAGGGGAAAGTTGAACGGTTCGAAATCGGGGGGAGGCTGTGGCACAACATTCTGCAGAGGGAACGGACATGGTGTATCAAGGAACGCGGAGCGAGGAGAGATATTGCGGGATGATACATCACCAAACGACATAGTGCTTCTTGATTGACGGTATGGTGTATCAGGGGGACTGACTTTAGAAGAAGCCTTGGTGGAGTATGTGGTGTTCCGCTTATAGGGATCTCCCATTCCGTAATTTGTGGTAGGTCTAGGAGAGGCACCCTTGGGCATATTTTCCTGTGGTGTGAAGCGAGAGGTAGACGGGAAGAACCCTTTCTTCCCAAGCTTCCCATTCCGTAACCCGTTCTTGCTCACGTTGGGACGATACTCGCTTGGTGCAGGCCGGTAGATATCATTTGACCAGTCCTCAATTTGGGCGGAGCGCTGCATGCGTTGCTCGTATGTCTCCCGCGGGAAATTGCCAAGCTTCCATGAGAAAAACCATGCGAACATGACGGCCATGACAAAGCGAATAGCGACAACACCAATGATGAACACGAGAGACAGATAGAGGACGACCTCAGAGGCAACGCAACCGATTGAGTTGGTATCAATAAACCCGACCGTGATCACGTCCTCGAGGCACTTGCCGACCTGGTGCTGGTTTGATCGCATGAACATCATAGAAAGGTCTTTTCCATTGTACGTTCCGTCTGCATTCTTCATCTCATCGAAAAGAGCAGGGTACTGCACCTCAGTAGTGCTGAGCCACTGTAGGAGATCTAGGTCGAGGACGTTGCTAGAAAAATGGTGAAAACATGAAAATATGAACTACGTAGAAACTCACGACTCGAAAACGGCCAAATTGCGATTGGAAGCTGCGACATCATCCCACGTGTAGTAGACCTGCCCCTGAGGCTTCATCGCAGCTAACCCCTGCCTTGCTGTTGAAGATACATGACAGTTCGTCGAGTCTCCATATCCTGACACATTCTGTGCGTTTGACTGTGGATTGAACACATTACAGGGGAAGTACCAGTCCAACATTTGTCCACTGCCCGTGATACTGGAACCGTTCGCCTTCGTGATGATGCCCAAGCAATTATCATTGGTGATCTGGAACAAGAAACTTGCATCATTACTGGGGAGGTTCCATCCGCCAGTCAGAAGCGGGTTTGTTGATCCGTTGAACGGCCCCACGGCTGGATGCTTGAAGTTGGAAAAGTCGTAGTCATAGCCATGGATTATCACCGAATTGTTCTGAATCTGGCCCTGGTGGAATCGATTTGGAGGAATGCCGCAAACAGTTTCTGTGAAGCCGAATGTGATGAAACCGACAGCAGACATCTCTATCAAAATGATGCTGATAAGACCTATTTTCTCGCGCCATGCACGTTGCGCATCTGGCGTGCGGATGCCTGACAAAAAATAAGCAATCTTACAGGGAAGCCATACAAAAATGCCCACCGCATGCCCGGAAAATGAAGTGAGGAATCCAACAGGTAATGATGTAACAGTAAATAAACCAAGCATCCTTGGGCCCTGGTCCGATGGTATCGAGGCATTTGCGTGACTGGTGGTCAGGTGCTGTTAGTGGCGCGGCAGACTGAGTGGATGCTGGGCGCTTGCGTCGAAGGGTTGCGCCCCGTTTAAAGAGGGCAAGTCCTGACTCCTGCACGTCCTCTTCACGCCCAAGAAAAGATTTTCCCCTGCGGAGCATTGCTTTCTGCGGATAATTACCAGTAGCTAAAAATGATGAGTTAGACAACATGCTACCAGGGCAGAAATACGCACTTGATGGCTGAACGCCCACTCTACCAGTCCCCTCGTTCTGCATCTGTGCCGCATGAGTGCGGTAGTGCCACTGCCTGTGGCCAGGGTCGATCTTCTCCCTATCTGGTTTTACTAAACTCTTTTTCCGCCCCACTCGTGCAGGATCGACATGATCTGCTCCTGCAGAGCCGACAGTAGGTGAAAGTTGGTTTTCGTATGCAGAGGGTAGTGTACGTTGGCGTTGCTGATCCAGGGCACTCTGCCTATCACCACGCTCAGTGCTTTGGAAAGAGATATTTTGTGTCCTGCCCTCTTGAAACTGGTTGAAGGCTGGCCGCTGCTGCGAGTAGGCGCTCGCAGGTGATGGCGAAGATGAATGGCTATGCCCAGAATACTGCTGCTGTGGATAGACGGGAGGAGACTGCTGGGGCGATGGGTGATACTGCTGGTGGTAGGCAGACCTTGGAGGTCTTCGATCACGATAATCCATTGTTTTACAGTCAAGGAAGGTCTAGGATCACCCTGACGTAGTCACTGTCGTAGAGGTCGGCAGCGCTGCTTGTGATAGTGAGAGCAAAGAGCGGCGGATTCGGTTGAAGGGAATGGGAAGTGGCTGCTGCCCCGTGTAGTGGCGCAAGCGGCAAGGCAATTTGAAGGCCTCTCTATTCGTCGTTTTTTGCCACGAGCAGGTCAAAACAAACCAGGTGACTATTTTCGGACACACGTTTACATGAAAATCATCGTGTTTTGAATGTTCATTGCTCTCGCCATGTCGACACTCATTAGAAAACAAAGTAATATCAGTACAAAAAACAGCATATACTGCTCAAGCTGAGGTATGGTTGTTGGACTCTCCACAGTACTTGAACAATTTTAGCTTACTCCAAACTTCGTTTAGCCAGTCATCCGAGTCGTTGAACATGCTGTGCTCTCAGCAACACGAGGACAACGAGCATATGCCATACGGTAACAAAACGCAGCACTTATTTTTATCCACACATTCCCATCCGGCGGGCGCTAGCTGTTGTTACCCGGCGTACTCTGTAACCCGTGTGAGGAGGCATAATTCGGTAGAGGTACCATTGGTACTCGGACGTAATTTTGTCCGGCAGATCCGGACGTGGGCATAACTATTTCGACGCCGTCCTGCCCCGCCAATCATGCATATGATGCAGGTGTGTTTATATATTCTACATTAGACTCCCAGATCAAAGTCGCACTGCATACAGTGAGACTACACTTGACACTATCTGCCAAAACCAGCATTAGATCAACGAATCAGAGGCAACACGCCTGAGACGCAAGTTGCACAGTAGTAGTACGGACACAGAGGACAAGCACTGTGAATATGGTGAAAAGTTAATACATGGCCTACACGCAGGCGGACACTCATATGTCGATCATTGACGAGTATTCAAAGTGTTTGGAATTCAGTTTGAGCGACATAAGACGTTGTTTGAACATGATATGTACCCTAGGATTTGTCGCAGTGCCGCATCAATTTCACCTGGCCCCAATCACATAGGCTTGCTAGGGAGCTGAGTTAACAGGACACCATAACGCTTTTTAAGAGTAACACGGTGCCTCGAGAATTTATCATCGGGCGAGAAACGTGCTGTATGGACAAGGAGTATCAGTACGCCAAGGTATGCACGCTCTTGAGCCGGAAATTTTTGAACCAGGAGAAACGAACCTGGGTGTGCAGACTTGGTAATTCGGCCTGTATCTGTTGTTTTCTGAAACGGCGAGTCAGACGAGTGCCTCCCTTTCCATGACAGTGAAGATGCTCACATTCAAAGTGTATATTCTGTTCCCACTCTCGTCTAGCGTATACATAAGATGCATGGCTGCGAATGACTCGTGAACGCTGGCAAACGATGAGTGCAAAATCACAAAATAATCTCCAGTGTTCTCACGCTGCCAGTTTCTTGTTACATAATTATGGCTAAAAACCGGACTTGTCGCCTCTCGATAGCTCCTCGATGCCTATTTATTTGCCTCCTACAGTATCTCGATCATTGCGCATGCATTGTGACGTGCAGTGTGCACACAATAACCTGCGCCTATCCATCGATTGGAATAATTTGTGCACGGTACTAATACCCTCAACGTCAGAAGTTGAAGCAGCTGGAACTTGAGTGATGCCTGACCTGTTGGGTAGCTGCCGTTTCTAGCGCTTATCCTTTCGGTACGCCCGGTCGTTCATCATACGCGGCAGTTTCTTACCATCTAATTTGCAGTTCTCCGCCTCCCCTCTTGGCTGCTTGGTATGCGCCTCAAGAGAATTTCACCTTTAGTCAAGGAATTGCCCTTTGAAAACTCAAACATCCATTTGCATACACGGAGCGTTGTCTTGTAAACACAACGTTTTGTGAGATATCTTGTTCTCAAGTTTGTACGGTTGACTATGTATATCGGAGCCATTCTGGACACGAAGATTTGCGGTCTACCACTATGGACGAACAAAGATTCATTCAATTGTTTGTCGGCACGATTTTGCACAGCACGGTGCATCTGTATTTATCAGTGCTCCCATTCTCGCCCATCAACTCAACCATGGCTACCGAATATACATGGGATGCAGCGACGGGACAGCTATTGGGTGAGCCCTTGGAGGAGCATACTGATGCAGTTTTATCAGTCTTGTCCTCACAGAATGGTCCTTGTACCACGTCTGGTTCTTTGCGTGTAAAATGGCGCGTCTGTGGGATATAGTAACAGGATAGCCATCCGGTGAGCCCGTGAAGAGGCACACCGGGTGGGATGAATCAGTCTCGTTCTCACCGGATGTTACTCGCATCGAGTCTGGTTCGCTAGATGAGACTGTATGGTTACGGTGGAGCGCAGTGGAAGTGCAGCTATCCCCTGAGTCCAGAGAGCCAGGTTCCTCCATACTTTTGCTGCATCGAGGCCCACGCCTTCAACCCAATAAATATGCTAATCAATTCTTGTAGAGATCAGCTCGTTTCCTTCTCTTCCAGCCTAGAACACGCTCTGCCCAACCCCGCTGACTTGCTCGAACCCACTTTTCCTCGTGATTCTAATTAGACCCCTTCCTTGCTGTAGCCTGATGGATATCCTTGATTTGAGCTGCATGCACACGGAACGCGCTGGTCGAGTTGCCGAGATGCGTAAGTTCTTAGTCTTTAACAGCCGTACTCGCAGTTGCTAACGTCAATCCTGCTAAAAATTTATTGTTGTAATATCGAGTAGACCATTTGATTCTTTGATTCTCTGCCAATTTTATACCCGACACCGACCTGGATTCACGGTGGTCCGACTGAACGATGGGCTGAAAAGCAGACTGGTCCTATGATAGAAAGCTCATGACCAGACAATGTCCCACATAGGGTCTATGACCCCAAAGGACCAGCTCTGAAGCAAAAAAAAGCAGACTGGGCGAAGTGGTAAGGGCACGTACCGAAAACTACTTTCATCAGCGACGTCTTTGTGCCCTTGAAAGCGGAGTAGATGATGTTGGGTGTTGAGTAGATATCACAGGCGCTTCGGTGTTCCTGTTTTGCTCAAAGATGTCATCATGTTGTCAGTGCCGAGAAGATTAGTTTCAAATTCCAAGTTCTTGATCATGGTAGCCACAGTCTTTCGATTGGCCACAACCTCGCACGCACAGAGACACAAGTGCTGAACGACTTATTCTGACGTCTAAGATCTGACGAGATCATCTGCATTGAGGGAACTGGGCCAGCGTGCTGCACTGGTATCATGACAGATGGAGGATGCCTTTTTCATGTCTCTTTGCATATTCCGCCTGGCTGGCACGACAAGGCGCAGTTTTGGGTTGTCGTTGGCCTGAAGTCCTGATCGTTCCTGCAGGACATTCAAGTTGGGCGAGTCTGCAAGCAAGCTATGAACAAAATTAACTTTCCGGAATGTGTCACATTTTCCGTCATTTACGCTGACACCTGTCAATAGTCGCGACGAAATCAAGAGTACTGCGCAGTCCATGGCGGTGAGTTCAGCTCGGAGGTCACGGGTTAACAAGACTCAGAATATTTCATTTATGATGTATGTCTGTGGCCAGTGGACAGACGTGCTAATCCGCAGATCGAGGAGTAAAACCTACTTTAGCGGGTGTACAAAATCTACCATCATCACCCTGGGTTTCCCACACGCTTGCCAGAAAAGTCAGCACCCTATCCAAAAGCTATGTGGGTCCACGACTCCACGCCAAGTCCACGCGTGACACCAGTGGGCAGCCACGTGCAGTTGTTTATTTGATTTCTTTCACCGAACTCTTCATTTCATACCATGGTTAAAGCTGTTTTTACTGCCCCAGTGCCTGGTACTGTCGTGCATCCCATACATCAGTACTCTGATGAACAACAAACCCATATAAAGGCATTACGTGAGGTATGGCACTTGTTTTTCTTTCAACCGTTACCTGAGTCGTCGTAAAAAGTATGCAGATACCCTGCTTCTGGACCCATCAGACCCGTACTATAAATGGGAGCTGCGATGGTTGAACAAGCCAGATACCATGCCTCGGTACATGCGCGCGGCAAAATGGAAACTCCCTGATGCAAAGCGTAGAATAGAAGGAACGATCAAATGGAGGAGAGAGTTCCGACCAGAGTTAATCAGACCTGATGATGTATGTGCATATTCAATTCAAAGATAATATTAATGCATACACAGTTGCCAAAACGCAGGTGAAGATAGAAGCTGAGACAGGGAAGATGTATGTAACTCTTCCCCACTTCGTGTACAGAATTAATCAATGGAACACAGCCTCTTAAATGGGTTCGATAAAGATGGCAGACCCATCATTTATATGCGCCCTGGTCGTGAAAATACCGAAACCAGTCCTAGGCAGCTAAGACACCTCGTCTGGTGGCTGTAAGTCCTTAGTCCTCTCATTCAACGTCATCTCACAGGAGTGCAGAGAACGCGCAAAGGACATGATGCCCCCAGGACAAGAGTCGCTGGTTATCATCGTAGATTATAGATCCACAACGCTTCGCACCAACCCTTCCATATCCGTTGCCAGTAAAGTGCTAACGATCCTTCAGCAGCACTACGTAGAAACTCTCGGTCGTGCGATTGTCACCAACCTCCCAATGTTGCTTAACTTCTTCTACAAAGGCATTTCGCCGTTCTTGGATCCTGTCACCCGGGACAAGGTGCGCGTTATCTTGTATTTGTGTGGGAAATGTGACTTGACGGACTATAGATGAGGTTTAATCCTGATCTTCTTGACCTCATTCCCAAGTCTCAGCTGGACTCTGAATTCGGAGGCGACTTTGAGTTCGAATTCGATCACGAGACATACTGGAAACAAATCGTTGAGTAAGTTTCTAGGGAACTTTTATTCCTCTATCAATGATACGAGTTCTAACATCATCAGTTTCTGCGGCATCGCTGAAGACGGTACCCGCTTAGAAGGCTATTTTGACGGACCAAAGGATATTCATGGAAAACTGCTTTCAGAACATTCCGAGTAAGTCTCTGCCCACTAGATGATGCATTTTCTGAACGATGACAGCGCGGATATCGAACCTAGTACTGCATCACCCACTTCTAACTCCTCCACCACTGCGTCTGTCATATCTGCTGGAGAGACCAAGGCGCTCGCTTCACCCGATGCAACACCCGCTTCCCCCGAGTTAATCGAGGCGTTGTAGATCACTCAGGTATATTTTGATGATTGTACGCTATACAGCACTGTAATTCAACATAGAGGCGGCTGTATAACATGGTCTTCGAATCATTGGTACATATATTACAAGCAACCTCCCTGAATCACCGCGTAGCTCTCTGAGTGCCACAGCTCAGCGCTCACCGTTGCAATGCTCGGCCCCTGGTCCTCTTCGTCGGTGCAAGAATGTTCAACGTCCAGGGTAGTGATGCTCCGACATCATCCGGTCCAACTGACAGAACCATGTTCTAAACCTGCATTCTTATCGGCTTGTTGTGCTACCGTGGACGATACGGAGAGTCGCTGAGTGAATCCATCTTGCTGTGGCCATAATTACTTATCACGTGTTGTGATTGCATTGAAATCGTCTATATATAGTCACTTAAGAGAAATGTGCGCTGTAATACTGACCTGTACATGTTGACACAGAAGTCTTCGAACCCTACCTTAAATACTATCAGGCCCTGGCCTCGCCTTCGCAAACTTTTTCATCAACTCCTTATGAGTCCCAAGCAAAATTACGAACTTGAACAACTCAAATTAGCAAGATGACATAAGCCCCCGTGCTTATGCCACGAGTCGCGGACGCCTTCTGCCACATTCTGCCATCGCCCAAATTCCCCCGCCGCCGCACGGACGTCAGCCACAGGTTTAGCCACAGCACATATTGACGAGCGCAATCCAACTCCAATAAATTCTGAACAAAAAAATCAGGATCATCTTAAGTCTGAACGGGCTGATCTAGTGCAGCGCACCATCCGAGATGGTTCGACAAGCAAAACAGACAGTGCGTAGCGTTCGCGGATTGAATTGTGCTTATCAGCCACCTGAATCTATTGTGGCTGAAATATAGTCGGAACAAAAAAAAGAGTCTCAGAAGAGAAAGACGACTCAGAAGAAAAAGGTGACAGAGACTGGAATATGGCCATGCAAAATCGATGGTTGCAACAAGCAGTTTGCTCGGGAGGCCGATCTGAAACGGCACCAGCGAACTACCAAATTACACTCTGTCCCAGGATTGTGAGTGCTTATTCAAGCATGTATGATACGCGACGCGGTTCTGACGTATCTATACCCCTGTAGTGCATGTCCACAATGCGATGCTACGTTTACACGAGTACGTTATTCTTGGTCACATTCATTCATATAATGCAATTAATAATACATGAATCCTGCAGACTGATGCATTACGAAGGCATCAGAAGTCGAGGCATGGTCATATGTTGAGTGTCAGTTAATATATCTGATTGGAATCATACACAGACACAACGGCGTAATCATCGAACCCATGGAGGTGGAGAAGAAGAAAAGTAGCACCGAGCCCCGGGCATCAGGGTCTCAATCTCACAGCCGAAGTCCATCGCCGTCATCGAAAGGCGCAGAGAATCCAACCGATGGTTCTTCACCCCCTCTTGGTACCATTGGCGGTCCGCAAGGCCCACACAGTTATTATCGTCAGCACACTATGCCTGCAGGTGGTAGGTGTATTTGTTCTTGACCTACTTCACCCTCTCAATCGTGATAGCATACATACCACCACCCCTTGGAGTAGTCGTCGAAGGCCAATATCCTCCTAATGTTGGACTCCCGACATCATCGGCTCGATTACACCAGGCAACATGGCCCCAAAGCGCCTGGATTCCTGACGGGTCGCAACCGCCGCCCATTCCACCGATGGGCTATCCGCATCCTGCATACTATTCATACTATCGCGGAATGCCTCACCCACCACCACCCTCTGAACTCATGGCCCAACTACAAAACGGAGTCCAGCCGCATTCTCCCTCACCCTGTGACGACTCGTCGAGCACTAGTAGTCCTACGAGGACAAGTATGCACAGTGGCGGCGACCCCTCTGCGTCGGGAGCAGGAAACTTCCATGGGAATGAATCAAGATCTCCTGTCATCGATCCTTCACTAGATATCTCACCAGTGTCACCAACTACAAACCATAAAGTATCTTTTAAGGTCAATCAACCTGCTGCAGAAGTCACGACAGAAAGAGAGTCATCACGTGCACCGGATAGCATACACTCACCCAGCCATGTGGACCCTCGATCGGTACCACACCATTCTAGTTCAGCTTCTACCGGAGGTAGCATCGAACGAAACGACACGTCAAGAGAACTTACGTCCAGCCACGATATAGAATCACCTGAACTATTCTATTCTACCCAATCGCCACCCCACACTTTCGAGCGTCCACCTGAAATGGAACACATGCTCACAGAAGATGGAGAGCCTATGCTGAATCCAGGTTCGTTCTGTTCTTCTATGATTCGAATATTGATGCTCATATGTATCTACAAAGCCGAGCTGTTGACTCAGGTGGGTAACGCAATGACTGCTGCAGAACCTAATATGTATGATCTGATGCTGGACATACTGAACCAGGAATCCCTCGCATCCCCACCTCCATCGCTATAACAGTCATACTCTAGATTATTGATGTTATTCTTCGCTGTTCTTCACATGCATTACCTTACTGTACTCACACTCACGTATACATTGCTTGTCTTCCGTGCATAACATTGGAGCTTTTTGTAACACTTTAGTCTTAATTATCATCGAAATCATAGATTCGAAATATCAGTTGCTACATGCTTGTGGAAAGCGAGTGATGAAGAACATCGGTAGGGATACAACAAATTTCGCTGTTGAAAGCGTGATATATGTAGGGAATTCACGAAGTGTATATGGTAGTTTAACGTGTTTAAAGAACGGAGACCTTGGGCCACAAGTATTGGGGACCAACCTAATGGATTCCTAATTAGCGAATGCCTTGACACCAAAAAGCATCGACTTACAAGCTGGACACTCATGGCACCCATCTTGTGCCCGACCTCAACACACTCATCCAAGCTCTTACCAGCGACGTACGCGCCGAGGAAACCACCCGCGAACGCATCACCAGCACCATTGGTGTCGACGATCAGTTCTGCGCTAATGGGGCTGACTTTGAAGACCTTCGGGCTATCAGGTTCGGCGGATGATACCAAAATAGTAGACTCAGCGCCGTGCGTGAAAACCACGACACGCGGGCGAGACTTGTTCGATTTAGGGGAAACAGCAACAGCCTTGGCAATCGCAGCAAGGTCCTTGGTGTCTGGCAGATTGTTTGCGGTTGCGTATGCCTCAGCCTCGGTCTCGTTCCCGATGATGATGTCGCAGAAGGGGAGGACGGACTGCAGCTGGGCGCCGAAGAACTGCGGAATGAAAGGCGCCGAGAAGTTCATTGCAAACACCTTGGAAGCAGCGGATGCTTTTTGGCTGAGCTCGAGCACGACGGGTGTGCCGTGCGTTAGGAAAAAGCCTTCTACGTAGAAGACTTTTGCGGCGTCTACCAAAGGTGCTACGGCGGGGGAAGAGAGATGCGATTGCTCGAACATCTCAGCTGCACGGAGGGTCGTGACCAGGGAGCTAATATTACTGATTGAGTTTGGTGCTACAAAATTGACGATGTTGGCCTTACCGATGGTGCCCTGTGAGGACGACGGCACATGCGCCCGTCTTTTGGCCTGGTTTGACGAGGTAGACCTCCTTCAGGCCCTCACGCCTGTTTGCCTCGCGCAGTTGTTCTGCCAGGTCGTCATCTCCCACACAGCCAGTGTAAACCACTGAATTGGCAGGAAGAACATACTGTGGGAGTTGTCAGCATCTGAAACATGAGGCGTGATTAGAGCCTAAAAACTTACTGCTGCTCCTCGGGCGGCGTTTTGAGAAGCACCGCCAGCAACGTATGTGACCTTGTGTTTCACGATCTCCTCGTAGCTGTAGGCGTCGACGATGAATGTTTGATGTGGAGAACGGTTATCGGATACTCACATCGACATGTGCTTTTCCTCCGCAAGGATGGCATCGTTGGCCTTCAGATCATACTTCTTGAGCAGCTCTTCACCGTTAGTAACCTGCACGTCGAGGAGGGGGTTACCAATGCAAAAGAGTTGGTATGTCTGAGAGGCCATGGTGGTACGAGATCAAACGATGATGTGAACTTTGATGAGAACAAGAAGCCGATATCTAATCGACGTGTGATGGATACAGATAATTTTCCATGCCAACGTCAGCTGCTACACAGCACAAGATCTCGTTGACGTGATTGCTAATTAAAGCTATTCCAGCTACAAATATAACGTACTTCAAGTAGTGCAAATGTACAGTTTCAGGTCTCTAAAATTTATTTTATCACTACAAAGGACGTATTTACGTGATACAGGACTGTATGAAGCTTATGATACACTGATGGGATAGTGAGCTACAATGCCTGGAGAGACAGACTTTAAGTTATCCAAAAGCCACGTCTGAAGAATATAGTCATTTTCGTCCGGTTTGGCCAGGCCAGTATGATGGAGGGTGCTCAGGCAAGCTACCGCTATCTTCCAGTTAGATTGGTGTGACGGCGAGGGTTGTATGTGGCTGGCCTCGGTGGTCCCATGCCGAAGCTTCCGCTGGAAGACTGATTTTTTCTCCCCACATGCAATAGCACCCACTTTGAGCCATTCATCGAGCGGTCTGCCATTCTTTATCAACTTCCCTCCTTGGTACCTAAGACAGACCCAGACGAGGACCCACACTAACGACTCAGCATCATGCCGGTACAAGTGTGTGACTTTGCCTTCGAGGCCGTCTTCGTCGAGCAAATCGAGTGCCATGAATGGAACTGTTCCTGTCCGCTCCTTCCCGCTGGGTCCATCGCGTTTGATCGATGATAGGTCGTAGTCATTGAGGACCCCGATCCATTGACCGTTCAACATGTAGACCATGAGATTGTTGGGACTGATGTCGCGGTGATGGACATCGTGCTTCCAAAGTGTGTAATGGCCTGTCGGCTCAGTCAGGGACAATGAAGAGTGCAAGAAAAATCAGACGTACATAGAACAACTTGCCACCATGCGCTGAGAAAATCGTCTCCGCTCAGCGACGTGATTGGGATGAGTTTCCTGAACACGATTATATACAAAACGCGACTGCCCCCTTCAGCGTCAGCGTCTTGAATTCCTAGCGACTTCCTGATTCTTGTTGTGGATGTCTCGTCGAATTTGTGGAACCACACCATGTCCGGGATGTGGCCCTTCACCGTCGACTCCTTGCTCGCAATGTCATAGATGTTCTGGAGGATCTCGTCCTCGCTCTGACGTCGCTCTTCTGGCCAATAGAGCTTGGCGACCAGTTCCTTCGAATCATTGCCACAAACCTCCCTCTTCTGTATGTCCGAAAGATACTTGCTTCGCACAGAAAAAATGTTGGTTGCGCGGCCGCGCAGACCGAAGTGTGTTATGCGTGTGTCAGACTTCAAGTCCAATGTCAGGTCGACATCTCCGACGACGACGTCGCACGAAACGCCGGGAACGTGGGTGAAATTCGGATTATGGCCCCATTGCTCGTCCCTCATGCGCTGCATGGCAAGCAGTAGCACAAGGAACCGGGGAAGATCCTTGATGAAGTTGATGCCCGCGCATTGGATGGCATTTTCTCGATCAAAGTACCATATGTAAATGATATCATCTAGTACGGGCGATCAATTTAACGAGAGGTCTAAGATATTCAGTTGACTTACTGTTCACCACATATGATATAACGCACTGCAGCGCGATGTTGGCGGCGAATATCTCCGCGACATAGAGACCATTCTGGACGTTTGGATGAATCTTTTCAGGTTCCTCCTTGGGTTCCTTCTGGTCCGCGGGGATCTCATCGGTTTTCTTCTGACGCTTGGAACCAGGTTCGTTGGCGTCCAACTGATCAGATTTACGTTTGCTGTCTGATTTTACTTTCAGCCGCTCGGACGTACGCGTACCCTGCGCTGAATTGCGAAAGTCAGCAATGAAGTGCAGGTAGACGCTCTATATGGCTCACGTTCATTCGATGGCATGTTCGAGCTTCGAGTAGGAGCGGCGGCAGGAGCAGGAGCCGCAGCTCTTGGCTCAATGTTTTCCTTTGCATTCCAAAGGTTCAAATATCTGAGCCTTGGATTAGGAGGAGCGTATTCTGACACTTTGTAAGGCAATACTGGAGGATTTATAGTGGAGCTGCGTTTGAACTCCACGGTCGATCGAACATCGACCCATTTGAAGTTTCCGTGAGGCTTCTTTCGCCGCTTTGTTCGCGTAAAACTCTTCGGTATCTTGGTCTTCGTCGTCGTCGTCGTTACCCGTACTAGCCTGGCCCTTGCTCTTGCTCTTGCCCTTACCTTTAGCCTTACTCTTAGTCTCTCTACCCTTCGCCGCACCCTTCACTGCTTTCCGAGAGACGAGAACGACGTCGGGCTTGCGCGTAGACTCTGCGCCTTGGTGCCTTTGCTTTATATCCTTGTCATTATAATGGAATAAGATGTCGGTGTCGTCGTTGTGCGGGGAAGCCGGTAGTCCGGAGACTTCCAAGTTCCTCAGTTTGAGGAGTGCAGCATTGGCCGCACGCACGAAGGACGGGTACGAACTAGGCTCTGTGGCGCAATTGGCACTACGAGAAGGCGATCAGCTTCTTTCATATAGTATGAACTCTCTACCTACAATTCGGTCAAGTTATCCGTGATTTCCGGAGTGTTGTTGCAGATGTCCAGGACGGCTTCAAGAGAATCTTGAAACAATTTCGACTTCTCACTGTCAGGACGCTTGTCGAAGCCACAGAGGAGCCCCTGCAGCATGTCGTCGGCTTCGCATTTTGTGTAATTCTCGATGTCCCGAGTGATCCATGGGCGGATATCCCTGACCCTGCGTGCGTGCATGGCAAAGTTCGATATATAAGTGAACGAGCAAAAAGAATGATTGACGTACCTGAGGCCTAGAGTACTGATGTGTTCGCTGACAGCGGCAGAGCCGACTGCAAGTGGGGTGGACTTGATCTCGGAGGCAGAATTAATGCCGTGAGGAGGCGTCTTTGGCGCAGTGGAGCCAGCAGCACTACCGTTGACCATGATGTCAATGAACTTAACGAGTTACTGGTAGAAGATAGAAAATGAGGTCGTTGAGGGCAAGAAAATGCAGTTCGCGTTTCGCTTTTAAACCAGAACGACGCTATTGTTCAACTGACATGAAATCAAGACGACAGTCGATAACTCAGTAGAAATTCGAATGTTAATGGAGAAGTGCTCTGAGCCACAGTCATGGTTGAATTCAACTTCAGCATCGTGACCTGGACTGCCATCACATATCGACTTCTTTCGATCATTCTGGCGCCCACATACGCCCATCATCATGACTTCCGTTTTTTTTTTCCTTCCAGGCGCCAAAAAAAATTAACTCTGATTTGGATTACTACCGCGGGTTCATGCACCAAGCTTTGTCGTTCATCGCCGCCATGATTTATCCAACTTCCCACTCGTTCTTTTTTTTTCAGTGCGACAGAGGAGTCAAGTTCGCAGATCATATTCGTATCAATAACATGATGCCATCAAATTTCGAAGCTGCCATCCTGGTCCAGAGCGCTATCTTGATTACTACCGAGGGTTCATGCACCAAGCTTCGTGGCCGCCATGATTTCTCCAACGAGCATAATCGCAACATCCAACTCATTCTTTTTTGCCAGCGTGACAGAGGAATCAAATTCGCAGATCGTATTCGTATCACTAACATGATACCATCAGATTTCCGAGAAGACGTCATCCTGGTCCACATCGCCACTGATTTCTCTAATGAGCAGAATTTGCGACTTCAGTGAGTCAAATGATCATTCCTTGTATTCTATCTGAATCATCACTCTTATTCATTTTTTTGGCGATCCGCTCCAGTGTCTGAACGAGGAACAAATTCTTGTTACAAAATTTCAGTTCGATATGGCGTGCTAATGGTTCTGAGCAATCTCTGGTTATACAGATCGTAGCCTATCTATATAGGATCTAGCATGAAATTTTGAAAGGTGGTCAATGGTCGCCGATAATGCTTTCTGTGCGATCGTCTTGCGATAAAATCCTCAACGATATCACGGAACCGAAAGCCAAGTATACGTTCAATGCTCAAACAGCCTGAGTGTTCGGGAACAATATCGATATCGAAGCAGGAGCGTCTAGATCTAGATGCTCATGGCAAAGACGAGAAAATAACCCTCGATAGGATTGTTGCATAGTTAGCGTATATACTAAGTATACCGTGTGCGAAGAATGGTAGATGTGATCGTTCGGGACCCACACTTGAGCTTGAGGCTGGTTAGTGATGCAAATCCATTTTGTGTATGCAGACATCAGATACTTCTGGTTTTAACAGATAGGCATCAGTAGAAGGGAGAAACACAAATAATGGAAAGTACTCACTGGGATTCGACAGCTCGACCTGGTGCCGGGTGTATGTGCCATAAATAAATGAGCAATTTTGATCGAAGGAGTATAAACGACAGTTCGACTGCAAGTTCGATATGTGCCTTGCCCAACACGTAGCTTAGTTGGTCATCAAGGCCAAAGAGCCCATGAAACAAAGTTAGGACCATGACTTGTGCCAGAGAGCTCACGGCTGGTGAGAAATGCACAACCGGTTAGTTACTGAAAGGGTCTTGGGTGGGTCAGGTGGGCGACGTGATAAACTATTACGAGGTTCCACAATCATTTCCGCGAGTCTAGAGTTCTGCAGAGTTTTGCCACTCGCGTGAGTTTTGCTGATACGGTGACCGGGCAGAACCAACGTTATACAACACGACGGACAAACAAAGGAACAAAGTCCATCGAGGATCTCGGTCAGATGAAGGTGAAAATTCGGTCTGAACGGTTGAGTCAGGACTATTCATCCAGATCAGTGCATCCGTTTATGTAAGTCTCTGGCAACTTCCAGGCGTCCACGCCGAGTCTGGAATGCAAGCAAGGTGATCAGGTTATGGTGGAGCTAACATCTCGTTTCCGCAGTGACTGTAGTGATATTGGAACATGGGAAAGACATGAGCTAGATATGTCAGTAATCGTAAAATCGTGGCAAGGCATGACGTAGATGTAGCAATACAAGTGTCGCACATCATCTGCAGAAGAAAGAACTATAAAGAAAGATGTCCTAGAAATTGGAATAAAAGCTAAAGATAATGTCTTGCGCGCGGCGACCTAAGCGAGCTGGGACAGCCTGCTCACTCATGCAATCAGTGCCCCGCGCATCCCATCACCTCGACGTGCCGCGAGGATGCCGCGTATAAGCACAACAAAAATTGCGAAAGTTACAATAAGCCTAGCATGAATATGAACAAAGATCTCAACTGAACATGTATCAACGACACATACCAAATAATCCAAGCAAAACCTTCTAGCGCGTTAAGTTGCCCGCAATACACGAACACGTTCTGGGTACTAAAATAGATAGGACGTAAACAATGAACAGCGTAGCAAGAAGATTCACGAACTTGCAATTCAGCCCTCCACCAAGAGCTGCGGTTATACTTGCAGCACCCGCAGTCCAGAAAATCCATGTTAACAACAGGCTATGATGAGTTTGTCAGCAAGTACTGTCCATGTCAAAGAAGGCTGACTTACAAGACGAGATGAGAAGCAACACTACTCATGGGGCTATCTGGCATAGAGAAGAAGAAAAACATGTAGGCACCAGATAATACGATCGTCCATATTGAAGCGAACAGTAGAAAGCGTGTGCTGTCTCGTTCTGATAGACTGAAGTAGTTGTAGTATGTATTAAAACGTGACGTGAGCCAGGCCGAGATTGCGAGCTATCACAAGGGTTTGTTATTTTACCGTTGCAATAAAATGTGCACATACCTCGATGATACAGAAGAAGATGATCAACGCGAATACAACTGCAATCCAGCCAGTCAGTCGAACTGAACGGAATAGACACAACATATTCTTACTAGGGTGTCCCCTTCGCATGTGGGTATTAAAATCCATTGTGCAAACTGGATGTATAAAACTTGTTTGGCTGATGGGCCTTCGTGATTGTTCGTGAAAGATGGATGAAACAAGTTATTACGATGAAGACCAGTGGAGCTGCGCGAAAGTTGAACAGAAGCATAGTGGCTGTGTAGCTGCGTTACCGCATTCAGTTCTGACGTCATCTAAAAGTGAACTGTTTTGGTACAAGACAATATCCAAATGTCCATATGCGATGAGCAATAATATACAAATGAGACTATGCTGCGTGGAGTATATTTTGAAATAAAAAGTCCTTAGAAACGGACACTGATGGACATCCCTTCATCTGGGACACAAACACGTTCACCAGGCATGAGCTTGTCGCAGTCCACTTTGGGGTTGACAATGAGGAGTTTGTCTAGAGACGAATTGTGGTCGTTGGCAATATCCCAACAAGTGTCTCCAGGTTGCACAATATAGGCGAGGGTCGTGGAAGGGCATGGAACAGGAGCGATACGTGTAGGCAATAGAACGAGACGCCAGACCAATAATAAGACGACAGCAATCATGAGAAAGAACGGGAACAGTGTGCGATAAGCCCCTCCCCTGGAATTGTACCGGGTTCCGTTCTATGGCCAAATTGAGATAGGGCGGGTAGTGACGGCGAGAACTTACTTACCTCATCTAGTGCCAAGATGCGATAACCGTCAGTGCCAGTAGGAGCAGCTTCCAGGTCGCTGTCTTCGTCAACCTCTTGAGGGATGGAAGAAGGTATTTCAGACACTGCATGCAGGTGTGAGTTGTGAGCGCTAATAAAACAGCATCCAAAACATTTACCTAGCTTAAGCTCTCCGAATTCAGAGCCCTCTGGCCCTGTGTACACCAATCCTTCACGGTCACGGAAATAATACCGCTCACTGTCGGCGTCGTAACCAATTCGCTTCACGCCTTCTGGGAGCCTGTAATCATCCTAGAAAGCTCTGGGTCAGCTTGCCGAGGACAAGGTCAAAAATAGTAGTACTTCATCATACTGCGTCCAGCGCCCCATAGTTTTCGTCAAGCACAAAAGGCCAACCAGTGGATAAGTGCTGTTTCCGCAAAATAAAGAACTCTTTGTTCAGTAGTGAAATGGGACTGAAGATACTCTGACGCCCTTTCACAGGCAATATATGCCACGGAGAAAGCCGAATAGCCGTCACTGCCACTGTTAGAACGTGACTATAGCCCGCTTGCTAAGCGCTAGGGGTTGTGGGGTTCAACTGAGCACTATCATGCAAAAGTGGACCAAGACTATGTTTCCAATATCCTCAGAACTCATATTCAAAGTCGCCTTACGCGGTGATACATTGCTCACTTCACCTCGTTGGAACAAGGGGACAGCCTTCACGAAAAAGGAGCGTAATGATTTTGGTCTAACAGGCAGACTTCCTTCTCGCATCAATACCATCGACGAACAATGCGAGAGAGCCTATGATCAGCTCAACTCTCGTGAATCTCCCATACAAAAGAATTCATTTTTGCAGAGCCTCAAAGAGCAAAACTGGGTTCTCTACTATTCCTTGCTATCCAGGCATCTCAAGGAGTTGACTTCCATCATATACACGCCTACCGAAGTGAGTTCCGGTTTTGTCTTGAATACCAAAGTGATCGACTGTATCGCAGGCGGAAGCAATTGCAAACTACTCCCATCTTTTTCGTCGCAGCGAGGGGTTATTCCTCACATTCCCGGACCAAGACTCCATGGAGGAAGATTTCCTGGAGCAAACCCGCGGCAAAGATATTGAATTGATCGTCTGTACAGATGCAGAGGCCATCCTAGGCATCGGCGACCAAGGTGTTGGAGTAGGTGCATTTCCGTTAGTCTACCTTGAAACTCTCACCGCCGTCTGACGTCACAGGGAATCGGGGTGGGTATCCACGTGTATCTCACGTATGGGAGTTGTTAAACAGTTGTTCCAGATATCATCTGCCAAATCTGCAATATACACGTACGCTCCCACTGCCATTAATCTATTGTTATTTTATGTGGTGACAGGTTACTGGCTGGGATAAACCCGTCGAGAGCGCTCAGTGTGACCCTTGATGTCGGAACTGATAATGAAACGCTCCTGAACGATCATCTTTATGTTGTGCGCGACTTTTAAATTACTGTTATCGTTCGTTCGTCTGACAAATCCAGGGATGGCATTCGAGAAGGATCCGGGGTGTTGAGTACGATAAATTCATCGACAGGTAAGTTTGACTTACCTCTCGGTTTCTCCCGCCTCATAGGCTTGCAATACCTCATAGGTTTGTCCAGTTGATCCGCAAACATCAACCACACTGCCTGCTGCACTTCGAAGACTTTGGAGTTACCAACGCTCAGCGACTTCTTGACCTGTACCGGAATGAACATTCTGTTTTCAATGATGATATGTATGGATACGCGTCTTCCATGCTTCAATTGACACTAACGCACAGTAGCCAAGGAACTGGCGCGGTTACACTGGCCGCGTTGATGGCCGCCGTCGGGGTGACCAAGTCAAAGCTGGCAGATCAACGCTATGTCATCTTTGGAGCGGGTTCTGCAGGCCTTGGTATTACAAAGCAAGTTCGGGATGCAATCATACTCACAGACGGCATGTCTCGTGAGGAAGCCAACAAGAAGTTCTACCTCCTTGATCGCTTTGGTCTCATCAAGCAATCTCTTGGCCCTAACAAGATACGCCCTGCATTACAGGAATTTGTGCGGGCTGATGAAGAATGGAGCGATGTTCCAACTAATAACATGGGAGAGGTTGAGCTTTTGGAGGTTGTCAGGAAAGTACGACCAACAGTTTTAATAGGGTGTTCGACGAAAGGTGGCGCTTTCACCGAGCACGTCGTGAGGGAAATGAAGAAAGGTTGCGAGAGACCCATCATTCTCCCCCTCAGCAACCCTAGCCATCTGGTGGAAGTCGATCCGAAGGACGCGAATGATTGGACAGAAGGGATGGCTCTGCTAGCCACGGGCAGCCCGTTCCCACCAGCTAAGATGCCGAACGGCAAAGACTACGTGTAAGCTTGTCATACTATCATGGGTATCATGCACAAGCTGATCTACGACCTGCAGCATCGCTGAATGCAATAGTGAGTTCATCCAATTCTCCGTTTGTGCATACTGACCGCTGCTGCTTTCAGATGCTCTCATCTACCCTGGACTTGGACTTGGTTCCATGCTGTCGCAATCCAGGCGGATGACAGACGGGATGATTATTGCAGGCGCACGACGTCTCGCTTCTCTCTCTCCTGCACTCAAAGATCCGGACAGCGGCCTGTTACCCGACTTCCAAGATGGTCCAGCAGCCAATCTTGAGGTTGCAATAGCAGTAGCAGAACAGGCATTTGATGAAGGCATTCAGGGAGTTAGCTGGAGCAGAGAAGAGGTGAGAACCAAGGCAGAAGACAAGCAGTGGAAGCCGGTGTATGGAGTGTATGAGTATGACGAGCAGGGCGCAAAGTAGTATGGTCTGTTTTGCAACTTCGAGAAGCAACATTAGTCATTGATATTCCATTGCACGATCTCCGGCGAGGAAATAAAGTGGAAAATAAAAATTAAAGTCAGGATTGGGTGTACATATCCTGTAGGTATACAGCTTGGTATATCGAAGTCCTGGACAAGTAATAGGTTGTGCGTCAGTGCGTGACTATGATTAGATACTACATGAGAAGTCAGATTGTTTCAAGAATGCTTTGATCAACAAGGTGGGAGGACGCACAGAATTGATCATATGCCAATATGCACGAACACTATGCGCTGGTCTTCCATAATGTCCCGACGACGCTGTTGACCCCGGAAAATTGCAGGCCAGCCGCTAGGTGTATCACTTCGTCGGGCGTACTAGAAACACCGACTGCGGTTTCACAGGCAGAGAGAAATGCAAATTCATGCAGAGATAGATCCGTCTGTGTGATGTCGAGGAGTGAAAGCGGCTGGTCGCGCAAAAGAAAGGCTGACTTGAAGGGTTCATCAATTCTCTGGGTCCCATGACACGCGAGATGAAACCAAGCGTTGTCCCGCAACGCACACAGTACTCTCAATTTCGTGGCATCAGCACTGGTAATCTTGGAGAAGGAAACAGTAGGGGAAGGGGGCAAAAGTCTCCGCACCAACTCCAGCTCAGGCTCCACAGCATCCAAAGTAAATAAGGCATCGGCTGGGCAATCCTGACCAATGGCGACGAAGGGCACCGACGAGGATTTGTCATGACTTGCGCGAGCCTTGATCAGCGCGGTGAGCGATGGGGTGTATGAAGAGATATACTGCTGCGAAAGAGACTTTCCCCTTGCTCTGCACTCGCCAGCAGCATGCAACGGCAAGAAATTGAAAAGAGACGTCGGGCACCACCATATTCGGGAACCTCGTCGAGCAATTCTGCTCAGACTTTCGACCACCGGACCAACCACGTCGTCCCACAACTCTCTCAAAGCTTTTATCAGCGCTGTTTGGTTCCCTTTATGACCAGCCTCTTTTTTGATTGCCTCTTGGAATGCTGGTACCAATTTGACGAGTTTCGGCAAATTGGTAGGGAGCTGAATGCTAGTTGGAGGTTGCTTGTGCGTGACGATGATGGCATGGCAAGATGACTCGCTTGCGATGAGCACGATGATAGACCCATCACAAGCTGCATCTTGAAGATCGGAGAATAAGGGGGAAAGGAGGAAGCGAGAGAAGCCCTCAATCTTCCGGATCTCCTCTGCAGCTCTATTCCAGTCCTGCACTAGACGTCTGTACCGAGTTTCCTCTGCTTCTACATTGACTCTTGTGTTTCCTTCTAGATTGTTCGCAGGAGATTTATCGAGGAGGGAGCTGATGTCTCTGAATCTCTTCATCAGGGCCACTGCATGATCGCCGTGAGTCTGGAGGCCGTCAAGAGGGGTGCGGAGTCGTGTCATCTGGGTCCAGATGATAGTCCTGCCTTGTTCCAACAACTCGACAGCGCGACACACATCACCACTACGAAGAGCGCAGGATGCAGCATCAACGGCAAGTGTATTTGGGATGCACCTCATGATATTGTGACGAGACGATACTAAAGCTGTTGTGGACATGTAAGAGTCCAGAAGTTGCATGGAAGTTGCATATGCCTCCAGTTCAGTGGCATGTAGATGTTGGGAGGCATGATCAACCCAAAGCAGACTTGTTCGCAGGCGAGATAGCAAGCCTCCAGAGAAAACATTTGCTGCTGCCTTGAAATGATGCATGGCGGCATTCAGACTATCCCTGTCATCACCTGCGCTGGTATTGTCTGGGCATGAACGAAAGAACAACAGATAGACCTTAGCCAGTGACCTATGGACTAGCAATTGACGAGGATCATGCATGTTGCGTCAACAGAGTCAATGCACAGTGTAGGTTCTCTCGTGATTTCTCCAGGTCCTCTCTATTGTGTTAGTGGTGAAAGCCAGTGGAGAGTTTACCCGCGAGATTATATGTTATCATCGACCGATCTGCGCGACTGAGCGGGCGCAAGGCCAGCGCTTCCCTGTGAAGTGCGATAGCTTGATCCAAGTCTTCCTCGTTGCCTCGATGCTCAAAGCGGGAGGAGAGTTCAATCGCGAGATTATTTAATGACATGGACCGATCTGCGTGAGTGAGGGGGCGCGAGGCCAGCGCTTCCCTGTGAAGTGCGATAACCTCATCCAAGTCTTCCTCGTTCCCTCGGTGCTGAAAGTGGGAGGAGAGTTCAGTCGCGAGGTTACTTAATGATATGGACCGATCTGGGTGACCGACGGGGCGCAAGGCCAGCGCTTCCCTGTGAAGTGCGATAGGCTGATCCAAGTCTTCCTCGTTGCCTCGGTGCTCAAAGGGGAGGAGAAGAGTTCAGTCGCGAGGTTATTTAATGATTTGGACCGATCTGGGTGACCGACGGGCGCAAGGCCAGCGCTTCCCGGTGAAGGGCGATAGCCTGATCCAAGTCATCGTCATTGCCTCGGTGCTGAAAGCGGGAGGAAAGTTCAATCGCAAGGTTAATATTTAATGATGAATCGATCTGTGGACCGACAGGGCGCAAGGCCAGCGCTTCCCTGTGAAGTGCGATAGCCTCATCCAAGTCTTCGTCATTGCCTCGATGCTCGAAGCGGGAGGAGAGTTCAATCGCGAGGTTTAATGATATGGACCGATCTGTGACCGACGGGGCGCAAGGCCAGCGCTTCCCTGTGAAGTGCGATAGCCTCATCCAAGTCTTCGTCATTGCCTCGATGCTCGAGCGGGAGGAGAGTTCAATCGCGAGGTTACTTAATGATATGGACCGATCTGTGACCGACGGGGCGCAAGGCCAGCGCTTCCCTGTGAAGTGCGATAGCCTCATCCAAGTCTTCGTCATTGCCTCGATGCTCGAAGCGGGAGGAGAGTTCAATCGCGAGGTTACTTAATGATATGGACCGATCTGTGACCGACGGGGCGCAAGGCCAGCGCTTCCCTGTGAAGTGCGATAGCCTCATCCAAGTCTTCCTCGTTGCCTCGGTGCTCAAACCGGGAGGAGAGTTGATTCGCGAAATTATTTAATGATTTGGACCGATCTGTGTGACCGACTGGGTGTAAGGACAGCACTTCCGTCTGAAGGGTGATGGCCTGATCCATGTCTTTGCCTCGACGCTTGAAGCGAGTTTGCAGCATTATAGCCAGATTACCTAGCAATTGCCCTCGGTAAGAATGTCCGGTGTTGTAGTATCTCAGTGCATCATGATGAAGGGATGTATCACTTCATCTAAGGCACGGGGGTCATCTCTCTGCAAACACCGCTCTACTCGATGAGCAAGTTGATTCAACGATAACTGAAACATGGATGTGGCAGGCCGCTCCTGCTGAAGATAATTTGCATCTAAGCTTCCAGCAGAATGCAGAGCGTATGTTTCCATTGCAGTCAAACTTGCTCTGTAAATGTGGCTATTGGCGTGACAGACATCAAGCACTTCGCTCAGTAACTGTTCAGCGGTGTCAGCATCTGTTTGAAAATCTTGTTTCGCGAAGCGAGAGAGCAGAGAAATTGAGAAAATAAAGCGCCGCCAACAGTGCTTTGGGAGATCATTGATACGGGGTAAATGAAGGTAGGCGCGACACATACTATTGAAGACAACTTGCAACGTTTCACTGATCATGAGGTTTTTCTGTCCTATGTCCTGGGGGTATCCTGGGTGACTGAGGCCCTCTCCCAAGGGTGAAGGGCAGTCATTGAAATGGCCAGGAACAAATCTTGACATGTGACTGAGGGATAGATTTCAACTAACACTTGAAAATAAGATGTGCACGGTAATACTACGAAACCCGTGAGGTCCTGATAGATTATAAGTGAGCGAATCACAGCATGCAAGTGACATCCATACCGTGTAGCGCTGACGAGTCAATGGTACGTGAGCGACGGGATACCGCGCCATGCATAGCCTCTGAACCATTTACAGCGGGCGTCAGATTTGTACAACTTGAAGAAGCATGTTGTAGCCTTGGTGCGTGATTGAAGCATTTTGCAAGAATTCAGAAATTGCGAAGCCGTACTGCCTAGATGTGGCCACCCTTAAGCTTGACAGGCCGTCCCACTGGTCTGAGAGAAGATGTTGCGCGAGAACGAACGCGAGTCTCAGTTGACAATTAAAAGTGACTGCCGTAGCGGGAATGATGACTAAGCACTCCCTGTAAGTCCGAGTTCGATGAAGCTCGCACTTATCAAGTCATGGCCACATCACAGGACCCGCACTCTATGCAAGATGCCACACCAACACTAGCAGAGAATGGGACACCTCAACCAGAAGGGGAAGAAATCGTCTCTGAGACTCTTTATATCCAAAACCTCAATGAGAAGGTGAAGATCGACGGTGAGCATCGAAACATACCACAGCTTAGCTATGATTGATTTCTCTTATTTCCATAGTACTCAAGGCTTCACTAAAAGGCTTGTTCAAGTCTTATGGAGAGGTATTGGATGTTGTGGCGCATAGCAACCTGAGAATGAGGGGTCAAGCATTCGTCTCATTCGCATCCCCAGAGATCGCACAGAAAGCTATGAAGGAAGTCCGTGGCTTCCCTCTCTACTCCAAACCTATGGTATGTATCTCTACGTTCTAGGCTCGTTCGAAGCTCATATGATCGTCTCAGCAAATTACGTTTGCGCGGACGCGATCTGACGCTGTCGTCAAACGATTGGATGCTACCAACCTTGAACAACACACAGCCAGGAGAGCTGAACACAAAAGTACGTTTTTTTGACAAGTTTTATTACTAAGAGCTTAATAAGAGTTGATTTGTGCAGGGCGCACGCGATATTCGAACCCCTTGAAGCAGAAATTCAAGGCTAAGCGGATGGCTGCAGAAAGTTCGTGTTACAGCCTCATATTCACGAGCTGTTACTGAATTATATTCCTTGCAGTTGACGGAGCTGCTGCGGTTCCTGCGGCTAGGCGTCCCAATGTCCAGATGCCAGATGAATACTTGCCTCCCAACAAGATCCTTTTCCTTCAAAATCTACCCGAAAGCGTTACCAAGGACCAGCTTATGGCCCTCTTTTCTCAGTATGTAAACCCCCTCTACGATGAGAAGCCGTTCTTAACTTTATCAGGTATCCAAACCTACACGAGGTTCGGCTTATTCCAACAAAAAAAGACATCGCGTTCGTGGAATACATGGACGAAGGCAGCGCTGGGGTTGCCAAAGACGCCCTTCACAACTACAAACTTGATGGCGAAAATAAAATCAAGGTTTGTAGATGCTTTTTTTTCGAGAACTGCTCTCACTTCGTTTCAGATTACATTCGCCCGGAAGTGAACTTTTTTGTATTGTTATGCTTTGTATCTTATTTTAATTGATGCTGCTTGAGTCAGAGCTCCAGAATGTCCACCTGTTATCACCATGACTGCCTCAAGTTCTTAATCTACCAAACGATTTCAAGACCAAGATTTCGAAGATCAGCGAATGAGTGTGATTTAAAATTATACTCCGGTCCGCGCAAGCGAGACGAGAGCGCTTTGACAGAATTTCCTTCCGCCATCATGATATGTAACCGAGTCTCGCCAAGACTGCACTCAGACTCTATCCGCGTTTAGCCAGGAACTTGAAGGAACACCATAGCAAGTCCTAGAAGACGTCCACGATGCACTCGTGGAATAGTGGAAGCTTTGCTGATCTGATGAACCAATACAAGCCTTACGGCACTTCTAAACTCGATTGGCACCCCAGATTGTATACCTTTGGTTGGCAGCTGTTGGTAGGGGTTCGGCCTCGCAATTGGAAGGAGTTTATCAAGACCCTGGTTCAAAATCATCACTACTTCTTGTTCTAAAATTCCTTCATTTTTTTCCCAGCATTTTGAACCACGAATCGAAAATGGACTCTAAGACTGTGGTGAGTGCGTTCGCTCGGCGTGCGTCAAGATCATCATGGTCTCCTAGGTGGTGTATGAATCGTCAGATGACGAAGAATACTCGAATGGTTGGGACGATTTCAAGATGCAAGTGGAAGCTTTAGGTACGCGTTGGCAATCCATGTCAACACAAATTCATTTGATCATTGCAACTCTATAGACAACTTCCAGTCTCCAACTCGACCATTGGTAAAAGTCCTCGGAGAAAAACTTTCCATTTCGCAGCAGACAACGCCTCGAGCGCCTAGGGTGGATATGCGTTTACAAAGACACAGTGTGTCGCACGATGAGGAGATGCGCGAGATTGACGAAGGTATAGTGTCGAGTTCAAGTTTGCTCAAATGAATATATTATTCACGCCCTCATAGTAGCTCAAAGATGTAGGCGATCTCTCCCTACTGGACCGTGATTTAACACTTAATATCATCCAAACCAGTGATAGAATCGGACAGTGATTCCGGGTCGGCACCGTCGACCGAGCAATCTTCGCTGTTCTCGAGTCGCACGACCTCGATGTCGTCCGTTGGATCCACGGGCCTGAAACGTGCACCGGACTGCTCGCTGCCTCCCCCACCAGCAGTTAAACGCAAAGTCTCACCATGCGCACCAGTTGTAAGTCATACGATTTTTATCCATCCAATGTCTTCTCACAATGCTATAGGTGAACCTGCCACAAGGTGGAAAAAGTCAAAAACGCAGGTCCCCCGAGTTCGGCGTCGAACTAGATATCGTCTACATTGCCCACTGCGAGAAGGCTCAGATAGTCCTTGATCGATATAAACTCGCATGGGGAACGATATTCGAACTGGCACGAGGTGTCACTCGTGGCATCTGGACATTCCAAGACATGACGGAGCATCGTCTACGAAAACTCGAAGGTTCAAATGCTCAATCGGCTTGGAAAGTTGCCACCGTCATGGCAGACAAGGAGCCATCTGCGATGGGAGCGCCATCAGAACTTTGGTATAAGCTTCATTTGCCTTACAAAATGCGAGCTAACTTGATTGAAAGGCTCGAATACGATCGAGAGCAGCTCGCGATTGTCGAAAACAGAGGTCGCGGTTTGGGAACCATGGGACAGTGGGAAGGGAAGGACAATTGGTACGGAGGGAAGATCCAGCAAGTTGCCCGTGTCGTGAGAGCTGGACCGTCTTTCAAATTCGAACTCGAGAAACCAGAGATTCGGAGATCGCATCGATTCGCTCGGTTCTTGGGGTCTCGGCGCATCCTCCAAGTCCGCGTGCCAGATAACCTTACCTATGATAAACTCGGCTCGACACTTCGGGAATTCTTGACATCAAATAAATTTGTATTGTGTGGCCGCGTCTTCGTACCATTCCATGCTAAGGAAGGGAGCATGTACCTTCTTGAAACGAATGAGAACATTGATCGGCAGACGAACCTTGGCGACGGCGACAGTCACAGACTGACACTCTACCAGTTTGTGAAGTGGCATAATCCTCTGAGCTTGAATTCGATGCAGGTGATTACGTTTTTGTGAGTATTATGCAGTTCTGACATGCTTCCCGCGCAGCCCATCAGCAAGTGGTCTACACGATGGGCGCTCGGTTTATCAACGTCGGTGCCAACAATCGAGTTTCTTCCAGAAAACATATCTTTCATTGGTGACCAATGTAGCATCTCCTCTAGCTCATAAACAATGAGGTACTGACTGCCTAGGTATTGTAGATGCTGTGGAATGGGGCGAGGGAAAGCCCCCAGCGGAAGAAATCATGACTGATGGCTGTGGTTATATCAGCGGTGCGGCCTTGACGGCCATCATGCGAGTGATGAAGTATTCGAGTAGACCAACCGCCGTACAAGGACGCATTGCTGGTGCCAAGGGAATGTGGGTTCTGCACCCAGATCCCGAGCATCAAATCGCCGATGGGCCACCGAAAATTTGGATACGCGACTCGCAGAATAAGATCAAGCTTGGCCCGCTACACAAGGTCGATAGCGCACATAGGATTTTCGACCTCCTTGCGCCATCTCGGGTAACCGGGCCAAGCCGCCTATCGAGCCAGACACTCGTCAACTTGGCGCATGGTCGTGTTCCTCTTTCTATTCTGAAGGAACTCATGGCAGATGGGCTTCACGAGGAAGTCCGTCAGCTAACGGAGTGGAGTGGACCGGACAGTATGATTATGGTCTGGCGAGCTGTGGAGCAAGCCGGCCGTATTGTGACATCGAGGCTGCGGCGGCGCATTGCTGGCCAAGCGCGGGCACTTGGTCTCGGCCAACTCCGACCAAACGAGGAGCTCGCTGCCGGAATTGATGATTGTGATGATGTTGCAGTGAACCCATCGCTGCGTGGTTCTGAAAATCGAGGACGTAATCCTTACAGTGGTGAACCGCTTACTGTGCACGAGTCGGTCCTCGAACTACTGCAAGCAGGTTTTCATCCTCTCAAACTCGACCAACTATTCTCTAAACTCGAGCGCGTGGTGACCTATGTGCTCGATGAATACATTGAGAAATTCCATATCCCGGTCAAAGAATCTTTAGAGGCATACATCATACCAGGTGAGCAGCTTTTTTCGTGATCATTTTCTCTTGGCTCATCTAGTTGTAGATCCATATGGGGTCCTCGAGGAGGGGCAAATATATTTTCGTTCTTCAGAACTTATTACCGATGCCGAAAGCGGGACCCAGATAGATACTGTGACAGGTTCTGTTTTGGTAAATGTTTTGGTTTATTGCAATGAACTGTCCTTATGCATTAATGAATAGGTATGGAGGAATCCCACGAGACTGCCATCTGATGTCCAGAAGGTAAGGAAGTCAATACCTCGTCAGATGACCTAATCAAATATGGATCAGGTCACCGCCGTCAACCACCCAAAATTGGCTAATTACTTCGATGTCATCATATTCCCTGTGAAGGGGAAGCGCTCGTTGGCTAGCTACCTGGGTGGAGGAGGTAGGCACTTACATTCATATTTTCCGGGCATCACCTGACATGTTCACTTTGTAGATTATGATGGAGGTGGGTTTGTGTCACTTGTATCTTTATCATTCAATAATTTCTTTCAAAGACACGGTTACGTTGGTCTGGTCTAAACGGCTCGTCGAAGCCTTTAATACCACTCCGCTGTGTGTGGCGCCCGCAGGTTTGACCGACGACTTTGAGCGAGAAGTCGAACATGTAAAGGATTTTGACCAACGGGTATCCAAGCTCTCTGCAAAGGCGGCTCAAACAGCGTTCCAGAAAGTCCTTCTTCTTGGACTCGCGGAAACAAAAATCGGACTATATTCGAAGTTCCATGACCTCGCGGTGTACGAGCGCGGCTATGCAAGTGCTGCCGCCATTCGACTGGCATATATGTGAGGATTTTCAGTTTATTGTTATGGTACTTGCCTGATGTTGTGCGGTGCAGGTTCACTACCTGCCTCGATGCGAGCAAGACGGGGCTACGGGTTAAACCCCATGTCTTCGAGCAAGATCGCAAATTCTGTGGAAACCGCAAACCATATTACATGGTCCCTCCCGAACAGAGGACCGAGGGTCAAGAGATATCTAGACGTAAAGGCTCAACCCCTTACATCCTCGATGCCCTTGTTGACGAGGGCCGTCGCCTCCGCGATGACTTTCTCAAGCGTTATTCAGTTCTCCGGAGTTCTTCTATCAACATGGCGGACCAGGACCTTACTTCACCTTTCCTTTCTGCGTCTCGTAGGGCAAAAGAAGCCTCGCACGCCGGTGTTCACGTTCTGCAAGACAACTTGAGCGTTGTCAAAGCTCATGTTCAAAGAGTACACGAGGACTGGCAAGTCGCCACTTCTCTGCAGAAGAAGGCTTCAGACGGGAGGGGGTCTTCGGACCCCAAGACACAAGCGATCCAAAAGTCAGTGCAACACTTTGCGCGACGGCCGGAAGTATTATTTTTTTCCGACGAGGACCTCAAAACCATCATGGCATCCTATGCATATAATCTCAGTGGTGGGTTTGGTTTCTCCGTTGCCTTCGCAGAGCTCTGCGCCATCAAGGCACGAGTTCAAGGTGCCGTGCTTTTTGCAGATAGATTTGCAGAAGTGATGTGCATACCTAACAATGTCGTCCGAGCCCTGTCACAAGCACAGGATGATATAGATGATTGAAATTTCGTATCTGCGTCCATCATGATACTACATCTACACCATATATATAGCGTATCTTTACACTACTATATCTTGATTCTACCATTTCGATTTTGTTAGCCACTACCTCTGTACTACGCGACGACAATTGACAGGCGATGATCTTGACTAATACAGGCATAAAAACTATTAGATACCGGCGTTGAGACGGTGAAGTGTGTCGAGCATATCGCCCAAGGTTTGACTTAGGTTGTGGAAGCACATCAATATGTTCTCATCGAATGGCAGTTGCGCCCGTCAGATCAGTACACTTCTATCCTTCTTCGTGCATGCGTGTATGGCCGAGACTGCGGGAAAGTAGGTCCAGAGCCACAAAAAAAGTCACATCGGTACTGTCATGGTGTCGAAGTGATTCACAGCTCTTGACTAGTATCTCCAACTAGAAAGTCCATGTAGGACGAACTCGCTGTTAAAGAACTCGCAGTGGACACAGTTTATCTCAAGCAACCCCCGATCCTTCCACTCGTATTGTTCGGTCGTAGTGATCTCCCTGGGTGCGACGTTGGCATAATAACAGGAGCTCGATGTGACGGGCAAGCATTGCTTCTACGTGGTCTTCCTGTGGGAGACCAAAGGCAGCGCTGAACGTTGAATGATAGTTATGGTAGAGGTGTATTTTGATCTGTTTTGACGCTACTAGGAGTTTTGCCAAGTACCGTTTTACCATATACTACTAGTCTACAAGTACTCCATGGCGGTCACTCCTCCGCGGCCACACAAGCAATCCCCCTGGATTATGCCTATCTTTGATTGATTCGTTATCGCAAGTGCAAACTCAATCAGACGGTAAGTTATGGACTTGCCGCCGTTGCTATTCTTGCAAACTTGACTAGTACACATGACTTTCCAGTTTTGTACTCTCACTTCTCGCTCAGTGCAGCACGCTCGTGATACATTGCGACATAGTAGCTGGCCCACTCCCATAGCGTCAAGGAGGGACTAGTGTCATCAGCGCAAAAAAGGACAACTTCGCCAGACTCAAGTGCTACATAGTTGGACTCGCGGTCACGATCATATTTGGGATGTCACGATGCGATCTTCTCATCGTTTCAGAAACACGCGAAGATCTCGGAGCTACAGGGTGCAACTATATCCAACATGTTTTACATAGCTATCATGTGCTGTTGGAAACAAGAAGTGAGTTCTTCCATGAAGTATTGTACCTATACAAGAAATCGACAATCAAACTATAGGGACCATTCCTCTAAAACGGAGCATGTCCGACCTCTGTTTGTGTTTATGTGGGTATGCGCAACCTCCTTTTAACGCCTTGAGCTACTTATAAGCTATATCGTAGGATTGGGTGGTTCAGGCGTCTTTCGCTGGTTCTCCCACTGCCCCGCTTGTTATCTTTATGGTGGAAATTGGTCTGATTTACGGAGCTATGATGGTCGGTGGCTTGCTGGCCTTTAGGAGCGTGATCAACCCCGATGCAAAAATATGATATCTGTCTGACGGAACTCCTCACAGCTTTTCGGGTTGCGTTAACATGCAATTCATCGTGTACTGCCGGGTCTATTTTCGCGAGAGTTGGCATACTAAGTCATTGGTATGGAATGTTGTCTTTCAAGTCCGCATCTTTCTAATCATCTTGCAAAGGTCATTGTAATATGGTACGTTCCAGTGTGCTGATGTATGTGAGACGAATGTCAACGGAGTTTAGGCTGCTTGATATGTCCCATTCCACACTCGTTGCAGTCGCCCTTTGGGATTCCATCATTGCGACCTACGGAGATCTCAGTAAAGTCGACACAATTCCCTGGTATGTATGATGAGTCATAATTTACGATCAGCCGGAAAATTGATCGGCCATCAGGTGTATTGGTGTGAGCGATCACGCTCTAAACGTTTTGGACTGGCATTAATTGGCATTGACGCGGCCCCACATAGCCTACGATTGAGCTTACCGTGCGTTCTTACACGTACATATGGAGACACAATGCTCACTATCAAAATATCTGTCAGGCTTTGATCACCTTTCTCGTTCAAAGGTTAGCTCTGCCATATGAGGAAATGCGGTTCTGACTCAAGTTTCAGCTTCTTTGCGTACCGAATCTATAAATGTTTCGTGCATTTCTTTGGTCTTGCGTTTCCCATACTGATGTCGCTAGGAAGTGCAAAAGAAGAAGCTCACCGTAGCGATTCCAATTGTAGGTTTCCTGTTTGCGATTCTGCTAATTGAATGATGAGATTTCCGCTTGTAGGTTGCGCTCTCTTTTGCTCGTTTAAGTGGGTGCAACCTGGCAGTGCAATGACATGAACTTATTCTGATGTCTCACTTCAGTCATGGCTAGCAGTAAGTCGTGAAGCACCGCACGTGTTTCTTCCAGATTATAATCACATGTGTTCCCTAAACTTTGCTAGTCACAAATAGCGAGATGTGAGCAGTGTCTAAATTAGGATTGATAGCCACTGAAACATATTTTCGGCAGGCTCAAATTGAAATCATACGACACATTCTTTCAACGTAACTTCTCATTTACAGTGGTGGACAGCTTCGCAGTATTGACATTCCGATAGGATTTTCTTGGGTCTTCTTTTTTGGCCTTTTACTTTCAGCACTCGTGGATGTCATGATCACGACTTTCCTGTGCTACTTCCTTCGCAAAAAGCGACCATCTTTTACAGAGTAAGTCATGATATGGCATTACTCTGCATCCGTTCACTCAGCTTGTAGCACTATGCGTATCATCGACACCCTGACGTTCTGGACAATTCAAAATGGCTCAATAACATGGTATGTCACCTGAGCGCATGCCATAATCATATCCTGAGACCCCTTAGTGCTGCGGCCATCGCAACATTGCTTTGCGTGAGCATCCCTAATGTCCGTCAAATTTCGATCACTCAAATACCACAGTGGAAGATCATGCCTTCGAACCGCGTATTCCTAGGCCTTCACTTTGTTGTAGCAAAATGTAAGTCGTTTCAAATCATCGTGAACATATCTCATCTGGATATTATTGGAGTAGTATATGCAAACTCCTTTTTAGCTACGTGAGTCACATGTTCAATGCGGTATTTATGGGCTGCATTTCAACGATCTGGTCCTATAGTCTCAACGCCAGAAAACAAATATGGAACGGCAAACAATACACTCCCACAGTCAATCAACCTATGCCGATTGTCTTTCTGGAGGACTTTGAGCATGGACCTGATTCTTCGATCACGCAACAGGGATCGGTAAGTACCATGGCCCATCGCATGCGAATGATGTGTTACATCTTACACAACCACAGCTGCAAATGAATACTTCCCAACCGAAAGCAGTGTACCAACGGGGAGAATTGGTACGTAACTTGGGCCACATATTCTGACTATGACCTTTCTGACTGTCACAGATCCAAGTAAATATTGATGAGATTGTGGAGTCGAAGGGTGATAAATGTAAGGAGGTGACAGACTGTGACGCGATCGATAGCCCAGTCTGATGTTCTATAGTTCGACCACCGTACTGATGACAGCCTCATGATGATTCACGACATGTAGTAGACCATGCTATCTTACTAACATATACATATTCTCATTCTGTACTATCAATTTTAATCTGCAAGCTGCTGCGCATCCTTTCATCCTCGGACTGCAAGCCATTGTCCTCATTTTCCATATCACGCAAACCCTCGAATTTCAAAGAAGAATGACATGAACTACATTTGATAATTACATCATTTGTAGGCTGCCGTCTTGTGTCTGGGACACGCGCAGATAGATTCGGTACGACTGTTTCTCCAAACATAAAGTTTGGCGGACGGGATGCTACGGGATGTCCATTCATCGCCAAATCTAATGTCGTAGGCATATACCACGTACGCAAACAAGCTAATAAGTGAGTAAGGACTGAGTATAACAAGTGCCAAAAGCTCAAGAGTCGACAGAGATTATAACGATGTTCTCAGTTTTCAGTTTCATTTGCGTCTTTCTGTGACCTACCGGAATGTCCATGATGATGGCACGAGACATCTGATTACGCTCAAGATCGATACATACTTGTGAATGTTGGCCACCAGGGAACATCACCCGGAGCTGCAGCTGTAGGATATCATGATGGTGAGAAGTTAGACTGTATCACACATAGAGGATAGCCAACCAAGAATCGTTGCCATGTTGTTCTGCTCAGTTCGGAGATTGCCGATAGGAAGAGTTTTGCCAAGGAATTTTACCGTATGCAAGTGGCAATCGATCCTTTGGTTTATCTTTCACCATCATCCTCGTTATGTATCGCGAGTGTGAACTCAATCAGACGGTAAGTCGTGGCTTTGCCGCCGCTGCTATTCTTGCAAACTCGACTAGTACACCCTAGATTTCAGTTTACCCCTGCTTCTCACTCAATGCAGCACGCTCGTGGAACATCATTGTGGTCAACCGCGACACAGTAGCTGCCCCAGTTTCATGGCCTCAGGAGGGACTGGAGTGTCATTAACTTGTGCACAAAAAGTCAACTCCGTCAGACACGAGTGCTACCGTGGTTATATTCGGGATGTCATGGTACGATCTTCTCATCGTTTCAAAAATACGGAGGAGATAAAGCTATGGAGTGCCACCATCTCCAGCACATAGCTGTTGGAATCAACATATCACACAGGAACTCAGTGCTCCAGCTATCACGCTGATCTTACATACTAGTAGCTATCATGTGCTGTTGGAATAACATATTACACAGGAAGTCAGTTCTCCTATCACGTATTGTGCTCATGACAACCGAAGTGTAGGGACATTCCTCTAAGAATGGAGCATGGCCATTGGCGCAGAGAATCTGTCCTCTGTGTTGATGTAGGTATGCGCAGCCTCTTTTTAACATCTTGGGCTACTTATAAGCTATATCGTAGGATTGGGTGGTTCAGGCGTCTTTCACCAGTTCTCCCACTGCATCGCTTGTAATTTTCATGATGAATATCGGTCCGATTTACGGAGCCATGATGGTCGGTGGCTTGCTGGCCTTTGGGAACGTGATCAACCCCGATGCAAAAATATGATATCTGTCTGACGGACGTCCTCACAGCTTTTCGGGTTGCGTCAACATACAATTTATCGTATACTGCCGGGTCTATTTTTGCGAGAGTTGGCGTACTAAGTCATTGGTATGGAATGTTGTCTTTCAAGTCCGCATCTTTCTAATCATCTTGTAAAGGTCATTGTAATCTGGTACGTTCCAGTGTCCTGATGTATGCGAGACGAATGTCAATGGAGTTTAGGCTGCTTGATATGTCCCATTCCGCACTCGTTGCAGTCGCCCTTTGGGATTCCATCATTGCGACCTACGGAGATCTCAGTAAAGTCGACACAATCCCCTGGTATGTATGATGAGTCATCATTTGCGATCAGCTGGAAAATTGATCGACCATCACGATCAGGTGTATTGGTGTGAGCGATCACGTTCTAAACGTATTTAACTGGCATTAATGCGGTCCCATATAGCCTACGATTGAGCTTACCGTGCGTTCTTATATATACATATGGAGACACAATACTCACTATCAAGATATTTGCCAGGCTTTGATCACCTTTCTCGTTCAAAGGTTGGATATGTCATATGAGGAAATGCGGTTCTGACTCGAGCTTCAGCTTCTTTGCGTACCGAATCTATAAATGTTTTGTACATTTCTTTCATTTTGCATTTCCCATACTGACGTCGCTAGGAAGTGCAAAAGGAGAAGCTCACTGTAGCGATTCCAATTGTAGGTTTCCTTTTTGCAGTTTTGCTATTTGAATGATGAGATTTGCGCTTGTAGGTTGCGCTCACTTTTGCTCGTTTAAGTGAGTGCACTTTGACAGTGCAATACTATAATCTCATTATATTATCTCATTTCAGTCTTGGCTTGCAGTAAGTCGTGATCGCACGTATGTTTCTTCTAGATTATAATCACCCATGTTCTCTAAACTTTTCCAGTCACAACTGGCGAGATGTGAGCAATGTTTAAATTAGGATTACTAATGGCCACTGAAACATATTTCGCAGGCTCAAATTGAAATCATACAACGCATTCTTTCAACGTAACTTCTCATTTTCAGGTGGTGGCCAGCTTCGCCGTATTGACATTCCAACAGAATTTTCTTGGGTCCTCACTACTGGTCTTTTGCTTTCAGCACTCGTGGATGTCATGATCACGACTTTCCTGTGCTACTTCCTTCGCAAACAGCGACCATCTTTTACAGAGTAAGTCACTATATGCCATTACTTTGCATCTGGTGTTCACTCAGCTTGTAGCACTATGCGTATCATCGACACCCTGACGTTCTGGACAATTCAAAATGGCTCGATAACATGGTATGTCATCTAAGCACACATCGTAAACCACATCCTGAGGCCACCTTAGTGCTGCGGCCAATGCAACATTGTTTTGCGTGAGCATCCCTATTAAATGTTTGTTATTCGATCGCTCAAATACCACAGTGGATGACGATGCCTTCGAACCGCGTATTCCTAGGCCTTCACTTTGTCGTAGCAAAATGTAAGTCATTTCAAATCATCGTGAATATATCTCATCTGAATATTACTGGAGTAGTATATGCCAACTCCTTTCTAGCTACGTGAGTCACATGCTCGATGCGGTATCTGTGGGCTGCAGTTTGATGATCTGGTCCTATAGTCTCAACGCCAGAAAACAAATATGGAACGGAAAGCAATACACTCCTGCAAGCAATCGACCTATGCCGATCGTCTTTCTGGAGGGCATTGAGCATGGACCTGATTCTTCGATCACGCAACAGGGATCGGTAAGTACCATGGCCCATCGCATGTGAATGATATGTTACAACTTACACAACCACAGCTGCAAATGAATACTCCCCAACTGAAAGCAGTGTACCAACGGGGAGCATTGGTACTTAACTTTATCACGTATTCTGACACGACCTTTCTGACTGTCACAGGTCCAAGTAAACATTGATCAGATCGTGGAGTCCAGGGACGATGATGGCAAGGAGGTGACAAACCGTGACGCGATCGATAGTTCAGTCTGACGTTGTATGGTTCGACCACCGTACTGATGACAGCTCATGATCATTCACGACATGTATTCGACCATGCTATCTTACTGACATATTCTATTCTCATTTTGTACTATCATTATTGACCTGGAAGCTACTACGTATCCTTTCACCCTCGAAATTCAAAGAAGAATGACATGAACTACATTTAATAATCAGCGTGCCTGCCGTCTTCTATATGAGACATGCGCAGATAGATTCGGTACGACTCCCTCCCCAAATATGAAGTTTGGAGGACGCGATGTCCATTCATCGCCAAATCTAATGTCGTAGGCAGACACCATGTACGCAAACATGACTTTCAGTTGATGAGTGAGTAAGAAACGCCCAGGACTGAATATAACAAGTGTCAAAAGCTCAAGAGTCGACGGAAATCATTCACTTACCACAAATGTTTCCCGTAGCCAAAAAACAACCAGTGGGGCGAGATAGTGCTCATGCTGTGCTCCGGATTGTCCGAGAACCTGAAAGGTCTGAATTCGTCGGGGGCCTCATATGCTGTGCTGTCACGGTGAAATGGTGGCAAAGAGACCGCTATGAAACAATCCTTGGGGAGAAATGTGCCATCGGAGAGCGAGAAATCACGCATTGCTTGTCTGAAGAATCCCACTGGCAAATGGCTCGTAGCTTAGTCACGAGTATGTTTATGTGGGAGAAAAAAACGTACAAGAGGATACACCATTGATCCTGGCGCTTTCCCTCAGGAAACTGTCTATCTTTCTCATATTTGCGACGGATTGTACATTCCACCCATCGCGCTGGACGATGGGGTCAACTTCATCCCGCAATGTCTGCGCAAAATCAGGGTTTGTGGCTAAATGATATAGGGCGTGGGTAAGGGTCTACAAACAGGTTAATGATCGTCCGGCTCTGAAGAATCTCTTACATTTGAGGGCGTCTGTTGTGTGCTGTCAGAGAGAGTATTAGGAAAGGTATAAATACATACAGATGCAACCGCAATGGTGAAACCAAGCAGACGCGTCGTAAGGTTTTTCAACAGACTATCTTCACCGGTAGATCGCTTTACAAGTCGCGCGAGGAAGTCGATCTGCGGGAAATGCGATCAGCGAATCGGTATACAACTGCAAATTTCATACCTTCTGCTGGCCTGGAACAGCATATTCGTCCACTTCGCTGATGCAAGCCTCCACTACAGGACCCAATAACATAGTCGCGCGATTAACATTTGCCTCGAGGTTGCTAGCCATTTTCGCAAAGAATCTGGACTTGTTCTGAGTTTTCGGTTTCATTTGCATCCTTTTTTACTTACCGGAATGTCCATGATGGCACGATACGTCTGATTACGCTCAAGATCGATACATCCTTGTGAATCTTGGCCACCAGGGAACACCACTCGGAATTGCGGCCTGTAGGATATGGTGAGAATCTTGAACAAGACAGACCGTATCACGCACATAGGGGATAACCAACAAAGAATCGTTGCCATGTCTGCATCATTATTCGATTTACGGTGCTTAAAGCGGGGATCGAGGTCCAATCTGCTTGATGTTGTTCATCATCTCGTCAGCTGTAAACTTGTATCCTCACCATCACTCTCGTTTCCTAAAACGTTCTCGAGAGATGCAAGCAACTCGTCTTGAACTTCGCCGCAAATTTTGGTTGCATTTCTAGCAATATGACTCTTGAGTAGTTCGGCCAGAAGGTCATGATCTGGACTGTCGGCGTTAATCTCTAATGTATCGTCAACACCCATGATCTCCAGAGCTGTGTCAATCATTGTAGGCTGAAGAGACGACAAAGGTCTCACATCTTTCATAGCCTCACGAAACGAAAGGTCCTCTTCTGCAGCATCCGTAATTTCCATCGTTTGCTTGGGATCACTGAACACTATTGTCCAGCGCAGCATAGTTGCGACCTTGAACGGCCTATTACCATACTAGTATTGTGGGTCATTTGCAAGCTGAGATGTATGAGAAACAGATATACCTTTTCATAACCCTCCCTGAGTACACCTGGTGCGTCTACGAGAAATCTGGATGCGCCTACGTAGAAGTTGCTGAAACAGCGAGACGGGCCGAAGGAGCAGCCAACAGTCGGGAAATCATCCAACTGCACGAAAAAATGTCAGCCTGACGACCACAGCAGAATATAGGACTCCCTGCATTTTGGGCCCTGCGTCTTTTGGAAAACAACACAAGAACAGGGATGACTCCCGAAGTCAGTAGAAGGACAATCCTGGGTGTGTGCCACATGAGGGGAGTTTGCGATATCACTCGTCCAAGCTTCAAAGCTTCAAGAATTATAATAATATTGACTATGTGGGACCAATGACCTAGTGGAAACAATCATCGTAACTGGGAGATCTCCTTTGGAAAGGGAAAAGCTTCAGATATCTATCGGATATCGGACGCGAACAGCCTGCTTTCCAAGTTCATTCTGAATTTCTGCGCGCATTTCGCTGTCCTGGATACGAGCTGGTTCGTGAAGCCATTAATTTCGGAGGGGGCTGCCAGGAAGACTTATCTATTATGTAGGATGATACTAACTCAACTTCAAGTGAGCACGCGGATGTAATTCTTTAACGCTCCGCCCAGTGACATAACCGACCTGGTTTGATGCGGAGTCCGAACCTTTCATTGTACTCTTTTCATCACGGTCCATATGATCAGCATCGGACATGGCACTCGGTGATCATGAAATGACAGATCAGCATGACATTTACAGCCATTACAACGGGTGTTAGGGATCCTAACATACCTGGTACAAGAAGTAGATCGTGCAACATGATCGATTTCTGATACCAGATATGCTTCATGTTCCGCTATTCATCGACGCTTGGATAGCAAATGGGCAGCCTAGAACCATGTATACAGAATAGGCCCGATGGTGTGCACGCATTGCCCCTGCATTTATTATCAAATTGAAAGATGACGCCTTGAGGCCCGAATAGCACATGATCAGACGTAGAACTTGGGTGAGACGAGCAAAACTCACGCGCACGACCCCCAGCTTATCCATCAACCTCGCGAGTAGGGTGCCGACCATAATGCGACAGCTCAAAAATACACCGAGACTCGTTGCCTACGTATTACGCCGCAATCGCCTGATATTGCTGCGGAGGTGGACGTGTTCTAGCACACATGGCTCCAAAATTGCTCCCAATTTCGAACTTACCTCTTCATCTGAATAATAATTTGCAGTGGAAATGTTAATGAACGATATCTGTCTTATATTACAATATACCTGCAATTGGGCCTAGTAACTCCGTATCCCATGATTGTTAATTGAACTTTTGACTTGATGCCTAACACGCTAGGTTTTAAATGGTGAGTCTCGAAGCTTCGAGACCTAGACCTGGATGTTATGTCGTAATTCAGTCATGTGGCAAGCTAGACGAGGACTCGTCGGTTCACTTTTCTTCGTGTGGCGTCAGGTATGACACGAGCAGTGATGAACCGAACGAGTAAGTAATGTACTATACTATGCATGGTCCCAGCTATCAACGAGTCAACTATTAATCGAGCTTAAGCTACGCACAATTGCCGCGAAGGAGATGAGAAAGTCAACAAAGCCCGTCGTAAAAACCAATGATCGTAAGCCTATGTCCAGTGAGTATCATAAAGTGTCAGCGTTTGAAAAGTCCACGCTCAGACGTTAACCAAAACCCATCCCGTTGCGGCGCCAAACGTGCCCACAGCTAAAGCACTCATCATGCCAACGAGACTGCCACTCCACAACTTAACGGGGCTGGCGCCATTAAAGTTGATATACGTGGGTGTCGGCGTACTGCCAGAACCGTCAAATCCATCTCCCCCAGTTCCACCGCCAGTTAAGTTGGCGCCGTTGGGCTGAGAAAAAGAAAGCTAGTCAAAGCGAGCTGCATAGCTCGAGGGTGTGACTTACCCCAATAGGTCGCGAGTTATCCGTGAATGCGCAATCCGAGGACTTACACAGGCACGACCCAGCAATGGGATCCCAGAAAGGCGTTGAGCAGTTGGAAGGCACTATGGAACATCTTCAGCGAAGGGTGATTAATAACAGGAAAAAAATAGTTACATCTGTATCTTATCTGCTGGCCCGCTGGGGGTTGCTGCGGCGGGTTCGGGTTTGAAGGGGACACCTCTACTTGTGGGCAACCATACTAATTCGTGATAAGTTTAAATGAATACCACGTTATAAACGGATGACTTACGCAAGTGAAGAAAGGAAAGTCGGGGAAGTCACACTCCTCCAGGAGGCCAGCTTCGTTCTGAGGAATACCATTGCAAATTTTCAGAGATGGGTCAACCTGGGGAGTCGAACACTTCAAAGGCTCAAAGGAATCGAGCTCTGAGACGGGTACAGGATTTCTGACCCAAGCAAGAAGCTGCTCGTTCGAAACGATCCAGACATCCTGCTGCATCTGAACCCAATCTAGGTATTCGTTTATCATCTGAATTGTGCTGTTTGGGGGATCAACGCCGGGATAAGTGGTCTATATATAAGTATAACATTAGTCAATATTAAGGTATCGTAGAACGGAGAGAACATACCGAAAGATGGATGGGATGGGTGTAGAGACCAACTGGTTGCCTATTCCCAGTGTAATGATCCGTGAATGTATTTTTCATGTACTCGAATGTGGCAGTATCATTAACAGCACTGGCCCCATTTGCCGTATCCAGCCAAGGGTCCATCAAGTGCGGCCCATCAATCCCGAGGTCGTCAAAGAATGCATACATGGGAATCTCCCAAAGACCAGGAATCTTAGGCAGGCCCTTGCATATACCCTCGACAGTCAGACAGTCATTTGCAAGACCATTGTCGAGCGTGTAAGGCCAATACGCATCGGTACCTGGGTCTGTGACAGGAATTGAAGAGGCAGAGGAAGAATCATACGTGAAATCAACGTTCGCAAGGAGTTGCAAAGTCTCAGCAGTATAATTCAAGTAAGGAGCACGGAAACCTTGGATGGCATCAAGCGGAATACCAGCAAGCGCGTTAAGAGCAATAATGTTTCCGTTGATCTCATCCGCCGGAGGTGAACCGACATGTGTCATCCTAAAGCCAATGATTAAAAGAACGAAGAACTACAATGATATACATACGTATGATCAGCGATTTCATTTCCAGCAACGTACCAATCGGTGACAAGCGTATAGTTGGTATAGTTGAGAGACGTGAAGTAGGTCATCTTGATAGGGCAACCGTTCGGATTCTGTCGTTGAGCAAGGAACTGATTGACAGCGTCAAGAGTATAGGACTGAATGGCGTCGTCGGCAGTGAAGACAACAAATTGCGGTACGTCCGACTGTAAAGCCGCATGTCAGAAGTGATGCATGGCAAAGAACAGGCTAAAACATACTGGAGAAAGACCACCTGGAGGACTCGTGCTAGCGCAATTGCAGTTGGGCAACTGACATTGGCTAGGGTCGCACGAGTACCCAGCAGCAGACGAGCTGCTGGTCGGACCCGATATGGAGCCATCTTGAGCGGTCACCACCGACGCCTGCAGTGCTATACCAAGCACTGACAGCAGCGCAGACATCCACATCTCTCTGGAAAAAAAGGAGATGAACCAGCAAAGTTGTGGTCAACGAATGAAAGAGAAAAGAGCGACAATGCCAGGCGGCAAACTAGTAGTGAAGAAACCTATAAAGTTCGGCGGGGAGGCGAAAAGAATATAGTTAGATGACAAATATTTCGTTAACGCAACTATATTACCTTTTGCCATTAGTCCTAGTGACCAGCGACGTAATGAACCACTCGGAGGTGCTTACACTCGCAGATCATCTTCGATGTTTGATATAAGAGATGATCCGTTCGCGAGCTGTTCATCTTTAAACAAATCTTATTGTAGCGACAAAAGAGCACGGAGGTAAGTAACGGCTTAATTAACCTTCTGTGAATGTCGCTCACCGGTATGTCGCTGCGGTTTTTAGTAAAGCTCGAGCGCTCAAGCTTCTTAAAGCTTTAGGTATTTTCAAATTACGTTGAACAGTGAACACACAGCCTAGCGAATACCCGAGCAAATAAGTCCGGCTTAAGGGTCGGACATCACGTGATGTGTGTCCTCCTGTAAAAGTTTGTTGACCTTTCTCAGGCTCAACGCACTCAAGTCAAATTGCAAACCAGGCGCCGCCTACGCGATCACGCTGGTTTGCGCCAAAGTAGGGCGGACACGAACACTTGCATATCTTAGTGCTCTCGCTTTTTTCTCCCGCTTTCTCTAGGAGTTGAAAGCAGGCCGGTGGTTCATACAAACATCCCTAAGCTCTTCCTTGCGACTACGCGCATAATATCGTTGGCGGTTTATGTGTCTAACTGGATAATGAACGACATTATTGGCAGCGCAACTGCTGTGCTCAGCTCAGCGATTTCCCTGTAATTCAAGATGCCATCGGTGGATTACTTTGCCAGACTTTCGAGTACCAATTTTCCATCGACCGTAGGTAGGGAAACGCGCGGGTACGGGTAACACCGCGGTTCTATGCTAACGGGTTTGGCGGGTACGGGTACGGAGTAGGATATCCATACCCTTGAGCAACTCCAATGACTCGGACTCATCCAGGTCACTTGTACCATGCCAGCGATATCCTCGGATAATCAGGCCAGCATCAGGGCTCGCCAGCGAGTGCGAGCACGGCTTTTCGATCTTGATTGTGATATCATTTGTCTTCAGGCCGGAGTCGACAGTTGGGCAGAAGTTTCTTGACGTCATGATGGCCTCCATCCGAACCCTCGCTTCTCCGTTTGACGTGGTTAAACAGGATGTCAAAACAAATCAGACAGAAGCCCGAAAAAAAAGTCTGATGACTCGGAGGAGCAGGCTCGAGAACATGCACATCAGGATATCAATTCATGATCCTGGTCTTTAATTATCGCTTTGAAAATTACAACATGACAAACAGAGACACGCGGACTTAAGTTCCTTCACTGCAAATGATCTTGAGACCGGCACGGAAAGGAGAGAGAACCTGACTCGGAGCTGAAACACCTTGACTGGATTCAACACGTTAGCTACGTAGGATGTTTCATTATGTGAATAGCATATGATATTAGTGCAGTGGCACTTGTATAAATGCGAGATTGTTCCGTCTATGTTCAGAATGTTCGGGGAGGCCAAGCACTTGAAGCAGTAGCATCTCAAATCAGGAACGTGACACATTCTCGCATGTATTTTGAATTCACGCCGCTCATGACCAGACTGGTGAAATTAGTTTTCGCCTTTACAAATCAGCAGCAACATTTTGGTTTCGCCCAGTCTGCTTTTCAGTCAGACAACCGTTAATTCAGGACCGCTGCAGGGGTATAAGGAATCAATAAATACTGTAATAAAATCATCGTCTGCGAGGACGGATTACCGTAAAGCCTATGTGTGGCTTATTGCCTATACAGTTTATCTAATACATTCCCACGACCCATTACCGCTCGACGCTCGTACTCAAGATATTGGAGGTCTCGCCTAGTACTCCCCTCGTCAAGACCTCTCTCCTCAACATGGTGGGTGCTATCACCCCGAATCATGTTTTTATACTAACTATAACCTCCATCACAGACTAAGCGCACACGAAAAGTCGGTGTTACCGGAAAATACGGTACTGTGAGCATAATATCATGCCTTGTTACAGGAGAACATTTGTCTTAGACGTCTTCATTGTAGCGTTATGGTGCCTCCCTGCGTAAACAGGTGAAAAAGGTGAGTTCATTGTTGCTCTAGGATCATACTATTTGTTGAAACCTCGATCTTTAGATGGAAATCACACAGCACGCCCGGTACACCTGCACCTTCTGCGGCAAGGTAAGTGAAGATCTCATGTGCACGTGTGCGCAGCAATCCTCATCTCGTCACAGGACTCCGTAAAGCGCACTGCAGTTGGTATCTGGCATTGCAACGCTTGCAAAAAGACGATCGCTGGCGGGGCATGGACAGTATCGACGACTGCGGCTGCTACCGTACGGAGGTGAGTCATCTTCAAATCGCATTGTGGGCCATCGAGTCTGACTATCTGCTTAGCACCGTTCGTCGTCTGCGGGAGCTGACGGAGGCATAGATAAAATCTTATGGGTTCTTTTCTTCATGTTGTTCCATATATCTCGACCCAATGACTATGAGCCTCATGCACGTTGTATATTCCCCTCAACACATCTGAACGCTTTGCTTTGAATTTTTCCTAGGTCTGTTGAGGAAGGGTGGTTCATCAATCTTGCAAAGTAGAGTTCGCACGAATTGCTATTAGAGATCAAAAATAGTGCTATAGTGCTAAAGTGATAGGTAAATCCAAAGTGATGAATAGAATCAGGTCGGTACCATCCGGTGAGAACCAGACAGACTTAGTAAATCCACTCAGTGTGCCCTCTCTCTAAGGTCCACCAAATGCAAATGGTTGTCCCGTCGCTGAATCCCACAGCCGCACCTTCCGAATCAGACGCGATGCGAATACCATCCAGTAACAACTAGACTGAATAAACCGGTCAGTCTACCCACTGAATACGGTCCGAGCAACGGTCCAGTTCACATTGTGGCCAAAGGTTATTCAGAAACCTTGCTGTAAATTTCCTAGCCATCGTGGAGTTGACATGCCAGAATGGGAGCGCTGGCAAATACCGACTCGGATGTGTGCTGTGCCGTGCAAAATTACACCGCCAAACACTTGAATGAATCTCTGTACATGCATCGTGGTGGACCGCACATCTTCGTATCCAGGATGAACCAGTCGATGACCCTGCGTTCATATAATATTGACCTGTACGAGACATTTGAGTTCTATTTGTCACCTTCGTTGTCTTACATAATTACATGCGAGTGACCTGCTTGCGGTCTTCACACACAGCGTCTTCTGCATTTTTTTCTCAACCTAGTGCCCGTGAACGTCTTTACGCATAATTCTTTCTTCAGTAGTTTCCACTGCATTCTGGATGTTCTCTTGAAATTAAAGCGCGCATAGGGCAGAATTCGGAGCAGCTAGCTCGGCGGTGGAGGTTTAAGGGAGTGACGCAAACCTCGCAGAACAGCGCAGAGTAGGTACGCGTCAGAACGGTGGTGCATGAGTAAACTTTTATGTAACAATGGGACCCCACCTTGCCTCCACCTTCACGTGAGTTTCAGTGTCAACAGCACTAGTTCAGGGATTTACCAGGATTCATCTCGATCTACTTTGGACCTCCAATTTCATCGTGATCAGCTCTAGCAGACTTCAGAATGCTAACAGGGCACTACGCGAGTACCCTTTTTGAGCGTTGCCACCCTCAGCTGGAGTCCTTGCCCTGCAGCCTGTGATTCCCTGTAATTTAATATCCTGCCGGATCTGCCCATTGATATTTAAACGTTTTCCAGCCATTCAGGTTCAATTATCATGTCTGCTGTGTACTCGTATGATGCAGCACGACGTCTTAGCTACATGGTTGAGCGCACAACCATGGCTCTGGATATTATACTGAAGGATATCAGACCGGAGGTAGCTACTGTTTTTAGTGCTTATCCTTTCCGTACGCTCGGTCGTTCATCGTATGCGGCAGTTTCTTACCATCCAATTGCAGTTCTCCGCCTCCCCTCTTGGCTGCCTGGTATGCGCCTCAAGAGAATTTTCACCTTTAGTCAAGGAATTGTCCTTAGAAAACTTGGAAAATCCATTTGCATACACAGAGCGTTGCCTGGTAAACGCGACATGTTGTGTGATATTTTGTTCTCAAGTTCTTTTAATTTCAGGCTGCGGGATTCCGTTTCTCCTTCTATGGTCGCTGACCATCTGATGGAGCTTGATGATAGCTACAGCGATTCTGCCTGGCGGAAGAAAGAGATAAAGGAATCTGCAGGAACCGCTTTTGGAGGGGAGCAGACGCCTTTCAGTGTAAATTTTTCAAGCTGAATCAGACTGCCTCTGGCAAGCTGGCACCGAGCCGGTAGGCCGAAAGTCATAGCCAGTGATTCGGTCAAACGCTGACAAGTACTAGACAGTCATTGTGTTGATGAATTTCATGCTAGTGATGATTCTCCACCCAGATACACAACAAAAAGCGCAGAAACTTGTTGATAGTGTGGTTGGCTCAAAGAGACTGCCGGCATTCCACGATCGTCCAACCTTGCATTACATTGACGCCATTTTACGGGAGTGCATGCGGGGAGCCCAGTTTTCCCTCTTAGTGCGTTTCTAACCTCAGCACATTGGAACTGGATTATTGATCTATTACAGCGATCATGCATGCTGCTGTCGAAAGCGACGTTTACAAAGGTTATTACATACCCAAGTTTTTCCTGATTCTGGAGTGAATGTTCATTCGTAGCACAGGCGCTACAGTCACCCCGAATGTTTGGTACGAAGATCGATTATTCTTTGGTTCACAACTAAATCATCCTCAGGGCAATGTGCCACAACGAAGATAAATACCCAAATGCGTCTGAATTCAATCCTGACCGTTTCCTGAACCCAGACGGTACTCTGACAGACGACACTGTGAGTTTTGTGTGGGGGTTTGGGCGACGAATATGTCCTGGTCGCCATCTCGCTGAAGCTTCTATATGGTCCGCCATGGTCTGTGTGCTTGCAGTTTTCAATTTTTATAGGGCCAAAGACGAAACTGGTAGAGAGATTGAGATCGAGCCGCGCTGGCATGGAAGGCTTACTGTGTACGTGGGGTCCAATAGGATTTCTCTGGAGAGATGGTTTACTGATTTTTTGTTAGACAACCTACGCCATTCCCTTGTAGTATCACACCACGGAATGCGATCATGGATGTCACGGCCTTGCAGCATTTGATCAGGGTATCTGTTTAACTTGGTCTGTTCTGTATCGATACAGTTGACTATATGTATCGGAGCCATTCTGGATATGGAGATTGACGGTCTATCACGAGGGATGAACAAAGATGTTTCTCACACACCTTAACCTTCGCGTGGTCGAGGCTCACCACATAGGATCGTGGCCACATAAAGAGTTCAAGGCAATTTTGAGCTGGTCAAATTGTCCCTTGGAGAGCCTAATTTTCGGCAATGAAATATTTTCAGCAGACCAGCAGCTACCGTTATTCCCTCCCTCCAATTAATTGCAGATCCTGATGGTAATTTTTCGATATACGTGAATTGATACAGCTGGCAAAGTCCTTCGAAGTCACAGCCATACCGGATCCATGATCCCGGACTCCGGAGAGGTCGTGCGAAGGTGAGCTCATACCCTTACTCGTCGCGCACCGTCACAACAGTCACCTGTCGTCGATGGCTCTGAGTTTGTTTCTTATAAACCTGTCCCACAATTCGAATCTAGGAGTCCAGTGGCAGGACTTCTTGTGGTCATACACATACGTGTAGCCACGGAGACTGACTCACTGCCATTGACTATTTTTTGATGCAAGCCATTTAGAGATTTACCCTGCACGAGCGCTGCAAAACCAATCAATGCGTTTGCATTCCACATAGCTTAGTGATTGTCCAATCCCAGGCCGCCTGTTCCCATGCAAACGCAATCCTGGTTTCATGCACCACGTATCATGGATGTTAAGTGCTGCTATCTAGCTCCTTCATGCACTCACTGGTACATCCCTCGTCAAATACAGCAGGCTTAATGATAAGAATTTGTCCAGGTTGAGGCCTGAGGTGGTATAAAATACACCTGTTTCTTTCTCCTAATCCTCATCTCTCCAGTCACCAGCCACAATGGTACATCCATTGGACATTCACTCACGCATTGGAGTTATCATGACTGGCACGAGATACGTTCTTCGAACAGACCACGAAGAGGAAATACACAGGGCAGAGGATGCGGGAATGGTGCAGACCACCAAACTAGTACGCCAGCCATCCTGTATGGAGGTGGGACGCGCATCATACTGTGACTCCGAGACAAGCACTTTGGTTCGTATGTTTTCGCGTTTGAACAATAACTGCTGATGGTAACGCGTCGTCTCGTTAGGTCGATTTTTCATGGAAGGATGTTCAGAGTAGTGCTTTGCTGGTAAGGCAGATTTATTCCAAAGGGGAAAATCTCGATAATTACCGTAGGAAACATCCGACCACGAACGCGAAACGTCTACATCTGAGACCAATAATACAGCGAAGGCTCAAATGTTAGATGCAGATGAAAGGGCGTGGGACAGCCCCCGCTCCAGCAGGAATGTGAGGGCCTTGAGGAAATAGTGCTGGCTATATTGTTTTCAAAGAGAGCAGTACGGCGTAGATTCAAGCAGCTTGTCAATCATATTCTCGTTTTGAGATTCCCATATATAACCGCGGGCATAGCAACAAGGTATTAAAATACTCACCAATTCATCAAGCAACGGAAGAGCATCGTAATTAACCAAATCTCTGCTTTGCCAGCTGTTGAAACATGTCCATCGTAGCCTTGTCCTTCTCTCGCAAGGCCGCAGCACGTTCGCGAACAACAGCGGTTTTATCTTCTCTCCCTGCAGCACGCTTCTCCTCGAAGCGTTTGCGTGCTGCATCTCGACGAGCAATGCTATCACGATGTCAGCATCAAAAGGAAAACAAAGGGCACTGACATACTGGTCCCTGAAACTATCCCCACCACCAAGGAGGGTCGACTCATCAGCTTCAAATCCGTCGTCACCTTTCTCCCTAAACGCACGGTCGTCCTCTCTCCGGGCGCGCTTCTTCTCCAGCATACCCTCCCTACCGACCTCTTTCGGCCCCACCATGTCCTCGATGCGCTCCTTCGCTTCTGCGCGATCCCGTTTACGCTTCATTGTATGTTCCGCTGCTTGATATTCTGATGCAGCTTCTTGGGCGAGGACCCGATCAGATGCCGAAGGGAGAGTCGGGCCGTGTACGCGGCTCCGGCTTCCATTGGTATTGGATGAACTAGTAGCACGCCGGTACGTTGCGGAATCAACCTCCTCTCGAACGGCCTTCAACGCTCCTGCATCCACACTTGTGCCCTTGGATGCGAAGGACCATTTGTAAGCTGTTTGGTTTGCTGCTGCTGATGTATAGGAGTCGGCCTCGGAGTATAGGGACTCTAGACGTCGGTTAGGTGAGGATCCGTCAGAATCCGTCACTGTGTAGATACTGAAGAAGACTCACTCGGTAGTTTGGCTCTGTTCCATGCCTTGTATTGTATACTGAGCACACATTCATATAGCTCATGCATTTTCTTACCTTTACAAACTTTCGGAAGTAACTGCCATTTTTCTTGAGCAACCTAAAGAAAAATCATGCTGATAACGCTCACCTCCTCGCTTTCTCACTCGAGAGCTCGTCAAAGTACTACCAGATGGACACCTGAGCATTATTTCTTTGATTCAAGAAGGACATACCTTGTGTTTCTCCTCCTTTAGCCATATTCTAAATTCTGTGTTTTTCAAAAAGTAGTCCGACTCTGATATGGGTGAGACGCCTTGAAGAAGGTCGTTGCTACTTTCTGGGGTGGGCGAACGTTCTTTTCTGTCTCTAGAGCGCGACCGGTCATGATGCGGACGGCGCTCACTATCTCTATGAGAAGGCATGTTTGTGTCGTCGTTTGTTCTCCACGCAGCGTGGTGTCGAGTAACTAAGGCGACCACTGACCACGGTAATTATTGCACAGTGCTAACAGTTCTTTCTCTGCATACAACGTTGCCAGCAGATGTATAGCAGATATAGGAAACCACAGAAAAGTCGAAGACAAGTCTTGACAGAGGGCACTAGCAAAAGGGCTGCTTACGTCATTGGCCGCTCGCCTGTGCTATTATCTCGTGTCAGCATCCGCAATCGTCCATGTTCATGTCCTTCAGGATCAGTTCTGACGGCTGCTGCTCGGCCCACGGATGCGCAACCTTCGATGAAAACTTGGTATCGAGGAATCGCACGTCAGTCTCACCAGTTTAACTTTTTATTTCGAGGTGTTTCCGAAGGTATCAATGCCAAGGCTATCAACTGCATCCGTCCTCTCGATGTTGATACTTACCATTAACAACAAGGCATCGGTCAAAGAATTGAACCGGTTCTACAAACATCCAACCTAGTAGACCATCACTCAATCCCATTTGCGCAGTGGTTGAGGGCGGTTTCACTGCTTTCGGTGTTGGCGGCACAAATCATACAGAGCGAAGCCTTTGATTATGTACCAGTCCAGCGGGTAATTGGCGCTGATGTGCCTACACCTGTACGTGTTGAGATGCCCTGAGACTGTCTCTTGCTGATTTACATCAACACACCACCGACTTCCCTCGAGGCACTCTCATTCCCTAATACTCCTTTTATCGTCAAGGTCGCTAAGCGGGCACTCTATACGACTAACTTGGCCTTCTTACTTATGCTCACACACTCATAGACATCAGCATTTTATGGCTGCATTGATATATTCCTCGAGATGTCTGAATCAACCAGTGCGTGATACAGACATATTTATTTGTATACTCTCCAGATCTCAATAATTATGGGTCTTCCAGACAATCTACTAGTAAGGGTCAATCTATAGCTCGAGCCAGTGGGTGATGTCTAACCTATGTTCTGCTGACAGCTTTACAGCATCTCGTAGCCGCATTGTCAGTCATTATTGGTGTTCCGTTTCTGGCATTTTCCACCCTGCAACAAGCAAGTCAGCTGCGTCCATAAAGTTTGCGGTAGCAAAAAGCAGTGGTTATTCACCCGACACACAGAATCCGGCCCACATTCGTCAGCGCCCTCATTGCACTCATTGGTACCATCTGCGCTAACAGATACAGCAAGGGCGACGAAAATAGCGAGAAGTGTCAAAAAACGCATTATAGTAGATTTGAGAGTTAGCTGTGGAGGTCTCGTCTCAGATGTGCTGTTCGATACTGCAGAATTTTGTGCAGTCCGGGTATTTATGCTTTCCCTTGGTACGTTATGCACTACCCATGATATTCGCTTCGCTTCTATATGACAGAACCAGTCGACAGGTTGAATGGTCACTGAGCCTTTGTTCGCGTCCAGGTGGTGTTAGCTTCACCCAAAGTTCCATTCCAGAGACCGACATTTACCTAAGGTTCCATTCCAGGGTACACTGACAGAGTTCGGCACTATAACTCGTTGGTGTATGTTTGCAAACGAACAAGCTATCCTGTAAGTACGATGGTTGACTCGATGTCCATTTCTAGCCAGGTACAACAAAGGAACCCTTTATAGTGACCATCTCGTATTTGCACAAGACTCGGACCCGGAGTGGTGTGCATGAGCCGAGTTTGGACCGCTGGCAGTAGCGCGTTCGACCCTAGGCTCAGAGCCGAACTGCAGGAACAGTGTACCACTATTACAAGTAGCAGCACATGACAGACTGTAGAATATTTGTTTATACACACTTGCCTTGATGAGTGTTTTTTACATCATGCCAGCACATAGACGGCGCACATCTACATGGACGGAGCGTTTGATCCCGCGGAATCAATTCGTGTCGCCATGTGCGCGTTCCAACTGAACCCCTCCTTCTCAGGCTAACATTATGGACATTCTGGGGTAAGTCTGTCACGGACTCCGGGGGGCATGGGTCTCCGAGTCGCTTTTGAGTCAGCCGCTCGGCTCAATTCGGGTTATGTTTAATTTAGCTTGTACGCCGACTGTGTCTCTACTGCAGACTTATATATAAGTACATCTGCACGCAAGATACGGGACATGTCACATGTGAGGAATTGAAGTCTTGTACTATATAGACACGACCTGATAGATCACCAGCTGGTCATTTCCTCCGGAATTCTTTACACTCCTCGTTATCCCACTTCACAAACTGCCCGGTAAGCGAGAGAGGAGCACGTAACGAGAGCGCAGCGATGACATATCCAACATCATGTGGGTTCACAAGAGCTCCTTCATTGTAGGCATCGACAAAACTCTTGTGATCGGTCGCCTTCATGTGCTGCGCTCCCGCATCCCTCAATATACCCTGCATCTGTACGGTATTTGAGATCTGTGTTCGATATGATACAGTCCAGACGTACTGCAGTGTCGACTCTTCCAGGCGCAAGTGCCAATGACACGATCGAAGGTTCTTCGTTAGCAAGCGTTCTATCCATTTCATCACATCAGTCCAAAGTCTCCCTGCCCGACTGAGTGCTTATCACCTGCTCAGGCTGTTCATAGCAGCTTTGCTAGCATTATATGCGCCCCATCCATATATGTTTCCAGTAGCCGCTCCTGAACTCACAAAGATGATCCTACCCTTTGATTCTCGCAAGCTGGGCAAAGAGGCCCTGATAGCAGTAATGAGCGAGAAAAAATTGATGTCGAAGTAGCTTTTCCAGTCGTCTAGAGTGATATCGGCATTGTCGATGCGCGCTATGGGCTCCAGAGTAGCGGCGTTGAGGATCAAGCCGTCTATCTGTCCAAAGTGGTCTTTGCCGCGATTTATAGCGCTTTTGATGGCAGGTTCGTCTGTGCTGTGTTTGTAAGACCATGAATTCTATGTGATATGAACTGAAGGTTTGGTACTCACATGTCGCACTCGAGAGTCAACAATGATTGCTCGTGTTCTTGAATCAGTTGGCTGAGCTCTGGTGTTCGAGTCCGCGATATCGTAACAACGCGGGCGTTGAGCTCCTTGAGTAAGGAACGAGTGACTGCAAGACCGATGCCTCTAAATATTGGGTGGTTAGCATAAGTTTCAGAAATAGGGACTAGGATTAACCTGGATGCGCCTGTGATGACGACGACAGGATTTGGCATGACGGAGATGAGAAGGACCCTGACTATATCTTTAAGAACTGCCTATTATATGCGAATACTCAAGGGAATCAAGGAGAGCCGCCTCGGTCTCCCATGCACGCCTGAACGAAAGTCTGATCTGTTTATAGTGTCAATGCGGTTCGGACGATGCCGACCTAACGAGCACAAACATGATCTGATATCGTTCCTTTCTTGTTCACTTCTCCTACACGTCCCGCAACTTTGAAGCATGTTAAGCTCATTTGTAGCTGTCCCGTGCACACTTGGCTATCTGGAATGGCCCTTCAGATGATCTGCACAATCAAATCCGGAGGGAATGAAGTTTATGTTACCCCCTGATTTGATTGATCGATGACTCCGAGCCATATCTCGACCTTTTCGAATCATCTACAGTCAGTTGAGCATACGATTTACACTGATTTTTCTTTGGCAGAGATCACTAGTGCCGGCTCGACCATCTGTCGGGTCGTTCAAGTTTGTTTCTTCCTGGTCCTTCATTTCAAAATTCACACAAATAACAGAGTCCTCTAGATCTCGAAGAAAGTACAAAATGTGGTATATACAACATGATAACAGATATGAAGATGCGATTTTGGAAATGCAGGGTATGTGCAAATAATAAGGTTAGTGCTGTGCGTGCCAAAAGTTCAATGTCAAATTCCTCAGCTGCGCTTTCCCAGTCCACATAAGACTAGCGCAGCTCGCATCATATCATCGTCCTGAATCGCACTTTTTCTTCCATTTACTACCATGGGCGCAAACTTCAAGTTCCGAGCCACGTGCCCGCACTTCTGGAAGGGAAATACAGTTTTCTTATTCCAGGCGTCATCCCCAGCTCCTAAGCTCCCTTCTGGTGTAACAGCTTCTATTTCTTCCTCTTCTGTTTCAGCACCTGCTTCGTCTTCTTTAGGTTTTCCAGATAGGCGTGCCGCAGCACAAGCCCATTCAAGGGTGCGCCCGCTGCCCATGAAGTCTACCAAGTCGCGCGTGGGAGGGCTGGCAGGTGCTAGTGGAGATGAGGGCATATTATCCCAGAGTGACGCGTGCGGATTATGAGGCTTCGTAGGTGTGCGGGGTGGTTGGAGACGTGATTCGGAACGTGCCGCGACACGATCAAGGGAGGGACGCGGGCGAGGAGGCGTTATCCGTCTCCGTGGAGTATGCAAGCTCGAAAAAGAAACTGATCGGGAATGGACATGACGTGAAGAGGAAGCATGTCCATGTGGGAGTGGTGGTGAGGAAGAGTCATCATCATTGGAGACGTTCGTCGCATTGTGAAGGGCTACTTTGCGCTCTGTCTGACGTTTGTTTTGAAACCATATGGTGACAGACTTTATTTCCCTGTGGAAAATGGGTCAGATGTAGGGCAAGTATTGTCGGTCCGGAGAATGACATACATTCCTGCTGAATTTGCAAGGGCTTCGCGTTCCTCTCGCGTCGGGTGAGATGTCCGATGGAAGAGCTGTTCTAGCATCATGAGCTGAACAGTAGAAAAGCGTTTGCGCGTTCGACGCGCGGCATCATCTGTGGAAGATATGCTGGCCAACGAGGATGTTCTGGAGAGTGTAGTTGATTGCATGGTTGAGGGATGTTTGGAAAAGGACGGGAAGTCAGGTGTACGCGTATTTAAGGTGACTACATGCCAGTGACACGCCGTCTACAGCAAACAAGAAACGCGGTAGCGGAGATCAAATACGCGCCCGCCACGTGATCGCGTTCGGTGTATGATCTATCCCCACTAGTCAACAGATTGACTGTTCACTTGTCAAGCCGATGCCTTTCTACGTTGTCGAATGACCTTTCACGCGCACGTCCCATTAATTGGAATTTGGTAGTTACTTCTCCATGACCGACACGCTGCAATTTTTAGCTCGAGATCAGTATCAACTTCTCACAGTAACCCTAGACTAGTAGTGATCATATTATGAAGACACCTACCAAGCTGTGTCCGCCCACACACGGAAGGGTATTGCAATCCCGAATGTGAATTGGTATGCCTTAATGAACGCAAGCATTCCGTATTGAAGCAGTTTTCAGGAAGACAAGATCAAAATCACTAAGATGAATATGGTGAAACTTTAGCTCAAGAACTACCCGCGCGCTTCTCCTTGCCCCTAGGGCGTTCCCGAATAACCATCTTATTACTATTCTTAGGGCCCTTGGGTCCAGGTTTACGCGTACGTTTCCCTTTCGTGGCCCAACCCCAAACAGAAACAGGATGCTTGTTGGACTTGGATTTACCACGTCCACCACCATGAGGGTGATCCTTGCTAAAATTCAAAATGCAAAAGCGTGGCTAAATATAATGCGCGCAATTGGTTGACAGAAAAATACTGACGCGTTCATGGCAACACCTCGGACTCGTGGTCTCCATCCCTAGCCACCGATTTCTTCCAGCCTTCCCTATCTTCCTTCCCTTCCAATTAAGGTTGCTTACGCGTCCAATGGTAGCGCAACAATCTTGTAGGACTTGGCGGATTTCGCCGCTTTGGAGACGCACATGACTGTACCGTCCAGACTCGTCGTGGTGCACGACCTGAGCGAAGGAGCCAGCAGAACGTACGAGCAATGCCTTGCCCGTAGGTGAAAGTGCGACACAGTGAATGACCGTGCCAGTAGGAATGAACCGAATAGGAAGAACATTGCCAGGCCTAACCGTTCTGGTGCGAAGTATACCCGTGGTTTCAGGCATACCCATTCTATAGCTCTGCACCACATCCCCCGGCCTCATCCCCTCGGTAGCAAGTATGTATTTCCACTTCGCCTTCCCTTCGGCAATGGCGTCTCGTGCTTTGATAAGAGCAATGTGTGCCGAGCGCCCAGGATCGTATTCAATACGGATGACGTCGTACTCTCCGGGTTCGGTGCGCATAAAGTCAACAAGACGTACACGACGCTTGTGACCACCACCGCGGAAGCGGACGGTGATGCGCCCGTGAGAGTTACGACCACCATGTTTCCGGAGGCAAGCCGTTAGTAGACGAACGGGCTTCCCTTGATAGAGATGGTCATTTATGGGTCGACGAAGGTGACGGATACCGGGAGAAACGGGTTTGTATGTCTTGAAAACGTTGGTGTCGACGTCTAGAGATGTAGCTTTAGGCTCGTTTTTTGAACCCGATGCAAAATGTGTAGCATAAGTGCGAGCTATGGAGTTGGTTGCAGCGGTCGTTCGGAGCACATGTGTGAATGCCCGAGAACTAGATGGAGCGCTCAATGATGAGAAAGTGCGTAGTGCACGAAGGCACAACATGCTGCGGTCTGTCGACGGAACAGCGCCCCCCAAGCAGTTTAGGTATGCTGAAACGGAAAATGCAGAACTTATTTTTAGCAGGTCGAGAGGAAGGTTGTTTGTTCGGGACAAACAAACGCGCTCTCTACTCGCTCATCATTCAAAACAATGGTAGGAGAACTCCTAGATCCAAGGTTATTTGTCATATGAAAATTGCTGATGCTAATGACTAGGCTGCTCAAATATCCACAGGAATGTCCGAGTTGCGGGAGATAACCAAAATGGAGCGCATAGGTGCGCGAAACACTCATATGTATTGAGAGTAATTACGAATGACTGCTAGGCGCACACTCGCATATCCGAGGTCTTGGGCTTGACGACCGTCTCGAACCGCGAGCGAATTCGCAGGGTATGGTAGGACAAGCCAAAGCACGAAAAGCTGCGGGCATGGTCATCAAGATGGTACAAGAGGGACGGATAGCGGGACGCGCGATATTGTTCGCTGGGCCACCTTCGACGGGGAAGACAGCTATCGCACTAGGCAGGTGTATGATTATTATTGACTTGCGACACCATGAATGACATTCTGCAGGAATGGCACAGACACTAGGCTCGGATGTACCGTTTACGATGATCGCTGGCAGCGAGGTGTTTTCATTGTCAATGTCCAAGACTGAAGCACTGACGCAAGCCATACGGCGGAGTATCGGTGTGCGGATCAAAGAAGAAAGTGAGATAATTGAAGGAGAGGTCGTCGAAATCCAGATCGACCGCAGTCTAACTGGCGTATGTGTGCTGCATCTCAGTCAGCAAAGTTTACAAGCTCTAACTACCTTCCGCAGGCCACCAAAACCGGTAAACTTACGATAAAAACAACAGACATGGAAACTATTTACGACCTGGGTACCAAGATGATAGATGCTCTCTCTAAAGAAAAGGTCCTTGCAGGTGATGTGGTAGTGATTGACAAGACATCAGGGAGGGTCACAAAACTTGGTCGCTCGTATGCGCGTTCAAGAGATTATGATGCCATGGGTGCAGACGTGCGTCCTCAATGTTTCTGCGGTTAGATTCTAGCGGTGCTAATGGAAATTGCAGACAAAATTCGTGCAATGTCCCGAGGGCGAAATCCAGAAACGAAAAGAAGTCGTGCACACAGTATCGTTACATGAGATTGATGTGATCAACAGTCGAACGCAAGGTTTCCTTGCGCTCTTCGCAGGAGACACTGGCGAGATTAAACCCGAGCTTCGTGACCAAATCAACTCCAAGGTTGCTGAATGGAGGGAAGAAGGCAAAGCAGAAATCGTACCTGGCGTATGTCAAACTCTTGATGATAAAACTCCGTGACTAACGCTGAAACAGGTCCTTTTCATCGATGAAGTACACATGCTTGATATCGAATGCTTTTCATTCTTGAACCGTGCGCTTGAGAACGAGCTGTCTCCTTTGGTGATCATGGCTTCAAATCGAGGGATGTCACGTATACGAGGAACGAAATTCAGAAGCCCGCACGGACTGCCCGTTGACCTGCTCGATCGTGTCCTCATCGTCAGCACGAAGCCCTATGCCGAAGAAGACATCCAGCAGATCATTCAAATCCGGTGAATATTTTCCACACTATATATTTCTAAGCCCACTAAAACCACGGACACAGCTGCGAGGAAGAGGATGTGACCCTGACCCAAGAAGCACAAAGCGTTCTCACCTCGATGGCAACGTCTACGACCCTGCGGTACGCCCTCAATCTGATCTCTTGTGCGCAAGTAATCGCACGGAAACGGAAGTCGGACGCCGTGGACGTTGAGGATCTCCGTCGGGCGTACACGTATTTCATGGATGAAAAACGAAGTGTGCAGTGGCTGAAGGAGCAACAAGGCAGCTTGGTGTTTGAGGAGGTTGGTCAGGAGGATGCAGTTATGGGGGATGCGATGGAGTCATAGGTGTACGTCGGGTCACTGCATTTGAGGGAGGAGACTTGATTGTCTCGTGAGCGATTGTGCTCGCTTAGCGAAATTTATCTGATAGCGCGCCAGGTGTCAGTAAGCACATGGGTACAAACGCATGTTCTTCCTCGGTTTCATAAAATAAAATTCGGGTTATGTTTTTTCTTCCAATTTTTATGAGATACTCACCTAATAGACTGGTGAGTAGTTTCTGCCACTTTTTATAGACCGGCTGGTCGTCAAGACGTGACTGTTTGCCACCTAGGTGTGGTGTTCATCTCATCTTTTACTTCAAAGTCAGGTGCACCTTTACACTGTCATTTTATCCCATCCCGTTAATACCAAGTCGACTTTACAACAAATTCACTAATCGAATCCCAAGCAAATGTAATTTTAATCAACTATGACGAATACTGCCGACACAAACTGAACTAAGCACGGAAAAACGACCTCGAAAGCAGGAATGAAGCCAAAGATACAAGTGCTGGTAGGAGTCCAGTATGATGAAAATGGTAAGCAGCGAGCCCGAATATACAATAGGGTAGGTAGGATGCGCATCTGCCGTACGAGTAAATTGTGGTACGTGCGGGATACACTTCAAAAGGGGGAGGATGAGCGAGTGTAATGTGCAAAGAGCGTGGGTGGAGCTATTAGCTATATTATATTACAGGAAGCCAAAAAACTGAAAGCGGTGCAGTGCAATATATCGCGCGCCATACAATATCAGGGTGATATTCCCATTGTGGCTGGGGCATGCCGAGTGAGGAGCCTGAGGATTTGGGTGGGGCTCGTGGATTGAATGTAGTACGGTAGGAAACATGGATCAGGGTAAAAACTCTTTACTGTCCTTCTCTGTCCCGCATGCTGTATCACAGCCTTTGGATTCAATGTCTACCATATCGTAGTCATCGCAAGGCTCATCGATGACAGACACGACGGTGGTCTCCACATTGACGTTCAGGTGGGCCTAGATGGTATCGTCAGTACGTTTTGCAAGACAAACAATAATATATACGTACGCCCTTGTTAGGTGAGAGAGGGCCCAGGATACGCTGCTGTAACCCGCGAATCGGTGAGTTCCACCGCGTGATAAATGAAATGAAACACGAACCGATGATTTGTGAATGTTCATCGAGGCAGGGTAGACATCAGCCTCGCGCTGACTCGAGAAGTTATGGTCTGAACGCAAACGCTTCCGTGTGTTCAGTCTAGCAAATATTAGTTGACGAGCAGAAGAACATGAAGGATCCGACGCACGTAGCGAGAAGGGAGTTGGCATACACTAGTTCCAGTCATTAGTCATTAGCAGGATAAAGCCATCAAATTACACGTACGCTTTGCGATGGCGAAGTGCATTCCAAGGAAGATCAAGTTATGCCGCATTACCATCCACTGGATTGTACATCAGAAGACACTCCTGTGAAATTAGATGCCTCTTACGCAAATAAGGGATGCAATTGTGACAGCGCTGAAAGGAAATGTTAATAAAACCCTAAACGATAGCCCTGAGCACCTACCAAGTAAAACTTCCAGTTTCGAGTGTGTACAAGATCAATGAGTTGATGATGTGGTTCATGCTAATGGCTCATCAGATAAGTGGGGCATGAGTGAAGAGGGGTCCTACGTTGCGAAACCAGTGCGACTGCGTCCAAGGAAGATGACCATGACGACGGTTATGATGAATTCCACAGACGCAGATAGGGTGACACCGAGAGTGAATACCCACTACATTGCAGAGTCAGTTTTTAAGCGATGACGTTGGCGTTTCCGCCCACTTACTGATGGGAATGGCTTGATGAATAGCGAGTAGTGGCGAAGGCGCATGCTACGAATGCTAGTGTGAGGAAACAAAATACAATAAACATTCTGTAAAACTCACATTTCGGTGGTCGAAACTTGCAAGAACCAATTAAGTATTACAAAAAAAATTATTTCTCGAGGATAACGTACCACATGCAGCGACTGCGGTTTGTTGATGAGCACAAAGGATTGAAAATGAAAATATAAAAACTCACGAAGACGCAAGAATGCCAGGAGAACCTAATAATTGAACATTAGATTTAATGGCGGTAAACTCGTATGACTTAAACACGTACGAGGGGCGCAGCGAAATACCACCTCTTTGTCACTAAAAGAGGTTCAGCTGGGTACACGGTCAACAGTTTCGATTACTGACGTTTACGGACTCTGTTCGCGAAGAAACTGCACAATAAAACATTTAAACCACCACCATGGCAATTAAATGTAGGAAACGACAAACCAGTGGACGAGGAATGTGACTGCGGCAGTTATGGCTACAGAAAGCTATATAAAATATTGTCAGACAGGTTAGTTGATTACAATGGAGGGTACGAACACCTAAGGCCCTAAAGTACAGTCGTATCATGAATTTTAATGAAACAAGAACACTTCAGCTGACTCACTTTGGAATGAGATCCATCAATTCTGGTTTGTCGAAATTCACGATGACGGATTCCCAGACGGAGGTGATGATGAGAATGGTGTGCATCATGTCCAGTGCCCTGCACAGCGGTGAAAAACATTTCAAATAACGTCGCACTTGTAGACCCACCAGACGACCAAGACCTTGAGTATGTATCAAGTTAGAAAAGATCTTAGGAAGCAACACCTAGCCAAGCTCACCAATATTTTATTTTGGATGCAATCGGAGGGGTAAAATTTGAAATACAAAACGGTTTGAACGAACACGATCCCAGTGAGGCTTGAGACGATGTCAGACGCGTCGAAATAAGAGACAAAGCATTATTCACCCGCAGCCAATGCAGGTGCCCAGGAGGATCGCACCGTATACCGTCGCAACGGTGGCTACATCGCCCGACATGGTGTTTTGAGGCGGGGGAGAGTAAGGACAGGAAGTGGAAGCAAAGAAAAACGACCACAAAAAAAAATAAGTTGGACACACCACTGCTCGTTTATGTAGGTACGTGATGATTTAAATTAATGTCGGAATGGTGGTCGAGATTCAGGCATGTTTTACTGATCTCGTCATCGCGAGCAATAGAATCCTCTGATTCTAGTTTGAAGAATTCGGCATGCGGTAGCGGCATAGCCACATAATAGGGTCGGCCTTCCGTCCGTAACCGATATCATGGGCTAAATCCGCGTTAAACCTCATATTTCGGATCTGCCTTCAAACCTGAATTGTAGATGAGGTTCTTATACCGAGCTCTTGTTTAACACCCTTGATCGTTGATAGAGCTGGGGTTTGCGCTGTGGACAGTCGGAACAGCGCCCACTTTAATGAATTCCCACCTTCACCCGATCCTCTGGTGCAAACACCGCCTCAGCGCCTAAACGTTTCCTCGGCACCTAATCAAGCTCGCAAAGTCTCCCACAAACCTTGCTATGCAGCGTTTATTGTGCAGGAGAGGGTGGATTCCAAGGTTCATAGTCGTCTTTAGCATCGCTGCTCAGCACTCATAGGTAGACAAAACTGTCGCCGCTGAGTTGGGAGAGTAATAAATCTATGCCGTACGTTTATTGTGCCGTGTGGTTCGGACTCTGGGGGCGAACAGCGAAATCTGACAGCATCTTTTATATGAGAGTGGTCCATCAGAATGTACGAAGCAGCACTCAGGCCGGGGAACTTGAATCCATCGGTCCACCCAAGTTGTTTAGGACTTGTAGTTCGCTGAAGTTCACTGTTCTAGCTAGTAGCCACACGAGGCCATAGTACTAGTGCCTGCGAAATTCAAATCCAGGATTTAGCCTAACAATCAGAAGCCTGAAGAAAAGATGAGCCTGATAACAATGAATCTGGGAATTTAATTCCGGCAGAACAAAAAGTCCGGCCGTGAATTACCCCATATACTATACTACTTCGGGCCCGCACCCAACAACCAGCCTCTTTAACCCTTGCTGGTTCCTTTGGATATCTGGTTTCGCCGTCTTCAAACCAGTCTCTGCCGCTACCCTCCTGGAGATCGCGCTGCGAACCTTTTGAACGGTGTTAGTGGCGCACAATAATACGGCTTGAGGTACTACATAAGGTAAGCGACGGGCCGGCTTGCCTCATGTTTCAGGTGTGTTCTGCCACCTGCCGACTCCGCCGTCATTCAAGCGCCCTACACCATGATGGTGTATGTTTGTTGGGGTTCGTTCCGGATGCCACCGATTCCCGGCGGACTCGATCGAGTTTCATCTCTGATCGAATGTTATCAAGGCTCTGCGCCACTCGAATCAAACAAGCACTTGATGGGCTTGGCAAAAGTCTTCATTCTAGATGCAATGGTCGCGGATGTCCATGAAACTCGATTCTGAGACGCAAGCAAGCTCCTTGAGCGCTTCCATCTCAGTCAGCTTCTTTCCATTTTATTTCTTCATTATATTCAACCTGTCACTCGATATCAAGGATCACTATATCCAATTTATGTAAACAATGCAGCATCTATCATTATATCATATATGCACCTTGAAAAATATTTAGTACACATACGAAATAAAATAAGGATCTATTAAGTCTGGTAAAAGAGAAGAGATAGCTGTTCGTCATGACGAAAAAGACGCGAAAATGTTAGTACCCACAGTAGCTGGAGTCGAGTTTGCTCAGTGACTTGATCGTATCGAGACTGCGCACTGATATGAATTTCGAACATGTTCCAAGAAAATTTCATCGCGGGTACTATTTATTAGCTCAAGTTATTCCTGTACATATTAGAATCCTTTTTATTTGGCCCGATTAAGGGAGACTAATTATATATTGGAAGAGATTTAAACCACGGCAGCGACTCATCGGCATTGCTAGAGTTGTATGTACATTAGTCAGCGGATGCGCGCACCGGCCCCAAAAAGGGTAAAAACTGTCAATTCTAATCAATTGTAGTTTTAGAGTTGAGGAGGTCAAAATGTTTTGCAAATTCAACTCGTCATTCGAATTCATGCACATACGAGTTTTGTCTCTGCAGTTGCCCTACTCACCACTATACATGTATCGCCGTGACTACCGGTGACCAGCAGGTCGAGACTCGTCCTTCTATGTGTTTTACTTCACTCAGCATGCATACAACTGCAAGTGTCTGCATGCTTGCCGCCCCTCAGCGCTCAGCTCTTCGCGAACCGTTTCCATCAGAAGTTTATCTGTTTTCCCAAGTCTGTTTTTTGTCACGAATTTCGTCCTGGATCCGAGAGCTCGACCAACTCTGCGATCTATAACCAGTGCAGCAGCGGAGATCAATTCCAGGAACAATCGCGAGACGAAAAGCATCGGAAACACCTGTCGCGCCCATATCAGGTCGAAAATTATCATGGGCGAGCAGTCATTCTTAAACCCCTCGGCCTTACTAAATCGGCTTGATAGGTTGGTATCTTTTTGACTCACTGTCCGTAATGCGCAGTTTTCCGGTAGAAGATTACCTACCAGTTCATCACTGCAGACGGTGTCTTGCGAGAAGTGAGTTCAATCAATTTTATCGCTCTTCGTGTGAAAAAGGTACGAGTACAGCCCTTGCAGCTACCCTGTCCTTCTTTGACAGGTAGAGTGTAAGGATTGAGCGCTCGAGATGTTCTTGTGGCGTGGTGTTGACTAATATCCGCGTCGCAAGTCGGGACGTACAGTATCACATGAGACGCGCCGCGGCCAGAACACGGAAGTGCTCCGGTGCTTTCTTCGCACGATGAAGTAGCCATCTTGAAGTCAGGTGGACGTCATGTCAGTATCTACTATCTGCGTGCACGAAGTGGTATAAGTTTGAACGTCATTCACGCACTCACTTCCTATCCTTTGCTGTCTAATTCTCGCGGTAGGTTTACCCCACCTTGTAGCATTATCTGGTTTGATATGACTTCTCATTAGATCAATATGCCTGGAACCACTCTTCCCCCTTTCCCGGATGATGTTCGAACACATCCGCTTTTGATTATTGATTATGAGCTCATCAAGGCTGGAGATAGGGAGGAAATTGATCGATTGTGGGAGGCTGCGACAACGCTTGGATTCTGGTAGTACGTCATGAGAGTTGGATCGTTTGCCGAACATAAGTTAGACCTACCAGATTCTTCGGACAGTTTGAAGAACCATGGCGCAGATCAAGAAGCTAACGACATGTTTAATTTGGGTGCCGAGACACTGGCTTTACCCCTCGAAGAACGTTTGAAGTTCGAGCAAGGGGACAACGGACAATCGTTTGGGTCTGTCTTTGAGTGTCTTATCTTATCTTATCTGAATTTTCTATCAGCTACAAGAAGGTGGGGGCTCAGGCGATCGATGGCACAGGCACGTACTTCCAGACCAGATCACCAGCAATAGACTGACATAAATCTAGGCAAATTCGTGGACAACATTGAATTCATAAACGTCTCCAAAGATGATGCTCTCGCGTATCCACAGGTCGTTCACCTCACTTATCCATCCACCATAAACGCTCGCATGGAAAACACGGTTGCGCCATTTGTCCGCAAGTCTCTTGATGTGACATATGCCGTGTTGAATATATTTGATGAAAAGCTTGGACTGCCGAAAGGGACTTTGGAGAGTCTGCATGCTATGGATGAACACAGTGCTTGTGAGGTCAGATGCACTCGCAGCCCCCCTGTGCAGGACAAGGCAGCGAGGGACAGAGCTATGCTAGCTGCCCATACTGACTTCGGTAGCCTGGTGGGTCCCTTGATATGTGTGGGCGTTGTAGTGACGGGTACATTTGTCTCGCCAGACCTTCCTGCACAATCGGCTCGGTGGACTCCAAGTGATGCCCCCTGGTCATGACGAGTGGTCCTACGTTCGAGTAAGCGTGAATCCCTTAAGTAGCCGTGGTAGACGCTCACAAACGCATAGCCCATCCCTGGACATGCTATTTGCAATATCGCGGATGCGCTATCTATTTTCAGTGGAGGCATTCTGCAATCCAACATCCACCGCGTTGTGTACGTACATGTCATTAAGGACTTGCGCGCTTAAACTTACTAATCATTCGAATCATCACGGATAGTCCACCTCCCGGCGCACAGGCAGAACATGGGCGTTGGTCCCTGGTCTTCTTTACCCGTCCGACCAGCTCGAAAGTTCTTCGGGCCCTTGTTGAATCCAGTCCTATTATCGCAGAGGCTGTGAAGAAGCAACCTGACAGGAACTTTGAGAGTGGTTCTACTGCTGCCGAGTGGCTCGCAAGAAGAGTTAGGAATCAGAGAATTAACAATAGAAGGGTGAGAATTCCTGTAGTGCATCAGTTGTAAATTGATGCCGACATGTTACAGGGACCAGATACATGGGCTGAGAGCCGTGGCACTGAGCACACTCCAACGGCAGCTTAGGTTGTTAATTGCGTGTACTATTCGACGACCAGGGTTTTTGAGTCAACGTGGAGGTTCTTTCTATGGTTCTGATTCTTGATTAAAGTGAGAACTTACTACAAACTTCAATGGAGAGCTTGTTCTTTGCATCTGTTCTGAGGAATCCTGAATTCTGCGATGTGTAGAGGAGTTGGGGATGTTCAAGATGACTTCGAGCTCGACTCGGTCTTCTTGAGTTCCCCGAGGTGCGTCATCTGTGACGAGCGGAAGATGGTACACAGTCCATGAAGAAATTCCCCGCGCTTGAGAAGATGAGAGCTTACTACCCCAATGATTGCGTAAATTGGAACTGGTTAGAGAATCAAAATCGATTACGCAGATCGATAGAGCAGAACTTGAAACATCCCACTCGCGGGCAGGTCGCCACTCTGCCATGTTCGAACTCAGCATTTGAAGAGACGCACGATATGTCCTTGGAGCAGCTGCCGCAGAAACTTTGGTGTCGAGTGACATATACATAGTGCGATTTGATCTATCGTAGCCTCCACCGACACGCTCAGAGAGAATAATCAGTGTTGACAAAATGCGATTGGATGCAGAATAGAGGACATCTAACTGGAGTCCGTGAACGATGACAAATTTGTGATGGTCGGTGTGGTCAGTCATTGCGCAGAGCAAGGACACTACATATATCATACAACGCCACCAGACAAAAACGGAGCGGGTAACCACTTGGCAACTCGCATCGACCTCAGGCGTTTGTTTCGTCGAGGGCCTGTTCTGGATGGACTAAAGTTGGGAGGTCGGGGAGTGACTTGAGGAGACCATCCTGGCATGTGTTTCAAACTGATATTGGTGCGGATATGTCATTGATGTATAACAACCTAACTTGAAGGTATTTAGGACTAACTTGAAGCAGCGAATTATGAGTTTCTGGAGTAGATGTGTGGTATGACAATGAGGCTCCAGCTGGCACACGGTTTGAGCTTCTATTACATAATGATTGGTTGGCCGCCTCCGAGTAGGCCCCCTGAAGCTCCCCCATAGGTCTGTCCGAATTTTAGCATTTTTGAGGCCGAAAATTGGCCAAATCTCTGTCCGAACTTAGCATTTTTGAGGCTTTTGGAAGGCCGATGAGGGCCGATGTCTGTCCGAAGTTAGCATTTTTGGGGTAGTTTCAGCCGTTCAGGTGGACTTCAGGGCAGGTCATGTAGCAACTTCGAGTGATGATGATCCCATAGATTTTGTCAATGCCAGCACCACACTCTCATAATGATGCTTCCTGAAAATCTTGTGCAGCAAATGTGCTGAATTCAAAATATAGAATTAACTTGAATATACTCTGATCTCGAACCCGCTGCACAACAGAGAAATTGTCACACTTTGGCAGGGGTCACAAAAATGGCACACCACGTGATCACTGACCTCTGTCCGACTTAGCATTTTTGACAGTCAAAAAGTTGCATTTTTGAGGGCCGTTTTGGGGGTTCCAGATGGACAGACCTTATAGGGAGCTTCAGGGGGCCTCTCTGAGTCGACTCACTCGATGTTATCCTTGATGGCACATGTACTCCTTGCAGCAAAATGCAGGGTCATAACTTCTAATTGTCGGTTCTGACGTTCCTTCTCGCCCAACATGTTCTCTCAGAGCGATCATAGGACACCCTGTAAAGATTAAGGGTGGTCACATCCAGGCAGTGTGGCTTCATAATATCTGAATTTTTGCGAAAGTGTGGGATGCCTCACTCTGGTGGCCTTCTTGTTTCAGCTATTTTAATCAATATTGCACCATACAGGCTACAACGTGCTTCTGTTGTACAAATCTGATGCCCACTGTATATTATGACTGGGATAGTTCTTCTGTCAATGGTCAAAAATAGACCAGTCTCATTGACAGCTTGTTCTGAACTCCTAGTACAAGGAGGGTTCAGGTTCAAGGGTTCTCACTAGACGAGCACAGCGGCTTCTATCTAGGTTCAGCGGCGAGTGGTTTTAGCACTTCTGCCTATCAAGGGTTCAGGCTAAGACAGTGAGTGACTGTCTTAGAATCAGGTATCAGACTATAAGGTTGGAGACCTTATAGAACAGGATTCAAGGGGAAAACCCAGTAGATTAAGTTAAGGAATACTACTGTTGTACATGGGGTTTATATAGGTAAAGAGGAGCAGCGCAGCCACATCAAGAAAGGTAACAGAGATAGGAAAATAGTACAACCTATCAAGATAGCAAAGATAGGTGAAACAACCATGCGGCGCATGATAGTAGTCAGGTTACAATCAAGAAGAAGGGAGTGCGGACAGCCCGCTTGATAAGAGAATAGCCGAGTCTAGATGAGTCTAGAGTCAGTGCTATGGTTACAAAAAGAGAAAAATAAATGAGGCTAAATGTTATTGTAATACTGTAAATGGTTCAGAGGCTATGCGTGGCGTGATATCCTGCGAGTTACCGATCAGCGCTACATGGTGTGGATACCACCTGCATGCTGTGATTCCCTCACTTATAATCCATCAGGACCTCACAGGTTTCGCAGCATTACCATGACCTCTAGCACACACCTTATCCTCAAGTGTTAGTTGAAATCCATCCCTCAGTCACATGTCAAGATCCGTTCCTGGCCATTTCAATGACTACCCTCCGCCCATGGGAGAGGGCCTCAGTCACCCAGAACACCCCCAGGACAGGGGACAGAAAAATCTCATAATGAACGAAACACTACAAGTTGTCGTCAATAGTATGTGTCACACCTATCTTCATTTACCACATACCGATGATCTCCCAAACCACCCCTGGCAATGTTTTCTTTCATCATTATTCTCCTGTATTGTTTCACAATAGACTCTGTGCCAGGCCTGCTCGAGGATACACTTCAAGCCTTAAGTGAGAAACCAGGCCAGCCAGAACAACTCCAAGATCTTGGAGAGACAAACCTCGTGACCAGTGAAATGCTACAAGTCGCCATCAACAGTATGTGCCATCTACCATCACTCAGCACGCGGTACTCATGATTTCCTATGGCAGATTCCATATTGGATCCATCGATGATACCCTCCCAGTCATGGGTGAGGAGCCAAGCCACCTAGAACACACACATTGTTGAGTTATGGACTTCGCATCATTGTTTGTTGTCATCATATAGCATATTTCCTTTTTCTGTTCTGTCACATGTGTTAGTACTTAAACCTTCACGTTTCCTTCTATCATACCTCAGTTGTTTGTTCCAAACACTGAGGTATGTCTTTCCTATTTTCTCATTATCTCGTTGTCTCTTACGATAGAACTCTAGCGTGTTCGCTCGTTAGGTAACTACAATATAAGCCGTTTGTTCCAAACACTGAGCGTGTTCGTTCGTTAGCTTCTACACACATGACTCGGGAGAGATACACCTCAGTGGAGTGCAACAAGTCATTGTTACTTGTATGTATCACCTATATCCACTCAGCTCGTATTGATGATTTCCCTCAAGCTATTCGTGCCACCGATCTCGCTCTTGGTCTTTGACGGATTCCCGCTGGCTTCCATGTGGTAGTCAAGGTTGACGGTGCTGAATATCGGACAAGCAATAAATCTGCACACGTAGACCAAGCTGTCATCGAATGAAATGAGTGCATTCTTCTGTAAGCAGTCCTTAACCCCATTTGCCTTGCAGGTATTGAGAAAGACTTGAGGCCGTGCGAGCCATCTTTTAAAGTTTGGGTCAGCATGTATGCATCATTTGAATTGGGTCTCATGCCCTGTCATGGTGAACTCCTCCGCACATTTGAGATCTCTGTCAGAGAATTACTGGATCACAGCGAAAGGTCACATCATCAGTATTGTCCATTGTAAATAACACCTGGCAGATGCTAACGAGTATCACAGCCATAATATTTCAACCGAAGTGGGATCAAGTCGTATCCGCTTGTACTTCACTGTTCATGATGGTGGAGCAGCAGCTTTCTGATCAAAATGACAGTGAAGCTCTTTGTCCCCTTACTAGCATGAGTGATCAATGCAGTCTGGGATTCTGATGCTTATTGTTGTAACCTGTGGCTTACATCTCACGATATGGATGTGCTAGCATTGAGGATGGATGCCAGACATCCTCTTCTCGCACGATACCGCAGGACACAGAACAATGGTAATCTGGACCAATCCATAAATCACTTCGAACATGCCTTGTATCTCTGCCCCGTGCATCATCCCTACTACCCTGCAGCACTATTCAATCTAGCCACCACAAAACTCATTAGTTGCCAAGCCAACAGAAGACACCTTGACCTCAACATACCTATCTCTCTTTTTCAAGATGCACTCAATTTGTGTCCCATTGGTCATCCAGACCGACCCATCACCCAACTCCATCTTGCCATTTCTCTGCTCTCTTGCTTTGCGGGACGGGGATCTCAAAATGATGTTGACATGGCTGAAGAGTTACTGAGCAAAGTGCTCAATGTCTGTCATGCCAAGAGCCACATTTACAGAGTGGTTTTGATTGCAAGAAAAACATCTGCTCTGCATCCTGCTGGAAGCTTGGATGAAAACTATCTTCAACAGGAGTGGCCTGATGCATTCATGCTTTCGTTATCACCAAATCAGCTTGCTCATCAAATAGAGTGGTGCTTCCAGAGGGATGAGCCCCATGCCTTAGATGAAGTGATATCCCTTCATCATGATGCACTGGGATACTACGATACTGAACATGCTTACCGAGGGCAGTTGCTAGGTAATCTGGCTACAATACTGCAAACTCGCTTCGAGCGTCGAGGCAATGGCAAAGACTTGGATCAGGCCATCATATATCAGATGGAAGTGCTGGCCTTGCACCCGGTTGGTGACCCAGATCGGCCCTCATCATTAAATAGCCTTGCAAATCGGCTCTCTACCTGCTTTGAATACCGAGGCAATAATGATGAAGACCTGGATCATGCTATCGCGCTTCATAGGGAAGCGCTGGCTCTGTGCCCTATTGGTCACCCAGATCAGTCCTCACCATTAAATTATCTTGCGAAACAACTTTTTAGCTGCTTTAACCAGCGAGGCGTTTACGAAGACTTGGATGAGGCTATCACCTTTCATAGGGAAGTGCTGGCCTTGCAGCCGGTTGATCACCTAGAATTGTTTTCATCATTGAATCATCTTGCAGTTCAACTTTCCACCTGCTTTCACCACCGAGGCAATGTCGAAGACTCAGATGAGGCTATTGCACTTCAAAGGGAAGAGCCGGCACTGCACCCTGTCGGCCACCCAGATCAGTCCAGGTCATTAATTAAACTTGCTGATCAACTGTACACCTGCTTTGATCACCACGGCAATGACAAAGACTTGGATGAGGCTATTGCACTCCACAGAGAAGGCCTAGCTTTGCACCCTGATCGGTCTTCCTCATTCAATAATTTCGCAAATCAATTCTCCACCCACTTTGAACACTGAGGCAATGACAAAGACTTGGACTGGGCTATTGCATTGCATGAGGAAGCGCTGGCCTTGTGCCCCATTGGTCACCCAGATCAGTCTATGTCATTAATTAACCTCACGAATCAACTCTCCTCTCGCTTCGAGCACTGAGGCAATGATGAAGACTTGGATCAGGCTATTGCACTTGACAGGGAAGCACTGGCCTTGTGCCCTGCCAGTCTCCCAGATCTGTCTGTGTCATTTAATATAAATAACCTTGCGGTTCTTCTTGCCTCCTGCTTCGAGCATCAAGGCAACAACAAAGACTTGGATCAGGCTATCGCACTTCATGGGGAAGCGCTTGCCTTATGCCCCATCAGTCACACACATCAGTCTGCATCATTGAATAACCTCATGAATCAACTCGCCTCCTGCTTTAAGCACTGAGGCAACAACAAAGACTTGGATGAGGCTATCGCACTTCATAGGGAAGTGCTGGCCTTGCACCCCATCATTCACCCAGATCGGTCTATGTTATAAATAACCTTGCGACTGAACTCTCCTCCCACTTTAAGCACTGAGGCAACAACAAAGACTTAGATCGGTGTAACGATGGTTGTGGCACTGGGCTCAGAACCAACTATTTTGATACTGATGTCAAACAGTATTTGTCCAATGCACTTCCGACTACCCCGACCTGAGTCCGACAGTCCGATCCTGACCCGATGCACTTTCCGACAGTCCGATGCATGTCCGATCCCAACCCGACATTCCCACGCATCGGACCAGTCCTCCCTATGTCCTGTCCAGTCACATCTATCCCCACTAGGTGCACATTTACTCCTTTTGACTTGCTAAGCATTGTATACAGCGTTATTACATGTTTTCTCATGGTCCGCAGTACCACATGTCCTATTACATAGGATTTTGGACCCAAAATATCGCTACTATGCTCGCCTATAGCAGTCCGAATTTCTACATAGTCACCATTTAATATCTAGTACTTCTATTGCATTACTTACTTTTCCCTACTCAGTAGTAGGATGGAAGTCATTGGATATTAGTAGTACTTGATTGTATTGCGAAATATCTATCCGCTCTTTTCCTCCGAAACATTCCTACACATCCGACATTCATTTGACCGACAATCCGACACACTTCCGACACATTCCTTTATCGTCCGACGCATTCCCGACAGTCCAATGCATAGTCCGACGCCCGACCCGACTCCAATATTTTCTGACCCGACAATTTCCCTTTGGATGAGTAGTTCCTAGCTTCAGATTATCTTCCTATTATTGATAACTAACTATCTAAACTAATACCAAACAGCTACCCCTATAGGATTGAACGTACTTGCTCTGCAAGTATAGCAGACTAGGCCGTGCTAAGATCTACCTAAATATTTGTTGTCTAGCCCAGTGGGAATCAGCTTTCTACATTGGGCTATTGCACTTCACAGGGAAGTGCTGGCCTTGCACCCCATCGGTCACCCAGATCGGTCTATATCATTAAATAACCTCGCGACTGAACTCTCCTCCCGCTTTAAGCACTGAGGCAACAACAAAGACTTAAATGAGGCTATTGTACTTCACAGGGAAGCGCTGGCCTTGCACCCCGTCGGTCACCCAGATTGGTCTATGTCATTAAATAGCCTCGCAACTGAACTCTCCTCCCGCTTTCAGCACTGAGGCAATGAAGAAGACTTATATCAGGCTATTGCACTTAACAGGAAAGCACTGGTCTCACCAAGGCAATGACAAAGACTTGGATGAGGCTATCACACTTCACAAGGAAGTGCTGGAGTCAGAGGGCAACAACGGGTAAACTGCATCATAGCAGTAGGAGTGCAAATGTGTCAGCACTTCAGCTGAGTCTCATCTGAACGTTTCAAACAAATTTCTGTTCCGTTCTTATTTTCCCCATATTTCCATAGCTTAAAACAACATGCCAGCCATACAGACATCTCAGTCTCTTCACGATACTGAGATGTAAGCCTTATTGTCTTTTCCCCTTCATTCATACAAGCTAATATACCTTAGAATATATTTGTCTGTCTAGCTCACCTTGTCCATGCTCACTCGTTCCTCATAACCTCAGGAAGCGCTGGGCTTGTGCCCCGTCGGTCACACAAATCAGTTTGAATCATTAAATAACCTCGTGAATCAACTCTCCACCCACTTTCACCACCAACACAATAGAGAAGACCTCAAGGAGTCATGACTCACGAGAGAACCTATGCTGTGCATTGACTCTGTCGACACAACATGATCCTCGTCAATTACTAGTCCATAAGTTGCTGGCCAAGGTCTATCTGTCACTCCACCACTCAGGCCCTGACGACACTGGTGCAGGTGATGATGGTGATGGTCTGAATGCCGCCATGCATCATTTCAGGGCAGCAGCAAATATTGTCTTTGGAAGCTTGCTATCCCGCCTGTGAACAAGTATGCTCTGGGTTGTTCATGCCTCTCAACATTTATATGCCACTGAACTGGAGGCATATGCAACTTCCATGCAACTTCTGGACACTTACATGACTACAACAGCTTCAGTATTGTCTCATCACAATATCATAAAGGACTTCCCAAGTACACTTGTCATTGATGCTGCATCTTTGTAGTGGTGATATGTGCCATGCTGTCGAGTTGTTGGAACAAGGCAGGACTATCATCTGGACCCAGATGATACAGCTCCGCACCCCTCTTGATGGCCTCCAGACTCACGGCACTCATGCATTGGCCCTGATGAAGAGATTCAGAGACCTCAGCTCCCTCCTCAGTAAACCTCCTGTGAACTATTCAGAAGGAAACCCAAGAGCCGACATAGAAGCAGAGGAAACCTGGTACAGACGTCTAGTGGAGGAGTGGAATAGAGCTGTAGAAGAGATCCGGAAGATTGAGAGCTTCTTCCGCTTCCTTCTTCCCCCCCTTATTTTTTGATCTTAAAGATGCAGCTCATGATGGACCTATCATTGTGCTCATCGAAGCAAGTTGTGCCACACCATTATCATCCAGCACAAGCGATCTCCAGCTAGCACATTCAACTCCCTACCGATTTGCTGAAACTTGTCAAATTGATACCAGCATCCCGAGAGGCAGTTGAAAAAGAGGCCGGTCCTAAAGGGAACCAAATAGTGCTGATAAAAGCTTTGAGAGAGTTGTGGGACGACATGGTCAGCCCAGTGGTCGAAAGTCTGAGCGGAATTGCTTGACGAGGTTCCCAAATATGGTGGTGCCTGACATCTCTTTTCAATTTCTTGCTGTTGCATGCCGCTGGTGAGTGCAGAGCAAGGGGAAAGTCTCTTTCGCAGCAGTATATCTCTTCATACATCCCATCTATCACCTCACTGATCAAGGCTCACGCAAGTCATGACAAATCCTTGTCGGTGCCCTTCATTGCCATTGGTCCAGATGTTAGGGGTGACGAGACTCGGACTAGAGAAACTAAGGGCGAGAACAAAACTAGTAGAGTAGTAGTTAGTAGGAGTAGAGTAGGGATGTCAGTAAGATAGCTCACCTCAGTCTTGGTTCAAAAGACTGAGTGAGATTATTCGACGAGGAGAGGAATTGATATGTTTGATTGGGACGGAGAACCAATAGGGAATGTGTATGACACATGGTATGAGGAGTGTTCGTGTGTATAAAATGAAAAGGCTAAATATGTGTAAGGGTCATATCTTGATACTTCCACTTGGATGCAAAACACTAGAGATGTGGGCGTACTCATTCAGCTGGGTCTTCATTTGACAGTGAACGAAGAGCGAGCGAGTGTTGATGGCTGCAGAAAAGTTTTCGTGGTAGGTATTTCATGAAGATGTCGGCAATCATATCGTGTGTGGGTACATAGGGAATAATGATGGTCCCATTGCTGACTAGATCTCGAACAAAATGATAGTGGACATGAATGTGCTTGGCTTGGTCGTGGAATTGAGGGTTTTTTGTTAGCGCGCTGTAACGATAGTCGCGGCGCTGGGCTCAAAACCCATGTTTTTGATACTCATGTTAAACAGTATTCGTCCGACGCATCCCCGACATTCCGATCCCGATCCTGACGCCCGACCCAAAAGTTTCAGACCCAACATTTTTGCATCAGACTCGTCCTCCCTATGTCCTGTCCAGTTGTATCTACCCCCACTGGTGGGTATTTACTCATTTCGCATTACTGAACATTACAGACAGTGTTATTACATGTTATCTACAAAAAGGTGCAGTACACATGCTCTTTTACATACATTCAGACCCGATTTTGCGCTACTGTTTTCGCCTAATGCACTCCAAAATCCTACATAGACACTATTTAATATCTAGTACTTCCTACCTATTGCATTACTTACTTTTCCCTACTCAGTAGTAGGATGGAAGTCATTGGATATTAGTAGTACTTGATTGTATTGCAAAATATCTATCTGCTTTTTTTCTCCAAAACACTCCAACACATCCAACACTCATTTGACCGACAATCCGACATACTTCTGACACATTCCTTCACTGTCCGACGCATAGTCCGATGCCCGACCCGACTCCAATATTTTCGGACCCAACAGTTTTCCTTTGGACAAGTAGTTCCTAGCTTCGGATTATCTTCCTATTATTGATAACTAACTATCTAAACTAATACCAAACAGCTACCCCTATAGGATCGAACGTACTTGCTCTGCAAGTATAGCAGACTAGGTCGTGCTAAGATCTACCTAAATATTTGTTGTCTAGGTAGTACGATTTCTGCTGAGCTCAGTGGGAATCTGCTTTCTACAGCGTGACTTCCATTATTATCACCATATAGCGTGGTGGGGGTGATCAGTGAGAGGTCAAGACCAAAATTGCATAGCAGCTGGCTGAGATGGATCTGCTCGCGGGCCGCATTAGAGAGTGAGATGTATTCAGCTTCAGTGGACAAGGTTGCAACAACAGACTGCTTTTGGGAACACCAACTAATGGGGGAGCCAAAAAGAAAGTAGACATAGCCCCCAATTGAGCGACTGTTATCTTTATCAGATGCAAAGTCAGAATCCGAATAACCGATGAGTCCTTGGTTGGACAAACCAAAAGTCAGGGAATGATGTGTGGATCCACGGAGGTAACAAAGGAGATGGTGAAGCTGGTGGTAGTGCTCTATGCCAGGGTTACTCAAAAATTTTGACAGCGCTGATACTGCATATGCGATGTTGGGACGACTAACATGCATGGCAAAGTTGAGTTCCCCAATGACACGCACATATGGCATGTGCGCAAATTGTTGCACTTTGGTTTGAGCAAGAGGTGCAGATGACTTCATCAAGGAGATCCCTGGAACCATGGGGGTGGATACTGGTTGACAATCCGACATCCGAGTTTCACTGAGAATCTGTTCAAGAAAGGAGGATTGGTTGACGGTAAGGAGTTTCTTGGAGTGATCTTGCATAATGTGCATTCCTAAGAAATGAAGTGCTTTGCCAAGATCTTTCATTTCAAAATGTTTGCTCATCTCCAGTTTGAAACCGTTAAGGAAATCCTGACAGTTCAATGCAAGCAACATGTTGTCAACATAAACGAGGAGCCAGATGGTCTTGTCATCTTTGCGTAAAACATACAGACTATAGTCTGCTTCACTGTGAACAAAGTTAAAACCTTCTTTTCATAAGAAATCATCAAGTGTCTTGTTCCACTGATGACCAGCTTGCTTGAGTCCATAGATGGCCTTGAGGAGTTTCCAGACCCAATCTGGATGCTTAGTGTCTTTGAAGCCTGGAGGTTGACGCATGTAAATTTCTTTGTCAAGCTCGCCATTGAGAAAGGCGGTCTTTACATCCATTTGATTGAGTTCAAGATCAAACTTAGCGACCATGGAGAGTAGCACACGTACAGTGTTGTATTTTGCAACAGGAGCGAAGGTGTTGGTATAATCTAGTCCTTTGATCTGCATGAAACCCTGCGCAACAAGGCGGGCCTTGTGGCGGGCAATCTGGCCATTTTAGTCATACTTATGTGAGTATACCCACTGTGAGCCAACTGCTTTTCTCCCTGATGGGAGTGGTGTTAAGACACCCACTCCTTTTTCTCCCAACGAAGCTAACTCTTCATTCATCGCACTTTCCCAATGACCTAAATCTGTTGATGAGCGAGTGGCAGCTATCATTTTTGGAGGGAGTTTCCGTCCATCAATCTTGTTGCTGTCTGCCAAGGATACATGCTTCACAGAGTGCTCAATGGTTACGTCAGGGGTAGCACTAATACTAAGATTTTCATCAACCTCCTCCTCAACAGTGACCGGTATGTAGGTCTAACACTGCTGTACTGGGATGTGTTTAGTTGGGATGGCCACAGTTTTTGGAACTGCTGGTCATGTGTTGATGCATTGACATGTCGAACATTGTGGCTCAGGAGATGGTACTGTTTCTACCAGAACTTCAGTGGGAACAGGAAGAACATTGTCATTTGACTGCGGGAATGGGTGTGGAGGTTCAGGAATGAGAGGAGCAGAGACCGGAAGTACTCCCACTGAAACAGTACTGGGTCCTGGTAGTGTGATTTCAGAACCATCTTCTGATATCAGCAAATCATGTGGCAATGCAGGAGTGGGCTGCTGCATTAATATGTGCTGGTTGTGTAATTTAATGAGGGGTGAGAGAACCAAGTTGGGGGTGCCATAGAATAACTTTTCATCAAAAAGGACATTTTGAGAGCGCACTGTCTGTCGTGTCACTGGATCCCATAGAAGATATCCCGCATCTTTGATGTGCCCCAATAAGAAACACCATCTCAAAACAAAATCATACTCATGGCGATTGTCATCTGGGATGTGAGCATATGTGAGGCAGCCAAATGGACATAAGTGCGAAACATTTGGTAGTTCACCATAGAAAAGTTCAAACAGTGTTCTGTTGTCAGTGGCCAATGATGGGAGGAAGTTCTTGATGTATACTGAGTTGAGGAGAGCGTGACCCCAGAATGAACAAGGGAAACCACTCTGGTGGTGGGCACTTAATGCTCAGGTGGCAATGGTCTGGTGTCCATGTTCTGCAACCCCGTTCTGTTTGGCTGTATAAGGCATCATAAGTTCATGCTCAATTCCTTTACTACGCAGAAATTCAATAGTAGCATGAGAGACGTATTTGCCGCCGTTATCACTGTGGAGGTGTTTGACCTGTTGTCCTGACTGGTTTTAAATCCAGGCAATATATCGCAGAAGGTGTGAGTATACCTCACTTTTGTGCTTAATGAGGTAGATAGTTGAAAAACGCGAAAAATCATCCATGAAGGCAATGAAGTATGTTTCACTGGATGGGGTCGTAGTGTTTACAGGTCCCCAAACATCAGTGTGAACGAGTTCAGCGACGTGCATTGCATGGTGCCAAGCATGGGACAGGAACAGCAATTGTTTCTGTTTGCCCATTAGGCATGATGGACAGTCGATGTGGTCGCCAGGTCCTGCAGACTTGTCTAACAGGTCAAGGGACAGTCCTACTACAACCTTCTCAGCTTTGCGCAAGGTGGAGTTGGCAGCGTGGCCCATGCGCGCATGCCATACAGTTAGTGGTGAAGGTGTAGCCAAAGCAGACCTGGTGGCAAAGGCTGTATGGGTGTGTGTGGCTTGAAGGTAGTATAGACTGGCAGAGCATTCCACACGTGCAATCACAGTCTTATCAGCATGATGCATTTGTCCTCCTTCAGCATCTGTTTCAAAGAAAATTCCTTCCGATGCTAGAGCAGACATGGATATCAGTGTGCACCATAGGTCTGGTACGTGAAGAAAGGGGAGTTCAATGGACTCATGCCTTCCATTATTGTCGAGCGCTAGCATGATGAATCCCCAACCTGGGGCAAGAACAGTATCGTCATTTGCAAGTTTCACGATTAAGGGGGGATTATAAGTTCTGTAGCGAGTGAAGAGGGAGTGCTTGGATTCTATATGTGCAGTGGCGGCAGAGTCTATGTGGAATTGAAAAGAAATAATGCTCGTA